GGTGTTTGAATTTTATCTTAATGAGAATATGAGGCAATGTGGTATATAGGGTAGAAAAATCAAAACTTTGAACAGATTCAAAATCACCAATATATGCATGCAATTTATCAAGTACTTCCAACGAGTTCTTGACACTCCAAAAGTAATTAATTCCACTATTTTCGAAGGCCTTATTAATTTTAGTTTCCTGTGTATAATTTGGAGTTTAGTATGACGTCCATTATCACTGAACTAGTATACATTTTTGTTTAGGGGCCAGCTGAAGGACGCCTCCGGGTGCGGGAGTTTCTCGCTGCATTGAAGACCCATTGGTGGCCTTCGGCTGTTGTCTGCTCTATGGTCGGGTTGTTGTCTCTGTGACACATTCCCCATTTCCATTCTCAATTATATATATATATATATATATATATATATATATATATATATATATATATATATATACAAGTCTAAATTGAAAACAACGTTCAAACCTATGATTGCGTTGGATAAAAACCGCAATTTTTATACGTGTGCATGCAAAAAAAATTTCTAGTTAGAGGGGTCTAAATACAGCACAAACAACATTTTCCAAAAGACCAAAAAAGTGAAAAAGTATATTTTAACAAAACGCATTTGACTAACAGGTCGAACAACAAATGTTCTTAAACCCTGCTGACTGCCATTGGCGATTGCCAAATAAACGGATCACCGATGTAATTAATGGATCTTAATTATAAATTTAATACTAAACAGAAAACAATAAACGTGCGGAAAAGATGGTATACCGCAAACAAAAGGTGCAAAGGTTTTTGTACACCATATCCGGATTTCGACAATTAATGTCTCTTCAGTGATGTTAGGAATAGAAACGGTATTTGGAAAGCCATACAATTTACCTCAAATTAGGATAGACTCTTGAATTTTGAGGAATCAAAATAGGATGAACGGATCATATAAACCCGAAGGCAAATATAATACAAGCCCAAACGAAAAAATATAAACAAGTCTAAATTGAAAACAACGTTCAAACCTATGATTATCCGGATTTCGACAATTAATGTCTCTTCAGTGATGTTAGGAATCGAAACGGTATTTGGAAAGCCATACAATTTACCTCAATTTAGGATAGACTCTTGAATTTTGAGGAGTCAAAATAGGATGAACGGATCATATAAACCCGAACGAAAATATAATACAAGCCCAAACGAAAAAATATAAACAAGTCTAAATTGAAAACAAACCGTTTTTAATTTATAATTAAGATCCATTAATTACATCGGTGATCCGTTTATTTGGCAATCGCCAATGGCAGTCAGCAGGGTTTAAGAACATTTGTTGTTCGACCTGCTAGTCAAATGCGTTTTGTTAAAATATACTTTTTCACTTTTTTGGTCTTTTGGAAAATGTTGTTTGTGCTGTATATATATATATATATATATATATATTATATATATATATATATATGTCGTGTACATGTTATTATTTTGTAAAGTTAATACTTGTACTAATACAATTGTACAAGTAATTACTTGTACAATTTTTATCAAGTTGAGAAAAAGATAATAAAATTAACTTGTACAAATCGTTATTCTACCTTGGCCTATTTGATGTTCACAACAAATCAGTACATTTCCCTGGTAGATCTAATGAACCTGTCAGTGATATTTACTACTCATGCAAAGCCTAAAAAATCCAAACATTTTGACAGTGGTGATAATGGTGGGACGGTAGTATTTCCTGGCCCATAGGGATAATGGTAGCCTTTTTAGAATTTTCACCACTTTCTAACACTGCCCAGAATTCTACATACACAGTTAACTGAAGTACTTTCATCTTTTTTATTCAGAAATTAATGTGAATATGTAGTATTATGATGACCGTTTACTTTTTTTGCTATTTTTAGAAGCCTAAACCACTAGTGCTTTAATGTATTTTATCATGCAGTGAATACAAAATTTCAAAAAAATTCTCAAAAATTCATTTTCAAATTTTTCTACACTTCATTCATCCCTCAGTTTCGGATAGTATGTTCAGTCATAGATGTATAAACCCATGAGATGTATAAACCCATGGGTTTATACATCTATGGTTCAGTAGATACAGCATTTTTTGTCCAATCACACTGTTCAGATATTGACTTATAAGCACACAAAAGAGCAACCTAAATTCCGGAATGTAAATACTACCGTGCCACCTTAATGATACCTTCTTTACCTGAATTTATCTTTATTTATCTGGATAATATTTTTAAGTTTGATTTTATGTCCGTAATGTTATCCTTTTGTTGTAGCATGTATCTTTTTTGTCGTTTTTTTTTCAATTCTGTTATTTCTTCCAATCAGATAAATATTTGTGACATCATGCATGCAGTTACCATAGTGAAGCGTCCTTTATAAATGGGTCACAAACCGAAATTATACTGACTGCGTCAGAAAAAAGACAGGAAAACAAACACAATATCAATTTCAAAAATACATATGCTGAATGATGTCTTCTATGCATAAATAAACCAACAAATAAATAAAAAAAAAAAAGTAACAGAAAAAAATAACCCAACAAATAACAAAACCAAATAAGAAACCCAAAGAAAGGAGTTTTTGAATAAAACATATGAGAAAAAAAAAACAGAAGGAAGAAACAAATATAACTCAAAGATAGTGAGTTGTACAAGTTATTATCTTTTTCTCATCAAAAATTGTACAAGTAATTACTTGTACAAAATAATTACTTGTACAATTATATTTGTACAAAAAATAACTTTTACAAAATAATAACATGTACACGACATATACATTTCCAGCAAATAAAATAAAAAATAATAATAACTGCAGATAATATCAAGTGAGAGGACGTCTGCTATATATCTCTATATTATTTGAACATATAATAGCATGTACGCCTCTATATCAATATTTAGGTTTATTTTGGACGAATGTCATGGAAAATATTGTATGTTGTAAAGGATTATATTTGTTACATATATGCTCCCCTTGGCACCTAATTTGGAAAGATAAAATATCTTTATCCATCTTTAAAAATAAACCCTGCTTTTCTGGAAATCTTAAATAAGTGTATTAGGGAGCGCATTGGTCCTACATCTTTAATGGAAAATCATGGACAAATAAATTTGGCTCGAAATGGTCTAAATATATTTCTCCTTCACCAAAAAGATTATTTCTGAGTATTTGTTTGTTAGTTTAAGTAAACAATGACATCAAAAGCACTGTTCTTTTGTCATAGTAGGGCTACTTTCAATATAAAAAATACTTTCTCAGGCTGACTTTGTGTGTTTGGGTTAAAAATACATATTTAGCAAAATTCGAACAGCACCGGAATAGTCCGAGTTTGTATTCCCGATGATCCGATATTCCAGGTCTTACGATTTTTTAAATTTGATTTCCTTTAAAGAGTGTTACTGCTTACAAGGGAGCTATTTAACGTGGGATTTAAATGATAAAGTTGAAATCATCTCTTCGACAGTTTTACAGGTGCTATTTTAACCTACTAGTATTCGTATTTGTTTATGTCTCCGTGTCTCCGTGTCTCCTTTGTCATTTAATATTTTCATTTGCAATGTTTGTCCCGTGCAATTTCCAAAATTTGATATGCAACCATGCAGTTTGGACGTTTTGCATGTAAAATAATGAGATTTGGAATGGTTGTCAATGAGACGCCGCAATGAGACAAGTATTCGACAGAGTCCAATTGCCTGATTTGTGACAAAACATTAATTTCGTGTCTGTTTAAGTCAAAACTTGGAAAGAAACAAGAAACACATATTTTTGGGGGAAATGTTAAACCATGGACAAAGAATGTTTTATCTGCCAATTAAAACTACGATTTTAAAACGCTTCCAGAGTCACTCAGTCCTGGGCTTATTGGATGAAAAAGATCCCCTATGAACGAAATGATATCACATTTAACTATCTTCTTTCATTTATTTTTTTTTTCTTTACTTTAATTTGTTTTTTTTTAAGTATTAGTTATCAACATTTTTTTTTTCTTACATGGCAATTCGATTATTGTACCTTCATTTACAAATAACCTGAAACGATCGATTACAAAAACATACTTATGGAAATAGAACTTAAGAGTAAATTCACAACACATAACAGGGCTGTTGGACGGTATCCTTGCAGGGGATATATAATTCAACATTTACAATGATACAATTTTATATAATAAAGGGTAACATGACTTAGATCAGTAAAACACGGAAATGTGTTTCTTTCACGCTATCAAATTATTACCCGACAATCTTGTTTGTTTGTTTGTCATTTATGTAACGGCCATATATGTAACGAACATGTATAGCCAGGGGAAATCTTGTAAACACGGACCTTCTCTGTGTACTATTTTTTTTACAATTATGCTATATCTAAAATTATGTTTTCCAATTTACAAAATATGAAATATAACAATTATATAAAACCTATCTTAGTTTATAGTAAAAACTATATGCACGCTTACAACTGACGAAATTGCAACAGATAAAGAAAACAATAAAAAGTAATAGATAAGTGACTTACAATGCAATATAGTATAAATTATAACAAGTATATGTATAAATTCTTGGTTATGATAAATTTGTAGCACGAATTCAAAATTCATATAATCGTTGGTAAGAAAAACAACAATAGCAAAATAAGATAAAATCAATAAAATGTCCCGCTCATTAAATGAATAATTGTCTGGAATAAGAAAGATATATATGACTTGTTTTCAATTTTTCTATGATTAATCTTTTTCTTCTTTTGATTTGTAATAATGCATGCAGTGACATTTGAACTGTTGTATGTTTTGGAAGTATTCTCAATGAATCATGACGATAGATCATCATCTGCCCTGCATGTGAATGTCATTTTCTACCCGTATTAGTAGTACGGGAAGTTACGTTTGTCAGGATATTGTTCACCCTTGTTTACTTCCTAAACATGACACTTTTTGATTGATAGCACTAAATTTAAGCTATTTCATTGGAAGGTAGACGGAAAATCGCGTCATTTGGTTGGACAAAAATCGAATCATTCACGTCAATTGAGAATTCACTTTCAGAAATTTCTGACGTTTCAAGTATATTTAAATAGGAGCTCGGACATACAGTAGTGTAAAAAACAATTTAATGAACTAACAAACAACAAAAATGAAAAGCAAAATTATATTTGTGTTCGCTTTAAGTATTGGATTAACCATAGCGCAAGGACAGAACTTTGGACAAGGCCAACAGTTTCCACAGGCAGGCGCCGGACAGTTTCAACAAGGAGCTGGTGCCAATCAATTTCCACAAGCAGGTGGTGGAGCACAGTTTCAACAGGGAGCTGCAGGACAATTTCCACAAGCAGGTGCAGGCCAGTTTCAACAGGGGGCTGCAGCCCAATTCCCACAACAAGGTGGAGGTCAGTTTCCGCAAGCAGGCGCAGGTCAATTTCAACAGGGTGCAGGTGGACAATTTCCGCAAGCTGGAGCAGGACAGTTTCAAGGGCAAGCCGGTGCTGGACAATTTGCAGGACAGGGAGCTGGTGGACAGTTTCCAGGGCAAGCCGGAGCTGGACAATTTGCAGGACAGGGAGCTGGCGGCCAGTTTCCAGGCCAACCAGGCGCTGCACAGTTTCCAGGACAAGCAGGTGGGGGACAATTTCCCGGACAGGCAGCAGCCGGACAGTTTAACAATGTTGGGGGTTTCGGTAACCCATTTGGCGGAGTGGGAAACTTTTTAGGTGGCAATGATGGAACATTTGGTGGTAATGGACAGCCTGGATTACCTGGACAAGCCACTGCACCGGGCCAACGTAAGTTCTACTATTACAACCATTCAGCAAAACCTTGTTAATAAACGCATCTTGCTAATGTTGTCTCGGTGAAATCCACTGTAACTTTTTGTTACTAGTATCTTTTGTAGTTCATCGATAAATTGAAAAAATGGATCAAAAACTAAAATAGCAGGGTTGCACGAAAACTTCCTAAACAAAGAAGAACGGTCTATACTTAACATTTTAGATATATGTAAACATGAAATGTAACAAAGGAAAGGGTGGGGGGCAATTTTATCAGATGTGCAAACAATGATCTGGGTTGAAAGCTACAGGAGGAGAAAGTTACACTTGGAAACTGATGCCGTCTTTTGAAAATTTTGTTGAAAAAATAACTAAGTTCTGAAGTCTGAAAAAATGGGAAAAAAGCTCAACAATTCTTTATGATGTGTACAATCTGTACTTGAAATTTCAAGGAACTGAATTGAAAACTGTAGGAGACCGATTCGGAATTGTAAACTGCAGGAGGAGTTGATTACACAAAATTGATATCAACTTTTGATATGAACATTTTACTATACAGTCCGACAAAACATGATATTACTCGGCCAAACATCCCGTTATTCAAGTCTTCGGAGACATATAATTTTCAAATAAAATTTAGTTTATTTTAATTCCATTCTACAAAATATGAATGAAATTTTATCATTTCTATTCACAGAACCAGGTGCGGGAAGACAGTTTTTCATGAATTTATCACAGAATCCAAACAATTACAGATATGCCACTTGTTATTTCAACAGTTCTACTAGCAACATCAAAGGAAGAGCGGATTTCCGACAATTTGTAAGTATGAAGCACCATGAACTTCTCTGTCCTTTGCCTCTGTTATATCCATGTTATTTTTATCCGTTTTCTTGTAGTGGTTTAAAATTTAAAGAGAAATAAAAACTTCAGTAAAAATACGTACGAAATCATAAAAAGTGTTAATATTATTTAATTTTTTGCGACATTTTCATAGTATTGAAGTGTCATCGCCGTCCTTTGGAAGACATCTGGTTACTTTTTCGATAGCTTTTGTTTGATTTTGTTCAAATTTTGCCATAACTGATCTTTGGTCAGAAAGAAAGTTTGGAATTGATTTTGATAATCCTGGTCTCGCCGATTATCAAACATGAAGTCCAACGAGGTAGAACAGCTCATTCTTTGACTTTCCAGTAGATTTATTGTATATGTCTCCGTCTCCGAGTTATTTTTAATGTGAATTGTTTAATTTTTCAGGATAAGATAGTAATAACAATTATAATACTTTGTTTCCAAAAGTAATACAACATAAGAACCAAAGCTATAAATTCCATTCTTTATATAACAAGTTCGATTTTGAATCCTTTTTTGCACGAAATTAACAGTAATAAAATTGAGATGCATATTTTTAGTTATATGGAAACCCAGCAGTAGATATTAGGATACAAGTTGTTGGTCTACCCCTGTCTCCAGTCGATACTCAGAGAGGAGTACACATCCACGAGTATGGCGACAATGGTGATAGTTGTTCCAGGGTTGGACCACATTATAACCCAACACAAACAAGACATGGTGGAAGAAATAGTTTCGCATTGTAAGTTTGCAAACTTTAAAACACATAAGATAATGGCAACCTGTTCGGAATTCTGAATTGAGAACTCTATAGTTTAACAAGAAACATTTTTATAAACAGATTGTGGAATTATTTAATTTAGTGAGCAACAAATAACTACACGATTCCTCTAAAAAAAAAATAGAATACGAAAAATAACGTAAATTAAATCCATACCCACATTTTGGATTATACACTGAGTTATTGTAAAATTTCTTAACTTTAATCTTTTTATTTGACAGTTTGAGACATGTTGGTGATTTAGGGAACATGTTACAGTCCAAAGAAGGTGTATCATCAACACAGTTCAGAGACAGTGTTATCTCCTTAGCTGGTAGGAACAGTGTCATTGGAAGATCACTAGTTGTAAGTGCTTCATTTTCAGCAACTATATCAGTTTATTACTTCTCAATTAAAACCGAATCGGTTAAAGCAATCATTACAATTTAACACAGCTTTAGAAGTAGTTTGTAGTCAACATAATTTTGTATTATTGATAGAGATCAGTTACGTTAGTTGCTGTGTAGATGTTAGCTAGAGCTGAAAACATCAACAATAGTTTTTGGAGGCAATTTAATTTGTCAGTGTCTTAACCTTTTACCATTAAACAAACACAATTAGTTGGGTTGAATCATGATTAAAAAGGATATTTATATGTATATTTTTGTATACGTTTTTAGAAAAAGACTTAAATTTATTGAAGATGCCTGTAGGTTAGGACTACATAAAAAAATCAACCAAAAGATTAATTTGAATGTTACATTGAAATTATTTGATTTATTTAATAAATGTTGGCAGTCATACATCAAAAATATAGATCGAATATTACGTTTTGTCACATTAAAAAAACGGCAACTTTTCCTGTGTTTACTAGGTAATTAGTATTGTGTTTGTTTCTTGTTCCACAGTTACAGTAAAATGAAAGTAATCAAATTGACCATCAAATATATATTTGTTTATAATGCTTTACAGATCAAACTTGAACGGGACGATGAAGGAACAGGTACTAACAGTGCCAGTCAGATGAATGGTAACGCAAGAACTCCTCTGGCTTGCTGTACTGTTGGTAGAGCTAGTAATTCTAACTGGGCCAAACCTTACTCTGAACAAGATCTAGCAGCTTTGTCTGGAGGTGTGTTTGTTCCTAGTAATACTAACACAGCTCCAACACAACCAGCTCAAGGTAGGTACTATAGTCTCAGACTTAATTTGGGCCAATGCTTTTATTAACTAATTACATATATTTTAAATGTCTTTGTGATATCTTTATAATTCTAGTTAAGGTGTAAACACTCCACCTTTTTTGCACTTTAATTTTTACTTGTAAATGTATCAATTATTTTGAGTTGAATTTTATAATTTTGGCAGTTTTACTTAATTAACTTACAATCAAATTATTTGTAAAGATTAATATAGTATTTTTTCCCCTCATAAGATAAATATATTCAAAGTAAGGTGACTGTTCTTTGGTTGATTTGAAAATATGAAAGAATTATTGTAAATTCATAAAATAAAAAACAAGTTTAAAATTCTATCATGAAACCATATTGAATATTCACAAAACACTTTTTCATTTAAACTTTGATTTTATTTTAGGAAATAATGGACTAACATTTGGAGCTAACACCAATACTGTTAACCAACCAACAAATACTGGTTTCAATCAACCAGCCAACACAGGATTCAACCAACCAACAAATACAGGTTTCAATCAACCAGCCAATACAGGTTTCAATCAACCAGCCAACACAGGATTTAACCAACCAGCCAACACAGGATTTAACCAACCAACAAATACAGGATTTAATCAACCAGCCAATGTAGGATTCAATCAACCAGCAAATACAGGTTTCAACCAGCCAGCAAATACAGGTTTCAACCAACCAGCTAATACAGGATTTAATCAACCAGCTACAAATAATGCAGCTCAGCCATTACCACAACCACAACCACAGCCACAGCCACCAACTAATGCAGGCGGTGGTGGAAATCCATTCTTAAGTTTCGGAGGTGGTGGTGGTGGTGGTGGCGGAGCAGCCCAACCAGGATCATTTAGTTTCCTTGGTAATGGCGGTAAAAGGAAATAAATTGTGATTGCTGACACCAAGTGTAAAACAATGCATCTCTCAGTGCTTTATATGTATGGGTATGACCCTATAGTTAATATAAGATGATATCACTAAAAGCCATCACAGGTTTGACACAAAGAGGCTTTTTATCTCATTAACTAAAGACTTATTTATGTTTGTACTATTATTGTGTATATTTTGTTAAATACTATTTGTAATAAAATGCTAAAAAAACCTTGCTCATTCTTTCTCTCCTCTATTCAAGGATTTTTCCTGATCTTTAATTCTCCCCTATACAAACAATGCCATAGAACATGAATATCTGCAATTCTAATTACTATTCAGGAACTCATGCATTACTGATTAAGAATATTTAATGTTTCAGAGTTTAGTGTGAGGTCCATTAGCTGAACTAGTATACATATTGTTTAGGGGCCAGCTGAAGCCTGCCTCCTGGTGCGTGATTTTCTCTCTGTTTTGAAATTCATTGGTGGCCTTGGGCCGTTTTCTGCTCTTTAGTCAGTTTGTTGTCTCTTTGACGTATTCTCCATTTCCATTCTCAATTTTATCAATTATAAAAACTTAACATTGACAGATGGACCATAAAAATGAGGTTAAGGTAAGAAGAAACCTGCCAGTCGGACATGTAGACCTTGCAATCATTCCATACACCTAAAACATTTGACCTATTGCTTGTAGAATCTGAAATAACCACTTGAAAACTTAACCTTGAACACTGATCCATTAAAAGAAGCTGAAAACAGGTGAACCCTGTCTGACAGACATGTAGACCATGCAAGGATCACATATAAGAAAATATAATCATCCTTTTACTCATAAGTGAGAAATTCAGATGACCAAAAAAGATAGCTTATCTGAGCAGTCCATGAACCATGAAAAAAGACAAGTGACAAATGGAAACCTCATTTGCATCCCTAAGTCTCAAAATCTACAACTTTCTTCACAGGCAAGACCATAAAACCAACTTCATTGAAATTATGAGGTATTTGCAGATGTTTAAAACTACCTTTTAAACATTTGTACAGTTGGCAGAAGCCATGGTTATCAGGGTAATCCATCCACATTGTGTAGTACCTGTCAAACTCTCTCACATACTGGTGGTTCAAAGGCATTTACCATTTTTGCAAATAATAAGTCTAGAAACCCTACCATAACACTATTTGGATGATGTGATCTATAGGGTATGTCAACTAACAATCTGAACTATTCGGCCACAAAGGACCTTACTAACCACTGGGCCACCAAGGATCTTAATTTTGAAGGTAGAAAAAAAATATTATGAACATACATCAATTTTAATACAAAATTCCAGTGCTTGCTTTCTTATTCTGAGTTCTTAATAGAGGGTTGCTACTTTAAAAAAAACCAAGCATTCTGAGAGTATTGCATGGCAATACATAGTATCCTACCAGTTAAAAATTCATTGTACTGGAACAAAATGATAACTTTATCTATTAACTGTCATGGTGTAAACTATATAACAAATATCAAGTCAATATCTTCAAGCATGACGAAAAAAAGTGTTAATAAACTGTTGACATAGAGATGTCTTGCATGTCGGCATAAAATTCAGAAAATGACAATCTGATGGACAGCAACATTGCTTATTAATTCAAGGCGCTAGACCAACTAGTGGGTAGGGCCTGGAAATTTTTGACAAACTGAGATATACAGACAGCAATGTAACTGTATAGAAAATATTGTCTATTGTAAATAGTTCCTTTTAGAATAACTTAAGCATAAAACTTAACATTGAAAATTGTTAATTGATTGAAGTCATTGGACCATTATAGGGCAGGGCCTTAAAACAGTCGTCAAACTGATATGTACTGATAGTAATGCAATTTTATAGAAAATTTCATTGATCTATCGCAAGTAGTTCATATCAAACTAACTTAAGCAGAAAACTAATCATTGAAAATTTCTTATTAATTGATAGTCACTGAACCATGGCCCAGGGGGCAGGACCTTGATATTGGCTTCAAACTGATATGTACCGATAGCAATGCAACTTCACACAAAATATCATTGATCTATCACTAGTAGTTCCTATCAATCTAACTTAAGCAGAAAACTTAACATTTAAAATGGCTAATTAATTCAAAGTCACTGGACCATGGCCTAGGGGGCAGGGCCTCAAAATTGTCGTCAAACTGATATGTACTGATAGTAATGCAACTTCATACAAAATATCATTGATTTATCACAAGTAGTTTCTATCAATCTATCTTAAGCAGAAAACTTAACACTTAAAATTGCTAATTCATTCAGTCATTGGACCATGGCCTAGGGGGCAGGGCCTCAAAATTGTTGTCGAACTGATATGTACTGATAGTAATGCATCTTCATACAAAATAGGAATCTGTTAGTCATAATTACAAAAAACTATATATACAAATGTAAATTAAATGAAACAAAACCAAATATGGTTGGGTTAAAGAATAGAATAAAGAAATACCAATTTCTTGAATATTATATTGCAAAGAAAAATAATAGAGTCCAAGTGTGTGAAAAATTTTGGTCTCCTTTACATGTAATATTTAATCAATTATTGTTTCATATAAGTGAGAGAATAAAATATCTATATATCATGAGCAAATATTTAGCCTTGAGTTTTTTTGTTTTTTGTTTTTTTCTTTAAAATATTTTGTTTTTAAAATGTAAGTCAAGATACATCATGTACATATTGTAGCAAAACAAATGAGTGAAGAGTATTTGTATTGTATGAGAGAAAGTCAGAGAGCGAGAGAATATAATTAAATAAAATTTATATGCAACCTTAAATACTACATGTATAATTATAAAAATCAACTTGTCAGTGATATATATTGTATACTGAATTATTTTTTATATGTAACCCCTTGATACCCTTGTCAGGTGGTAGTGTAGGGATACATGTATGTTAAATCCTGACTATTGAAAAAAAAATAAAAGATAAAAAAAAAATCTTCATACAAAATATCAATGATCTATCACAAGTAGTTCCTATCAAACTAACTTAAGCAGAAAACTTAAAACTTAAAATTGCTAATTCATTGAGTCACTGGACCATGGCCTAGGAGGCAGGGCCTCAAAATTGTCGTCGAACTGATATGTACTGATAGTAATGCATCTTTATACAAAATATCAATGATCTATCGCAAGTAGTTCCTATCAAACTAACTTAAGCAGAAAACTTAACAATTGATGACGCCATCACCAGAAAAGCCATCCCTATGTCTCGCTTTCCGCAACTATCATTGCCGGCGACACACAATTATTTGAGTGAAGGACCATAACCCTAAATAAAATCATCAAACCAGAACAAAATTTGAACTTGATCTGTAACTGTCACTTAACATGATTTAACTATATACCTATTATCAAATCAATATCTTCAAGCATGACCAAAAAAGAGTGCCGAAAACTGATTATTTGAGTGAATTTTCTAAGTCCAAGGATCATAACTCTGGACAAAATCATCAGACCAGAACAAAATTTGAACTTGATCTGTAACTTGTCATGATTAAATCAATATCTTCAATCATGACGAAAAACAGTGCGAAAAACTGATTATTCAAGTGAATTTTTCGAAGTCCAAGGACCATAACTCTGTGTAAAATCATCAGACTGAAACAAAATTCGAACTCGATTTGTAACTTGTCACGAAAAAATTATATACCAAATATCAAATCAATATCTTTAAGCATGAAGAAAAAAAGTGGAAAACTGATTTGCCGGACTGACGGATGGACAGACAGATGGACAGAGTGCAAACCTAAAGTCCCCTTCGACTTCGTCAGTAGGGGACTTATTATTAAATCAAAGGTTCCAAGTGGTAAAGCTGAAGTCATCTCTTTGAAAACTCTTACGAATGTTATCAACAGTTGATTGGCCATTATGGGATATCCGTTTCACAGTTGATGATGGATATGTTCCTCAAACGTAACATCACCAATTGAGACTTATCACAGAACTTGTATTTAAAGAAACACAACTAAAGCCAAATGTGGAGGAGGATCTGCCTACCCTTCAAGAGCACCTGAGATCACCCAGTTTTTGGTGGGATTCCTGTTGCTCGGTCTGTAGTTTTCTATGTTGTGTTTTGTAGAGTGTTGTTTGTCTCTTACTTGTTTACTTTTGCCATGGCAGTCAGTTTGTCTTCTACATATAAGTTTGAATATCCATTTGGTATCTTTCCTCTCTCTTTTCCAAAAAATAAATAAAGGCAATAAACAATTACCCTTCTATGGCCAATTCACTTTGGAATTTAGAATTGAAGATTCTCTGCAAGTTCTGTTAAATACTATTGATTCATTTAGACTGTATATGGACAAACAAATACATCAACAAAGATCAAATCATCATTATGTTTGCTTTAGTTTAAACAAGAGGTTCCAAAGGGAAAATAAAGACAAATGTTAGATTTTTGAAAAGAAAGACACCTTTAAAATTTAATTAAATGAACATAAATAATATAATTTGTTCTTATGATGTGCTGTTATACCACTGTCCCAGGTTAGAGGGAGGGTTGAGTCCCCAAAACATGATTAACCCCACCACATTCTTTAAGTGCCTGTTCCAAGTCAGGAGCCTGTTATTCAGTGGTTGTCGTTGGTTCATGTCTGTCATATATGTTTTTCATAAATTGGTATTGTTATATTATAATAAGGCAGTAATTTTTCTCATTTAAATCATTTGAAATTTTTTATGGCTGACTATATGGTATGGCTTTTTTCATTGTTGACGGTTGTACGGTGACCTACAATTGCTTCTATCCTTCATTTGAACTCTGGTGGATACTAGTTGTCTCATTGGGCATCTAAACACATTTTTTTTTATATAAGTGCAGGGAAAGAAACAACAGAAACAAAGTTTATTCCAAAATACTTTTATTAATAAATAAAGAATAAAAAAGATCAGTAACAAGTCACAGATAAATAAAATGCATATAATTCAATAAAATACATTTCAATAATTGTACAAAAATGGACGGCATGTATCACAGACTTAACAAAAAATAATATCTTATAAATTGGATTTAAATTGATTAAATGTTGGAGTTTTAGTTCTGCTTAGAATTATAAATTGATATCTCTGTAAGATAAATCACAAAATGGCTTCCATTCAGTTATTACCTAGACTCATATCCATAGAAATTCTATATATTATGAGAAGGATATTGAAGTCTTTAGTAAAACATAATCCTATTTTTTACTTTATACTGCAGATGATTGTATCTCAGTTCTTACAAGTTTGGTTTCACTGTTATCATATCAGATCCTTCAACGTCTCACATTTCACTAACATCATCTAACTCTTCCTCTGTCTTCATGAAATCTGGCACTTCTTGTCCTAACCCACTGTTCATATTTGTTTCTACTACAGTTCTCAACATTTCAAGCTGAAAATCATAAACAATTAAATCTAAAAAAATGAAAATCTAAAGGAAGTAAATAAATAAATAAATAAATATGCTCAGTTAACATTATAATATTAAACACATAGAATGTGTGAGCCTTTTAAGGCAAATTCCTTAGTTTTCTCTTTTTTCACCTATAAAAAAAATACCTTTGTTAAATTAAATTCTGTAATTTCGAAATAATTGCATGCATTTATTATTGTGATTTTTAAAGAATGAACAGAAATGTTAGACTAAATTATTGTGGTTTCAGAAAATTCTGCATACAGCTATAAGTATCAGATATCAGAATGAGAGTTCTTATAATTGCCATATTCACCCAGTCACATTATTTGCATGAATAAAAACCTCACAATTATTTCTGCATTTAAAGTAGATTCTTTTTAAAGGTACAAAAGATACTTACATCAGCATGTGCTGGCATAGATCTCATCTGGTAAACAGTTACCTGTCCTTCACTATCTCCTACCAGTATACACTAAAATACACAAATATGTCAGTAGAAAATGTAATTAATATTATGTATGGTATACATTTTCACTTTATGCTTAATCATTTAAAAGATATACTGTGGATTCCTGTGGATTCCTTTAGTTTCCTGTGTACTCATTTTTGTGGATTTAGAAAAAAAAAGTATGTTCATGGATACTTTATTTCATTGGTGTAAAGATGCCTTAGGGCAATCCCTATTTTGTTATATATCAAAATTAGTAGTTGACCTATCCCATGAAATCCACTATAATTAGTACCCAATCGACAATAATGAATCCAATGCATAGTGTACTATTGGAAAAGTTTTCTCAATGAAGCCTAAATTCTTAACAGTAAATTAAAGAAATAATTGCATACAAAAGTCTGACCGTAGACACATGAAAATATATATTTGATGGATAATTTCCTTTTTAAAGTTCATCAAGTAAATTTAATAATATAAGTCCTACAAATATTCATAAATAATATACATCATCACTAACAGATATATAAAATAAATAGATCTATCATCATTCAATCAAATATGTCCTGAAGTAAAATAAAAAAAATGATTTTATATAACAAATAAAACTTACATCTGAATTCCTTGAGAATGTAACTGTAGTCTGTTTAGCACCTGATGTTGGATTACTCTTAATTAAAGGATCTAACCTGCAGATAAAAACACACATAAAAAACACAATAGGTTGATGTACATGACACATAAATCTCATGAAACAACTAAGAAAAAAAACGACTTATCAAAAGAACTTACATTGTTATTTGTCACTATGACAGTTTATTGAATGTCATTAACAACGAACTTAAAAACCTTACTATATAGTCTTGAAAACATTCGAAAACCATCACATTATTTGCATAAGCATTTTATAATGAAATTTTGAGTGAATACCATATCTTCTTAAACAATCATATATAAAAAATTTCAAGTTTGCAGTAAAGGGTACATAGAAATCGTATAGGAATATAAATGAATAAATATCTGCACAATTATTTGATGACATATATCAGAATCAATTATATTTTAATTTCATGTTTTGTTTTGTTTGATACTGTTTGATTAGATATTGGCAAGTGGAGATAACTCTGCTAATCCAGCATAACATTACTAAGTGGAGACAACTCATGTAATTTTCTATCAAATTTTCAATAAAGAGCTGCGCCATGACCGCATGATATGCCCGTTGCTTTTTCAAAGAATAAAGTTCCAAAACTCCTCAATGTCATTTCAGAAATTTATAAAAAAAGACTTAAGGGAGGTTATTTTAATAGATATAAACCAGTCACCAAAGTTTCATGAAAACTAGTCAAAGCACTTTTGAGTAAATGTCTGAAAACTGGAAAATCCCCCTTTTTTCATGAATAAAACCCAATTACTCGGAAACGTTACATTTAAAATTTATAAAAATCGAAAGGGAGCTCTAGTCAATAGATATAAACAATTCACAAAAGTTTCATGAAAACTGCTCAAAGCATTTTTGAGTTATTGTCCAAAAACTGGAAAATCCCCCTTTTTTAATGAATGAAACCCCACAACTCAGAAACATAAAATCTAAAATTTATAAAAATCAAAAGGGAGCTCACTTCAATAAATATAAACAATTCACCAAAGTTTCATGCAAATTGGTTAAAGCGTTTTTGAGTTATTGTCCGACAAGTTGAGGACGGACAGACAACGGTATACCATAATACGTCCCATAAACGGGCCTTTAAAAACACTTAAATCTGGAAGCTTATTTCAAATTGTATTCTTCTTAAGGAATTTATCTATACATAACTATATCAACCCTAAAAAAAAACATTAAAAAAATGAAAACTGGTCCAATTCCCCAGTTTTTGGTAAGCATGCTGTCACTAAATTATTTTTACTGTTTAGAAGCCATTAAACTTTAAGTTAATTATTCTCTCACATCCCACTTTCATTGCTTACACAATTGCTTTGCTAGACTTGCATTTTTATTTTTTTCAAATTGAGAAGGAACTAGAGTGAATGCTATCAATCTGCATCTAAACAAAAAGCAAAAATATTTATTTTTCAATCTGAACAGAATACTCACGTGCTCATGTTCAAATCCCAGACTTCAACAGAATTCTCAGTAACACATGCAAACACAGTAGCTGACTTAGGTGACCATGCAACATCATACACTGGTTTCTGTATGAAATATAAAGTGATTATATAAAATAGCAGAATATCACGTTTTACATAAGCATTTTGAAACTTATATCAAACCAACTTAATATCGGCAAACATTGCCTCACTCCAAGAAGCATGAAGAACAAATGACCATAACACATATAACAAAAAAGAGAAGTCACTTGGATCAAACAAGAAATAGTACATGTGACAAAAGTACCTAATAAGTCATGGCTTAGATCGAAAGAATTTTGACAATTTAATCTAATAACAAAGACACAGAATAAATACTACACAACATCTGACAAAGGAAAATAACTTTTTTTAATCTATTAAAAAATTTCATAAATGCATCTTTTGTACTATAATTCATCGTACAATGAAGCTAATTATGAATTTACAACAGATTCACAGTAAAAAAAAACTAAAAACTTCACAAACTTGAGCAATGTATCTCCCTTTAAATATGATATACTTCTAAATAACTATTGTCAAATTATCAATTAGAAAAAAATATATCATCATTGTATAATTTACATATTTGGAAATCAGATACTAAAGGTAGCTTTATGACAATTTACAGGTGCCATATTTAGCAAAACTGGATTCATTTATTTTCGTGAATACCAAGTTTCGTGGATAGTTGATTTTGTGGATCTGCCAAAGTCTGCATATAAGCCTATAGAAAATTTGTACTTCATTGAACATTTACATTCATGGTTCACCCATACCCACGAAAAATGGTATTCCACGAATAATTATGAATCTGCAGTAAGTCATTACTATTTATTAGGAGACTTACTGTTGATGACAAGAAAGTTAATACTGGTGAAAATCTATCCTGATGCCATAATCTTACACTCCAATCAGCACTACAACTAAGGAACACATCTGGATCATTAGGGGACCATTTTACTCTATAAACTGGACCCTGTAAAATAAAACAAATTAACATCACAACCTATTATAAAAAACAACATCACAGAGACATAAAGAAAAAAATCATAATACTAACAGGATTTAAACACTATCAATTTGCATCCGGTAATACGGTGCATACACAATTATAAAATGAATTCAAAGGATCATAAACACTTGTGCATTGCAAAATTTCAAATTGTTTTTTTTAGAAAAAGATGAGATATGTGTCATAGTCAAAACAAAAGCAGGGTTGTGTTATTTTTTTTCCAAATTAAATATTACAATTTGTTTGATAAAAAATACCAATAATGAATACCTATATTTATAGATATTTGAATCCCAAGGAATGGCAAGTTAAGCTTTCAGATACATAAACTGACAACACTTCAGACTTCATTCAGTTTGTGAGTTAATCGCCCCAGTTTGAGCAGGGGTATAAAAGTAACATTTTTAAATATTTCACATTTTGTTATAATATAAACTTACTGTGTGACCAACAAAACTGTCCAAGTACTGCTCATTATATGAACAGGAACATTTATGTATATGGCCTTCTTCTGTACCAGCAAGATATCTGAAATAATGGAAATCAATTCTATATAAACTATCAACATACAAAATTGTGTAGATTCACTTTCTCATCTTTTTCAGGAGTCTTTCATTCCACCTCTCCTTTCATGAATATTATTTTGTAGGTTATTTCTCACATACCATATATTGTTCTATTGCTATCTAATTGATGTTAACACTGCATTCAATGTTTTAAAAAAAATCATGCAATAGTTCATGTGTAGTATATTCAAAGTAAGAGAAAACCAAAATATGAAACAAATTATACAGTGATTTTGATACCGCTCGTCATTTTTCGCCATTTAAGAAACAATTTTCAAAATGAAGAAAGTATTTATGATCAATTTCGTCACTTGAAATTTGTAAAAGTAAAAAAATTAAATTGTGCAAAATTTTACCTGGTGACAAGTTTATGACAAGTTAACGACCCCAAGCTAATCAAGGGATACAACAGATGTCATAATTTGTTGTTTCAGGTAATCCGCTTATCCGATGGGTCATTAATGATCATCAAAATTAATATTCTTACATGTATAGAATTGGTCAGTCTGCATTTCGTAATTTCGTATGAAATTGTTCATACCACACGTTGCCATAGTTTCATGATGAAAACGTTATTGACAGAAAAACAAAATTGCAATGAACTTATTCATTTTTATTTTCTTGAATTCCTTTAAAATTTTAAATTTAAGACATATTTTGTCTTTGCCTGCCCTCACTTTTAATATAGAATAACAAAACGGCAGCCATTGACTGAATGTGCTTCTACCGTGTTTAATTATGATCCTCCGAAGAGTAGGAGCACACCTGAATACAAGAAAGATAACTGAATGTTATAATTTTTCCTAGTATTGAAATACCTACTCATGATTGGTCTACATACTTCTAACTTTAGGACTGATAGGTTTAGGAGGTCTTTTGAGTTATGGTGCAAATTAGGGGGTTGGGGAGGGGGCTTGGATTATCATTTTCTGTATTCTTTATTTTTTTATAAAAATTTCTCTATTCTGTATATTTAAGCACCCATTATTATCTCTTTTTCATTTTTTTTTCCCCAATTTTCTCTATTTTTAAATTTTATTATTAAAACATTTTCTCTGCTCTGTAGCATATGCAGACCATAAGCAAATTATAAGGACAGGAACATCGACCAATAGATTCATTATATATGTCCCATTAGACCTTGTTTTGAGACATACAAATCAAAACAAAAACATTTATGTATCTGTTGAAGAAATACAGCTGTTTTTAATCTTAATTGTTATATTTTTATTTGTACATGTTTACTAATGAAATACTGAAAAAGAAAATACTCATGTTTTTGTTCATGTACTAAACTCTATGCAATAACTACTTTAGGTATAGAACCACTAATTCAGGCCCGGTCGGAAAGAACATACAAGAAAGTAGTACATATTTTAAACAAAATAGTTCCTACGCATAGCTGTATCTTTGTCAATAGTGGGAATATTTGGGTAGTTTTAGTATCAAATGAAAGCTTTGGGACTTGGGATCACTGTAGAACCCTAGTTGAAAGTTTTATTTGAATAATAAAGAAGTATATGAAATTTTGATAGGAGGGCTCATTTGGCCTGTTGTTCAGATCAGAAGTTCCTGTTTCTGTACTATCAAACTTCCGGGAACCAGTACGCTCTAATATGCAATTAAAGGTATGTTGATTTTTTCAGCACAAGTCAGCATAAGGTACAGTTTTGACATGAAATAACTGCCACTTGATTTGAACTTAAGACAAAGTAGCCATTTATGCTTGAAATTGCAGAATTTAACATAGAAAGCAATGGGGCTATGAATTAGTGGTTTTATACCTATTACTGACAGGCATGTTAAATTCTATTTTTAGAAATCATACCCTTTACAGTGAACATTGGTCACATTTGTTGTCAGAAATCATGTTACATTATTTTTTTTATGTAACAATTATGTTAGTGTCAAATTACAGCCCTCAAATTGCTACAATAAGGTATTTTAGCCTTTTTTGGTCATTTAGCATGCACACAGTTAAGATTTTACCTGAAATTTAAATTTTTGGATTATCTAACACTGAAACCAATGAAACTTGTATATTATGACTAGTTTATAGTATAAATATTGTTTTTGGTCAAATTATCTAGTGAGTGTTCATGTTTTATTGTGTTTCTTGGTGAGTTATTTATTTCAAGGAAAATTGGTGTATACTTATATAGGAATTCCAAAATCTCACTTGAAATGCATTTTATAACCATTTTAGCAAGTTGTCTATCTTGGAGATACATGAATTGCTCTTGTTGATCCATGTTTATACATAAAAGTATGTTTTTTTACCAAATCACTATCCTTTTCCAACATGTAGAAAAAAGGGGGGATAAAATTATCAATTATATTTTATGTTTGGACCACTGTATTTATATTCAAGGAAGAATCCCTGATAAAAAAAATAAGACATATAGGTAAGAACACTGTTATTTGAGTAGATATTAACAAATCAGAACTGGTAAAAATTGAAAAAGTGTCATATCTGTCACTATTAGTATCCATATGTAGTTTTCTTTGTTTAACGCATATGTTACTACCAGTCCAATTTGAGCTTGAATTCAGTGATATATTGTTTTGACAAAAGCTTTATGTGTTTTTCTATGCTAGAAATAGATCATAGAAGGAAATTAAGTCAAGCAGAAGTCAATATAACAAGTTTGGTGCTGTTATAGGTATAGAACCACTAATTCAGGCCCGGTCGGAAAGAACATACAAGAAAGTAGTACATATTTTAAACAAAATAGTTCCTACGCATAGCTGTATCTTTGTCAATAGTGGGAATATTTGGGTAGTTTTAGTATCAAATGAAAGCTTTGGGACTTGGGATCACTGTAGAACCCTAGTTGAAAGTTTTATTTGAATAATAAAGAAGTATATGAAATTTTGATAGGAGGGCTCATTTGGCCTGTTGTTCAGATCAGAAGTTCCTGTTTCTGTACTATCAAACTTCCGGGAACCAGTACGCTCTAATATGCAATTAAAGGTATGTTGATTTTTTCAGCACAAGTCAGCATAAGGTACAGTTTTGACATGAAATAACTGCCACTTGATTTGAACTTAAGACAAAGTAGCCATTTATGCTTGAAATTGCAGAATTTAACATAGAAAGCAATGGGGCTATGAATTAGTGGTTTTATACCTTTAGTACTACTAGTATCATGTTAAGCTGCTACCCAAGAAAGGTCTATTTTCTTATCACTCAAAAGTGACTAGATCCTTTTAAATCTTAGCTTAAACCAAGGCTTCCAAAAAGGTCATATATTACGGACATTTGTATAATGTCCGGTAAAAGTCCGGCTGGGCAAAGCATGAAACGAACATCTACTTTTTAGTTTTCAAGTCTTTCTTAAGAGACGGTCATTTTAACATAATTCGCGATCTTTATGACCCAACCTTTTGCCTTTAACAGCCACACATTTCCGGTCATAAAAGTGACACGATCATTAAGTACTATCAAAACAACCCCTACTTTAATACCTTCTCATTTTAATCAAGGCTAATTAGTTGTCGAACAGCTGAAATTTACCTGTTCAGGTGACAGGTAAACTATTTTAAACCGGACATTGATCGGTCTATTCAAAGTTATTTTCTTACATTTCAGCGGTTTGCATCTAATTAATTTAGTCAAAAAGATTTAAATTATCAGAAATACGTTTACAAATATGATTTGATGAAAATTAAAAAGGTGAAAATGAAAAATCGTCATAACCACGTTGTTTGAACCAGAGACATGTTTGAACAAGTACACGTGTGCGCATGTGCGCAGGTGTGAAATTTAATTATGCAGCCTAATTTCTTCAAAAAATGCTTAAATTGTCATTGATGCCTTTATCTCACGTTTATTTCGAATATTTTCTTGAAGAAATAACGTAGAAAGAGCTACTTACACTCATTCATGCTTTGCAAACGTACACGGAATTTACGTATCCGTCTCTGGTCCATGTTTTACCATTGTCAAGATAACATCCGGTTTAAAAACGAAAGTAAAGTTTTTGACAACGTTATTTTTCCAAAATAAAGAGTCTAAGGCAGATATAAGTATGCTGATGTTGCACACTTCGAATGATGCACTGCCAATTTAACATATTACGTCAGAACTTCGAATTTGAATCAAAGAAAGTTTAATATCGTTTTTTTTTAATGTCAATCATTGGGATGTCCAACTCGGCAACTGATTACCATCATTGCCTTTTGTTTATTTAGTCTTAAGAGATTAAAATCGGGATAATATATAAAATGTCCGGCTGGCTAAAAATAATTTTGGAAGCCCTGGCTTAAACCCTGCAAAATATACACATGTTAAAACCAAATGACCTACATATTTGTATCTCTCTGTTGGAAATCAAAACTCATTCCTCCAGCATGCCTGGATATGAAAGCTTCTACTTTCTTCTCTTTTTTACTTCCATATTTAGTTGGCATCCTCTTTAATCTCATCATGTCTGTCAAAATATAGTTAATAATGTTTTAATTTTTGTTTCTATTTGTATCTTTTCTTATTCATTGTATCTTTGTTCATGCTAATTTTATGATATCAGTAAATATTTTCCTAAAAAAAAATCATTATCATAATTTGTAAAACAAGAATGTGTCCATATTACATGGATGCTCATTCGCACTATCATTTTCTATGTTCAGTGGACGTTGAAATTGGAGTCAAAACTCTAATTTGGCATTAAAATTAGAAAGATCATATCATAGGAAACATGTGTACTAAGTTTCAAGTTGATTGGACTTCAACTTCATCAAAAACTACCTTGACCAAAAACTTTAACCTGAAGCTGGACAGACGGAAGAACAGACGGTACAACATACGGACGAACAAAAGGACACACAGACCGAAAAAAATAATGCCCCTGAAACCAACAATTGGCTATATCTAGTTTTGACATACATGGGGTGGACCTAGAGCACTCCTCTCTTATATATGAAAAAAAAATACATGAAAAAGATAATACTTTCCTTAACCATGTACCCAAGAACTTTAAAATGATATTTATTTGTTATATCAAAAACTTGCAATTATAATAAACAAAAGATAACTGGAATTAATAAGTTTATGTTTAAATCCTTATTAAAAAGCAGTAATAATCACATTAAAATAGTAAAACCAAAGAATCTCTCCCTTATAATTTATTTTAGAGGACACCCCCCCCCCCCCCCTTTTCACCCCTTAAAAAAAAAAAAATTAAAAAAGATGATAGTGTCCTTGAATATAACTTACCATAACTTTCAAATCCTTTTCTGATTGACCACTGCGTTACTCTACCATCAGTGGATATGGAGATCAACTTCTCTGACACCTCTTCACCAGATCCTCGTTCTTTTTCTATCCACTGAATTTGCCATACTGGTGCAGTATGCTTTCCTGGAGATTGTCTGTTTTGAAAAAAAAAAGTTTTTTTACATGAACATATTCATCATTATAAATTCACAAAGGAAAACACTCAATGTAAACTAAGGATTATCTGTGACCTTCTAATTTTTTTGTGGACAGCTAAACCAATCTTTTTTATTAAAATGCTAAAAATATTCTTTACTAGTGAATTTTAAAACAAAACTCAACATCAATTTATCAAACCATGAAAAATAGTACATTATCAAATTAATAACAGTGTAAAAATGAATTCATAAAACTGATTTTGTTTTGTCCGACACAGAATCATTAGCAATTCAAACAGAAAAAAAAAACCCAGATCCCCATCCTCATTTATCCACTATATAAAGCAAATAAATTGAGAATGTGTCCATGGGACACAGATGATATCCCGGCTTGCATATAACCTAATGAAGGGACATAAATAACTTTAAAAGTGATGCAAACTAAAGTTAGAGAATGGAAACCAATTTTGGGACGTATGTATGGACAAGGGTAACATTTAATGCCCCCTTCCCCTAGCGGTGGATGCATAAAAACAACATACACAGGATTCTTGTAGTCAGTTTGTGAGCAATAAGCTGCAAAATTTTAAGCTACTATAAAGCTGTATACATTTATCAATACTTACAAGCTGTCAATCATTGCTTCGTCCTCTGTACTTTTGACATTATATATAGCTACACCGCCATCATACATTCCGACCTATTATCATAAAAAAGGGAGGTTACAGGTTATTTTTTTATCAAACCTACCACACATTTAAGCAATGACGACACAATTCATTGTGATTGTTGAGTGAAATTTAACTCATTTACAATCATTTTTATGAAGTGCCTTAAATAAATCAACCTTTAGAGAGGTCAATCTATATGCCCCAACCAAGGTCCTGCAGGGACATACATTTAGTATTATTAGTAATAATCGATTTATCCTAACATTTTGATACTCATAAACATATCACATACGATAAAATAAGGTATTAAATTAGAGATGAACCCATGTTCCATGTTAAAAATGTTGGTGTATTTAGCTTTAACTTACAGCTAAAAGTGATGGATGCATCTTTGAGAAATCTACAGTTGTCACACCTTCCTTGCAGGTATATATTCTTTCTGGATACTGGAAAGAAACAATGTATATCATTTTATAATCATTTATACAGTATAAATCTTTAATTTAGCAATAGCATGGAACAATTTAACTGATAATAAGAATGGTTTAGTATTACAGTTTTTGAGAAATTTATGAACTCATAATTATTTTTTAACATCTGCATACAGAAATGTTAAAGGATACTGGCATGTAGAGTTATTTTTTATTTATACAAGCCAACTTTCTCAAAGTTTTTCAATTTTGATCACCTTTCTTGTTTGAAAATATTTCTTTTACAAAATCTAGTACAAAAATGGGAGATAACTCTTCAATACATTTGCATAAACATGGCTTATTGCAAAAAACTGCAACAAATAAACATGAAAAAAACTTTATGTCTGATACAATACCTCAGGATTTTTAAGTGACCAGCAACATACAAGTCCAGATTTCTGATCAGAAAATTCAAACTGTCCATATCCTACTGCTATCAAATCCTAAAAAGAAAGAAATTAACAAAAGTAAGCATTTCCCATTTCTTTGATAAAATACTACAACCACATTAAATTTATCTAAAATGAAAAGAATAACGTATATGTATAAAATTATTTACCAAAATTTAGTTTAATACATTAAATATAACGATAAAATATAAAAGAAAGAAAAAATATGATTTATAAATACTTACAGGGTTAAGTTTATTCCATGACATAGAGCTGACATTTCTACCTTTAGTTAATGGACACTGATAGGACCATAACCTGTCAAAGTTTGGTCCCATGTCAGAAACACTTAACTGTTGATTGGCAGAACTGTCTTTGTCTAATTCTACAAATATAAACAAATACTACTGAACAACGTTTAATCTAGGTGAGAATTATTCCATGATGTGTCAACATTATAAAAGAGTCGTCTTAAAACATTATAAATAAAGAGCTGCACTATGAGGGCATGATATGCCCTTTGCTTTTTCAACAAATAAAGTTCCATTAATCCTCACTGTCATATCAGAAATTTATAAAAAAACTAAAAAGATCTTATTCTAATAGATATAAACCAGTCACCAAAGTTTCATGAAAACTGCAAAAAACGTTTTTGAGTTATTGTCTGAAAACTGGTAAATCCTCCCTTTTTTATGAATAACATCCCATTACTCTGAAACAAAAAATCTAGAATTTATAAAAATCGAAAGGGAGCTTATGTCAATAGATATAAACAATTCACCAAAGTTTCATGAAAATTGGTTAAAGCGTTTTTGAGTTATTGTCCGACATGTTGACGACGGATTGATAGACGCACAACGGTATACCATAATACATCACGTAAACGAGCGTATAAAAATAAAAATTTTCTCTTCATATAATTTTCTAGGATTTTCAAGTGCATTATAATATTACTTTCTAAAAGATTAGATTATTCTCTTTTTTTAAAAAAAAGCACTAACTTCTACACATTTAAAGTCTATCTATCTATATATATTGTAATAAAATGGGCGCAGCTTGATACGACCGCAGAGGTCAAACCCTGAACAGTTGGGCAAGTATGGACACAACATTCAAGCTTGATACAGCACTGAATTTGTATTGTGAATAAATGTTTGACACAGCATAGGTTTCTGACACAGAATGAATGTGGTCTAAAAACTTAAAATTTTTTAATTTACCTATTCAAACCATATCATTATTATTTGCTTTTATATATAAATTAGAAATAACCAATTTAAAATGGAAAATTTTAAAGAAAAAAAAAGGAAAAAAATATCCCTCCCCAAAATTTTTTGAACCCCCTTATGATTCATCACCCCCAAACTCAATCCCAGCCTTCCCTTTGTGGTATGGTACCTTGCAGTACAATTTCAGAGAGATCCATACACTTGAACACAAGTTATTGTCTGGAAACTAGAAAAATGTTTGTTTTTAGGCCCCTTTTTGGCCCCAAATTCCTAACATTTAAGGCAATTATCCCCAAACTCAAACCCAGCTTTCCCTTTGTGATATGGAACCTTGTAGTACAATTTCAGAGAGATCCATACACTTACACACAAGTTATTGTTCTGAAACTAGAACGATTGTATAAAAATGCTTGTTTTTTGCCCCTTTTTTGCCCCTAATTCCTAAAATTTTGAGGCAATTACCCCCAAAATCTATCCCAGCCTTCCCTTTGTGGTATGGTACTTTGCAGTACAATTTCAGAGAGATCCATACAATCAAACACAAGTTATTGTCTGGAAACTAGAAAAATGCTTATTTTTGGCCCCTTATTCCTAAACGTTTTGGGCAATTACCCCCAAACTCAATTCCAGCTTTCCCTTTATGATATAGAACCTTGTAGTACAATTTCATAAAGATCAATACACTTACACACAAGTTATTGTCATAAAACAAGAAAAATGCTTCTTTTTTGCCCCTTTTTGGCCCTTAATTTCCTAAAATTTTGAGGCAATTACCCCCCAATTCAATCCCAGCCTTCCCTTTGTGGTATGGTACCTTGCAGTACAATTTCAGAGAGATCCATACCATCAAACACAAGTTATTGTCTGGAAACTAGAAAAATGCTTATTTTTGGCCCCTTATTCCTAAACGTTTTGGGCAATTACCCCCAAACTCAATTCCAGCTTTCCTTTTGTGATATGGAACCTTGTAGTACAATTTCATAAAGATCAATACACTTACATACAAGTTATTGTCATTAAACTAGAAAAATGCTTGTTCTTTGCCCCTTTTTGGCCCCTAATTCCTAAAATTTTGAAGCAATTACCCCCAAAATCAATCCCAGCATTCCCTTTGTGATATGGAACCTTGTGTACAATGTCAGGGAGATCCATACACTAACACACAAGTTATGTCTGGAAGTTACAAAAATGCTTATTTTTGGCCCCTAATTCCTTAACTGTTGGTACCATAACCCCCAAAATCAATCCCGACCTTCCTTTTGTGGTATTGAACCTTATGGTAAAGTTTCATAGAGATCAATTCACTTAAACTAAAGTTAGAGTGCGAAAACTAATGTGTCTTCGGACGACGACGACTCCAAAGTCATACCAATATACGACCGCAAAATTTTTTTGCGGTCATATAAAAATAGCTATAAAACATACCTGTTAAAACAGGATAGCCTCTGTACAAAGCCTGCCTTGATTGGTATGTATTCAGATTTACAACTCTTTCCATTATAAACAAATCTCTTAACAAATTCTCTGACTGAAAAAGAAAATGGAAATTTGCCAAAATGAGACAAGCAAATGTCTCAGTTGAAAATGACATAAAATACTTAAAAAACAGAAATAGTAATGTTTAAGAAATATGTCTCATTATGTGTATGGTAAACACACAGCAGTCAGATATAGTGTCAAACTAGTCCTAAATCAATAAGCATTCCATATACTTAAAATGTTAACTGCATTAAAATTTCCAACTTGCATATCATAGTTCAGAAAATTTCATCTATAAGCTGGTGTCTTGAAACTTGTTTTCTCCCTTGTTTAACATAAATTATACAGGAAGTAGGGTTTGACAGATCCCAAAGAGGTTACAAGTTACACCTCATCATTGTTGAGCTACTGACGAAATATGTAGTCATTCTGTTCAGTAGTACTTAAGAAAAGTGTGACGAATAATTTTAAGCTCATTCAACATATTTAATAAACAGCTGCGCCATGAGCGCATGATACGCCCGTCGTCTTGTGTGTGAATTTTTATGCAATAAGCATAAATAGTTTCTGACATACGGCGTGACATGCGAAAACCCCCTTTTTTTTTTTACAAAAAACTCAATATCTCTAAAATAAAATTTTGAATCAAAACCAAAAAGTATACAGATCTTTAGATTAATATAACTAAGAAGTGTGTAAAATTTTAATCAATAATCATAAATCGTTTTTGAGATACGGCGCGACATGTGAAAACACCCCTTTTAAAAAAAAAAATTCAATATCTCAAAAAAATTTTTTGAATCAAAACCAAAAAGTATACAGATCTTTAGATTAATATAACTAAGAAGTGTGTAAAATTTTAAGCAATAATCATAAATCATTTTTGAGATATGGCGCGACATGTGAAAAACCCCTCCCCCTTTTTTACAAAATACTCAATTACTCAAAAATAAAATTTTGAATCATCACCAAAAGGTATACAGATCTTAAGGTTAATATAACTAAGAAGTGTGTAAAGTTTTAAGCAATAATCATAAACTGTTTTTGAGATACGGCGCGACATGTGAAAAACCCCTCCCCCTTTTTTAATAAAATACTCAATAACTCAAAAATGAAATTTTGAATCATCACCAAAAAGTATACAGATCTTAAGATTAATATAACTAAGAAGTGTGTAAAGTTTTAAGCAATAATCATAAATTGTTTTTGAGATACGGCGCGACATGTGAAAAAAAACACACACCTGTTTAGTTACTAAGTCCCGTAACTCAAAAAGTTTTAATCTTATTTTCACCAAAAAGTATACAGATCGTTTGACCATCATAAGAAACAACTATGTTAAGTTTCATGAAATTTGGATAAGTCATTCTCAAGTTACAGTGCGACATGTTTACGCCGGACAGACAGACGGACAGACGGACAGACAGACGGACGGACGCCGGACATTTGTATAACATAATAAGTCCCAACAAAAATTTGACGGGCGTATAAAAATTAAAGTATCAGCAAACAGGAAGTTGGTGTCTGAAAGATCTTAAAAATAGTCACACTTTACAACTAATTACTGTCAAGGTTCTGACCAGATATGAAGTCATTCTGTTCATGATTACCCGAGAAAATTGTGAAGGAAATATTTTTTGGATGGACAGACAGACATGATGAAGTCATATCACACTGTGGATTCATTTATTTTTGTGATACCAAATTTCAAGGATTGAAAAACAAATTGTACTATCATGAGTACTTGATTTTTCATGGTTTTGCCAAAGTTTGCATACCAACCTTTGAGTTATTTATACTTCGATAAACATTTAAATTCATGGTTCATCTATAACCACAAAATCAACAAAAACTGTTACCCAACAAAAATAATTATGAATCCAAGGTAAATTATTTTTAAACAAACCTTCATAATCCTATCCTCTTCTACAGTAGATAATTCACTAGGTATGGATGATACTCCTGTTTCCTTACTTGCAAATACACTCTCAGATCCTGCCATTGATGATGCTATTGTTGCTCTACTTTCTGAATAAAAAAATCTTACAATAAAGAAAGGCTCAAATTTAATTAAAAATAAATCCACTTTTAATAATTTTTAATGAATGAGTAGCTTTTATGTATCAAGTATCAAGTATCAAATAGTTCTTTCTGGGTATTTAGAGTGTGGTTTTTATCTTAAAAATCTTAATAAAATGCTCCGCTGGGGCGCAGCTTGATACGACCGCAGAGGTCGAACCCTGAACAGTTGGGGCAAGTATGGACACAACATTCAAGCTTGATACAGCACTGAATTTGGATTGTAATTAAATATTTGACACAGCATAGGTTTCTCACACAGAATGAAAGTGGTCTAAGAACTTAAAATTTTTTAATTTACCTATTCAAACCATATCGTTATTATTTGCTTTTATATATACATCAGAAATAACCAATTTAAAATGGAAAATTTTAAAGAAAAAAACATACATGTGATGGACTGTGAAACTCAGATCAGGAGATTGGAAAATTTTGGTCAGGAGATTAGGACTCAGATCAGGAGGTTTTTAATCGACATAAAGTTTGTCGTAAATGTAACCGTGTGCTGTAAAAATTGTGTGTTTTCTTCAACTTTCAATCCGAATGTATTATGTATTATGTTTATAGTACCCTTGTACTTATAAAGTTTCTTTATCTTAACATTCTACATGTTCAATCTAAGATTCTTTTTTTTTAGTATGTTCTTTAAATTTTTCAATTCATATCTTTTATATCATTATTCTATAGGACAAAAATTGCAATCAGATCATTTGTTTACCTATCTGCATTTGCAGTTAGATTTTATTTGAATAATCAGAAACTCATTTAAATTTAGAACATGGGTCATAGTTATTATATGAATTCAATTTAAGCCTTGAAAGAAAGTATAGAACCCTCAAATAATTTTCAAATTATTATTTTTTGATTTGTCCTAAGACATTTAAAATCATTTAATTACCATCCTTTTATGATTATTTGTTCAATTTATATTTTATTTATATTCTTTTAAAAATTTACATTATTTAAAGGAAAGTAACTTAAAACAGGATAAATCAGGGGAAGTAACCCAATAAATACACAAAGTTTTTATTACACAAGGGCAGTTAGCCTGAGGTAAAAATCGTTGATTACCAGTATGTTTGACACCCAAGCTGACAAGTGAAGCCATATAATTATGCATGTTAATTGATTTACAGGTAAAATATAACTTCAGGTGATGTCAGTTACACCAGATGTCTGAGATGATATGTTGGGCAGATTTCATACACAGGATTTTTTTCTCTTCAACGCGAGGTCGGGAGAAGACCCCTGAAAACGGGATTATTGTACTCCCGTCGGGAGGTTTACATGTATGAAAAAAAGAAAAAAAAATCCCCCAAATTTTTTTGAACCCCCTTATGATTCATCACCCCATTGGCCCAAACTCAATCCCAGCTTTCCCTTTGTGGTATGGTACCTTGCAGTACAATTTCAGAGAGATCCATACACTTGAACACAAGTTATTGTCTTGAAACTAGAAAAATGCTTGTTTTTTGGCCCCAAATTCCTAAACGTTTAGGGCAATTACCCCCAAACTCAAACCCAGCTTTCCCTTTGTGATATGGAACCTTGCAGTACAATTTCATAAAGATCCATACACTTACACACAAGTTATTGTCCTGAAACTAGAAAAATGCTTGTTTTTTGCCCTTTTATGGCCCCTAATTACTAAAATTTTGAGGGAATTACCCCCAAAAATCAATCCCAGCCTTCCCTTTGAGGTATGGTACCTTGCAGTACAATTTCAGAGAGATCCATACATTTGAACACAAGTTATTGTCTGGAAACTAGAAAAATGCTTATTTTTGGCCCCTTATTCCTAAACTTTTTGGGCAATTACCCCCAAACTCAATTCCAGCTTTCCCTTTGTGATATGGAACCTTGTAGTACAATTTCATTAAGATCCATACACTTACACACAAGTTATTGTCATGAAACTAGAAAAATGCTTGTTTTTCGCCCCTTTTTTGGCCCCTAATTCCTAAAATATGGAGGCAATTACCCCCAAAATCAGTTCCAGCATTCCCTTTGTGATATGGAACCTTGTGATACAATGTCAGAGAGATCCATACACTTACACACAAGTTATTGTCATGAAACTAGAAAAATGCTTGTTTTTTGCCCCTTTTTGGCCCCTTATTCCTAAAATTTGGAGGCAATTACCCCCAAAATCAATCCCAGCATTCCCTTTGTGATATGGAACCTTGTGGTACAATGTCAGAGAGATCCATACACTTACACACAAGTTATGTCTGGAAGTTACAAAAATGCTTATTTTTGGCCCCTTTTTGGCCCCTAATTCCTTAACTGTGGGTACCATAACCCCCAAAATCAATCCCCACCTTCCTTTTGTGGTATTGAACCTTATGGTAAAATTTCATTGAGATTCATTCACTTAAACTAAAGTTAGAGTGCGAAAACTAATGTGTATTCGGACGACGACGCTGGACGACGACGACGACGACGACGACGACGACGACGACATACCAATATACGACCACAAAAATTTTTTTGCGGTCGTATAAAAATCTCTCCTCTTTACTTGAATAATAATAGCATTCATATGCAACACTTGTAATAGATTTATAATTTACATAAAGACATGTTGTACTGTCATTTTTAGCCAAAAAAATCCTTTGATGCTTTACTTAGAAAATTCAGGTTCTATAATGACAAATGACACTACCATAATAGTCACTTTTAATCTATGATGTCAAATATTTTCAATTATAACTAAAAAGACCACTGAAAAAAATGATTATTGGTTGTAATGGCATACAAAGTGGAATTCATGTAACGCTTTATTTTCTTTGCAGTCTAACAAAATATCTGAAAAGGAAATCTTTGTTTCTAAAGACTTAAACAAACATTGCAGTGAGGTGAGAGTTTTTTATTTTGGTTCCGTGTTGAAGGCCTCACAGTGACTTTAAGATGAAGAACAGCAATAAAAGCGCTGTTCCTTTACTTTAGTGTGTTTTTTGCTGTGAATTTACTGATTTTGTGTCATGAATGGATACCCCATATCCTTTGTTTTTCTATTGTAGAGTTAAAATAACAGAATGTTTGTCTTAAACGTTATAATCAAAGAGCTGAAAGCTCTGAGGAAAAATGACGCCACTGTCTCTAATATTGTGATATTTTTTATGCAAGTCTTGATTTTCACATATTGTCATACCGTAATTAGTTTAACATTCCAACATGTCTCGTAAGCATATAATTGATATTCGTATATGTGTGTGTTATGTGAAGATGACAACTGGCTGTTTTTTTAGTACAAATGTATAGGTCAAGACTACCTGAATGATCTACAGTATCCAATGACTACTGGCTGTTTTTTTTCTATAAATAAATAGGTCAAGACTACCACAATGATCTACAATATCCAATGACTAATGGCTGTTCTTTTGTACTAATAAATAGGTCAAGACTATTTGAATGATCTACAATATCCAATGACTACTGGCTGTTCTTTTGTACATATAAATAAAGACTACCTGAATGATCTAAAGTATTCTAAGTAATGTGATTTTTGTCTTACAATTACATTTTTCTAAATCAAGAATATAGACTACTAGCATCCTTTTCAAACCAAATGATTATGAAGAGCCTGTTGTTATCATGCTCTTATACCCTACATACTCATTAAATAAGTTACTAGTGACCTAGTTATTTCTGTTACTTGAAGCAAATTATATTTCTGTAGATTTAAACAATAGTATAATATTGTTTTACTAGTTTTATTTCACCTTGAAGATTAGACAAATAGGGATACTCCTTTGATTTTTTATTTCATGTCAGTCAGGACGCTTTATATGAAACTTGAAACCACTTCTCTGCCATATTGTTATTTCATAACAACTCTGCCCTTGACCATGTTGACCCATGTAATTGATATTCATTCTTTAACCATATATCATAGTCAGTTAGTTTTTGATTTTGCACTCCCACACCACCTTTCAGGCCAAATGTCTGTCTCCATTTAAGTTAATGACATTGAACAATCATGGTATTAAACACAATTTCAATAGTGATAATGCTGTTCTAGTAGGTCACCATATATTCAACTTGGGTAGCATTCCAGTTATTGAAATTTGTGTCAGATTAGAACAATGATCTAGACCTTTAGGAATGGATCTTACAATTTAATATGAAGCCATAGTATGAGACCCCTACACGGTAACAAAAAAAAAAAACAAGCTTGAAAGGATACACCGTCAAGCGGCAAAATCTATCACCAGAAATTACAAGTCAAGAGAGGATGGACGGGATACGTCTCTAAAATGCTTGCCTAACTGGAACTACAACAAGATCTCCAGACAAGACGAACAAGGAGTTGAAGCCAGAAGTTAATATTTATGTAAAAAGTAGTTGAGGGGCTGATTCCCGCTATTGAACCATACTATCATTCTATAATATTATTGCATAAGTATTTCTGTATTGTCCTTGTTATTGGTCCATGTCTTGGTGTATTGGTCTGAGGCGAAGCCGAAGGCCAATACTGCTGGCCGAGGACCAACAATAAGGCCAATACAGAAATACATGTAATAGTATCTTTATTAATTAACTGCAGTGTTACAATATTTTTTTATTTCATTTCACAAGAGATAAACATTTTTACCTTGAAGTGGAACTATCCAAATCTCAGTTTCTTTTTATAAGATGCAATATCTTTATGATTTGGTGCCGTTTCCATGTATCTTCAGCCTTTTCTCATCTGATGAATTTTTCTACCCTTTCCAGTCACTATAAAGTGTTACAACTTTAATTTAGACACAACACATAAATAGTAATTGGAAAGGTACTGCCATTGCATGTGTAATGCAAATATATTTAAAAAAAAAATAATGTAAGAGTTGAAATTGATACAACTATCCATAAGCCAATTGACCAAAGAACGAAGATTTGCGCAATTACAGAATGCAGAAAGACCGTTTACAAAACATGAGAAGCGAAAGTAAACAGTAAAAATCGATTTGTACCATCGACATGATGAAATTATGAGGTCGTCAAGAAATGAACTTTGTGATAATTTACTCGTTCCCCAAACCTGAAATAATTCCATCGTCTACTTTCAAAATGCTTTTCAAATGAATGGGACCGTCTTTAACATAACATATATGCCATACTGAACGTTTCAGCTTGTTTATGGTGAGTAAATAAAGACTGCGTCGTACAAACAACTGTTTACTTTCAGTTTGAGTTTTATCGTGACTTACGATCTAAAAACTAGAGACGTTCCGAAATCCTGTTTTGGCCGGATCAGAACTCGGCCAATACGGAAAAAAAATCTGTATTGGCCGAGTTGACATCTTATATTGCATATGCAGTTTTCATCATATTAAGTACAATAACAGTGTAGTTAATTAATTATGATACAGTTACAGACTCTGCTGCTATAACTTTGTAAACAAAGATTCATACGCACCGCGTGGGTATAACCGTATTACTAATTTCCGATTATTAAAATCTTCGTAAATCTGGATAAAGACCAGTTTCTATCCAATGAATATCAAAATGATTCCGATTATTACTTTTTTAATGATTGTAAAGTTGAAATGGCATGAAAGGCTGACATTATTTAGGAGAACTATTTTGTCTAGCGATTGCTGATCATTGGAGGGTAAAAAGTCCAACACCATAACAAAACGGATCTCTTTATCATGTATACATACCGATTGTTTACGATTGTAAGACATGTGCATAAAAGTCAAAGCTCGAATAAATATGAAAAATATAACAAAGGGATAGCTCCAAATACCATTTAATAACAAAAAAACATATGGACAGTTCAAGATATCTTTTTGGTAAATAAAATAACGTATGTAAACCGGTTCCCGTCCGACTACAACACTTTGTTCGAGTGTAGCGAAATACAATCAGATTCCAGTCAGTATGTTAAATAGTAAATATGAAACCGAGTGCGGTAGGCGGAGGCATAATCAACTTCCGTTAGTTCTGGTCAATGGTATCGGAAACATGCCGCTGATAGCGTCATTTTCCAAAAACTCATTTATCGGCAATTTGTACATTTTTTCCATTGATCTTACTGCCTAATATTTGTTAAGATCATGGACAGGACTTGATACTCGAAAATATTAGGCAATGACGTCATGTATCAGTGCAGCAATGTCGTGTCTTCGTGTTCATCCGCATTAATTTATAAATGAAATGCATGCGACTTCATTCATACAACCGAACAACTATCCCAACATTTTGTACAAGTAAAAGTAGTTTTACAAACTTTTTCAATTTACTTCATATTCTCAACCAAAAAAATCTACAGTTAAGACAAATTGTCAATAAAAAGAATAATGGCATTTTATTTTTTGATACTGACTTCATCAGCTCGCCCTTGCAGGCTCGCTTAATATTCTTGCTGATAAGGTCAGTACCAAAAACAAAAATGCAATTATTCTGTATATATTGTCTAATGCTAAAATGCGCTAACAATATTTAACAAACTAAGCACATGCAGTTTTAAATGAAAATCATTACTGATCTAAAACTGGTCTTGAATCAACAGACTAAGTATATGTCTTAATAATTTTATGGGATAAATGATTATTCATCATATTTTTGTTTTGCAATTAAAAATGAATTCAGATACTGGTTTAAAAAAAAAAATCAATAACAGTTGCACATAGAAATTCACTCAGCACAGTTTGTAAGAAATGAAAAGAACCTTAAACATAAGAAAGTGTAGATATTACAACATTAATATTGCTAACTTACTGCACCAAAAACTATTCAATTCACCTAAATGAATAACTTCAAGGAAATAGAAAACTTTAACTTAAACTACAGAAGACTGACTTGGTTACTTGCATATTTATTTTCAATATATTCTATAATTTATAATTTCATTATATTAATATCCAGCATATTCAATGTCTTAAACATTTAAGAAAATTTTATTATTTTGATATTCTGTGAATTTATTATCATTTGGGAGAAATCAATTTCCATAGATTTAGTGGTTTGAGTCAAAGAAAATACTGATTTTTAGTTGCTTTGATAAAAGTAAATAATAAAAAAAACTGGTAGTCACAAAAGTAAATGAAAGGCAATTTCAAACAAGATTATTTGAGAGTATATATTTGCAAAAAAGTAAGATTGATAAGCCTAATGATCTATCAGAAAATGCAAATCTACAAAATAACATTATCCAAAATTTAGTAACAAAAAAACTATCAGGATAGCTTTTCAAACCAAAATCTACATCGTCTTACCTGCACCTAGTCTAAGCCTAGATGATCCTTTAGAAAATATCATAAAGAATAAGTTTTTCATTTTTTATTTAAATTGCAGTTTCTACTTATCCTTGACCATCCTTATAACTATGTTTATTTCCTGCACCTGACTCTCTTTTGGAGATTTTGGATTGGATGGTAGGTAGGGTATTCGATTTTTTTCTATCATTTGATAAATAATTATATAATGACTGAACATGATTAAAAGTATTTTAAATTTCAGACCATTGAAATATCAGCATTGGTGAGAGAAATTCATATTTCCATGTTGCTTGTCAATTTGAGGTGCCTCAAAAAATAAAAATAAAATTCGTAAGGGTTCCGCGGAACCCAGTGTCTCGCCTACTTTTTCTGTTAATCGCAGGCTCAACAAAAATGAGGAAGTAAATCAATAAAAATATTCCTCTTGATACTATCTTTTGATTGAAAGAAGCTTCTGTCCAAGTTTGGTAAAAATCCAGGATAGTTTATGAATCTAATAAATGTTTAAAAACTTTAACTGCAGACTGAATGTAATGTTAACTGGAAGAAAACAAAATTTCCTTCTAGATACTAGCATTTGATCATAAACAAGCTTCTGTCCAAGTTTGGTACAAATCCAAAATAGCATAAGAAAGTTATTAAAATTTTATAACTTTAACCACAGAGTGAATATGTTGTTTCCTGGCAGAAAATCTAAGTCCATTTAAAAGTAAAATACAGAAAAAATGGATTTATTTTTTTACAAAATTTCCTTCTAGATACTAGCTTTTGATCATAAACAAGCTTCTGTCCAAGTTTGGTACAAATCCAAAATAGTATAAGAAAGTTATTAAAATTTTAAAAACTTTAACCACAGAGTGAATGTGTTGTTTCCTGGCAGAAAATCTAAGTCCATTTAAAAGTAAAATAAGGAAAAAATGGATTTATTTTTTTACAAAATTTACTTCTAGATACTATCTTATGATCACAAACAAGCTTCTGTCCAAGTTTGGTACAAACCCAGGATAGTTTAAGAAAGTTAAAATTTTAAAAACTTTAACCACAGAGTGAATGTAATATTTCCCAGCAGAAAAACTAAGTCCATTTATAAGTAAAATACAGAAAAAATGGAATTTTATTTTTACAAAATTTACTTTTGGATACTATCTTATGATCATAAACAAGCTTCTGTCCAAGTTTGGTAGAAATCCAGGATAGTTTAAGAAAGTTATTAAAATTTCAAAAACTTTAACCACAGAGTGAATATTTGTGGACGCCGCCGCCTACGGAATGTAGGATCGCTGTCTCGCTTTTTCGACTAAAGTCGAAGGCTCGACAAAAATGAATCACCACAAATAAGTTTTCAGTCAGAGTGATTTATAATTCTGTCAGGTCTGGGGAAACAAACATAATTCAACAACTTATACTCCTTTCAATAAATAATTGTTGTTCATCATAATTCATATTTGAAAAATAAAATAATAAGTGTCATATGCTCACACAATAACACTTCTAAGTTTGTGAAACTTCAGGTTGTAATATTTTACTTAATAATTAAATCAGATTATTTGTGTTTTTTTTCACCCTGACTTCTATAAACAAACTTCTACCATTTTACTGTAAAAATTATTAAAGCTCTGTTTACAATGAATAAAATAAACTGATATGATGTAACAAATCCCACCTTCTCTAGCCACTGGAGCTGGTTCGCTTTCAGAAGCAGTTGTCTCCTCCTTTGCAGCAGGACTTGCTGGACGACTTATTGTACCCTCACCCTCTTCCTTTTCTTCTTTCTCTACAATGTTGTTTAAAAATTATCTTTAATGTTTTCTTAAAAGGGTGGAGTAGCTTTTGTTATAAGGCCATTCATGACAGCTGATACATGTAAGGACATTTTTAACATGTGAAATCAATTCTGAAGACATAGAACATTTACAGGAATTTCTGAAAGGATTTTACTCTTAATAATTTTGATCAATAAACCTGTATAATAAATTATAATTTTGTTCTTAATTTCAAAATGATTACATAATAAAAAAAAGAGAAGAAAACAAACTATAAGTTACAGTAATGGCACCAAATGGTTTGGATATATTAAATTAGATTTTTTTAATTTGTTTGTTTACTGATTTTTTATCTGAAAATTTATGGTCAGTTGTTTGGAAAAAAGAAAACGACCATAAGTAAAATATAAATGAATATTATTTTAATGTCTCTTTAAGCTATATTTCATATACTCTGTGATTTCTTTATATCACCATCATGGGATAACACAAAAAAACCCTAAACAATATAATAAATTGTCATTTGTAAATATTTTGTTGAACAAGTATGTTTTCTCTGTGACGAGAAAGGGGCCACGGTGGCCAAGTGGTCTAAGAAGTTGAACTACTGTATCACTAGCCTGTCAGCACTGATGTTGTTAGTTGAAAATTTAAGGTCAGTTGGTTGGAAAAAGGAAAAAGATCATATGTAAAATAGAAATGAATAACATTTTAATGTCTCTTTCAGCTATATTTCATATACTCAGTGATTTCTTATATCACCATCATGGGATAACACAAAAAAAATCCAAACAATATAATTAATTGTCATTTGTAAATATCTTGTTGGACAAGTATGTTTTCTCTGTGACGAGAAAGGGGCCACGGTGGCCAAGTGGTCTAAGCAGTCTAACTACTGTATCACTAGCCTGTCAGCACTGAGGTTGTTAGTTCGAATTCCTCACGTGGCAGGTGCACTTGATTCCAATCTTTATTGACTAGGATTTTTAGTTTTCCTACTGAAGTTCTGTGGTTCTCTTCAGGGACTACGGCTTTATCCATAAAAAAAAAAGCTGATTCAAAATGTTCCGATTTTTTTAGCTAAATTCTTTTGTACAAAAAACAGAACAATAATATGTTATAATCGATTACTTACATCAGTTTTCCAGTAAACCTTAACTACAGCAGGTTTTGGCTATATTTAGAATTTTAGTTTTAGAACACACAGTAGTCCACTTGTAATCATGTCAAACAAACACATTGAGCAATATACATGACCTAAGTCACATACTGTGTAAGTGGTTGTCATTAATTGTATATCAAGATCTTTTGCCCTTGAAAGAATATGATATTGATCACAAAGATTTGGTAGTGTTTGCTACATTTATTCTGAACTTTTAAGACTTTTAGCAATCTGCAGCCTGACAAATGATACAGACACTAATTAAATATATTCTCCATACAAAACCAAAATAACTAGCATACCTTTCTTTTCTTTTTCTTGAGCTTCAAATGTATCATACATATCCCAAGTCGTAGCATTTACTCCTACCTCCTGTAAGAGGAATAAGTCAACTATGTTTTCTGGTGTTTGTTAAATTTTAAAGATCTTGTATAGCTTAAGTTTAAATTTAATGCTTAAACATGATTTATCTAAATATCAACTATATTGTTGAAAAGATATCATCTGGAAACAAAAAAATAGTTTAAATTTTAGTCTATCAATAAGTGATGTGACCTTGACCTTTGACCTCAAAATCAAGTCTTCTTCATCCAATGGGGCAATACAAACATGGTGAAGATATCTTTATGGTTAGATTTTTATCCGTAAACTGAAATGTTGACAAGACTTGCGAGTATCATTTTATATGCCAAATTCCACTCCTCTTAAAATGTTTTAAAAGTTCTTGATTAGTTACTTATATCTTATAAATAAAAAATGAAATATGTAAATATATCTGTTAATTTACTTACATTGTGTGTAATTTTTGTTGTTTGAACAACCTTGACTTTTGGTGGTTCATTGAAAGTGTTCATTCCTCTCTCCATGTATTGGTCATTACCAACTTTGTTTTTCTGTAACTAAAATAGATATCAAAGACATTAGTATTTTTACAATCAATTCAAATGCATAAATCTCATTTTCAAACAAAAAATACACAAATAAAAATAATTTAAATTAAAAACCATACATGCATCTTAATTTTCCTTGTCAATATTGCTCAAGGAAAACAGCAATTTAGGTGACTTAACCTTAAATTTATCTAAAATTCACCTGAGAAAATTGGTCAACATGTTTATGGTTTCAGTGTGAAATCATATTGAACTTTTGTTCTAATTGTTCTAATTCAAAATGAATTAAAAACAAAACTCCAATTAAATTCAGTATTATTAATATGTTATTTCAATTCAAATAAAAAAAAATATAGATTTAAATTTTTTTTTTTAACATTGTCTGAATAAAGATCATTTTGAACTTACTTGTAAATATTTCTCATTTTTTTCTTGGATAGATTTAGCTTCATCTGCTTCATTAGAAACACAAACAGTTGGCATGTCCAGTAACCAGATTGTTGCAGTTTCTGTCAAGGTCAAATCTACTATTTTTTCAAGGTCATCTTCAAGTAATATTTCTTTAACATCTTCTCTCTTCACTTTGATGTCTACAAAAAAGTTTTTCTTTTAGGACAAAAGTTTCCCGTTGAATGATAAATTGGTTTTCTTATACAATTCAGTTCCATCAAATCTAATGGAAAATATGTTAAACCAATATTTATTACTTTTTTCACAACACTCCTTAATATCATTCTTCTTAGAAAAAATTCGTAAGGTTCCGCGGAACCCAGTGTCTGGCCTACTTTTGCTGTTAGTCGCAGGCTCAACAAAAATGGGGAAAAATCATTAAAAATTTTTCTCTAGATACTATCTTCTGATTGTAAGAAGTTCTGTTCAAGTTTGGTAAAAATCCAAGAAGGTTTATGAATCTAATAAATGTTTTAAAAACTTTAACTGCAACCTGTATGTAATGTTAACTGGAATAAAACTAAATCCATTTATAAGTAATATACGGAAAAACAGGAAATAAATTTTTACAAAATTTCCTTCTAGATACTAGCTTTTGATCATAAACAAGCTTCTGTCCAAGTTTTGTACAAATCCAGGATAGTTTAAGAAAGTTATTAAAATTTGAAAAACTTTAACCACAGAGTGATTGTAATGTTAACTGGCAGAAAAACTAAGTCCATATATGAGTAAAATACGGATAAACAGGATTTTTTTTTTTTACAAAATTTTCTTCTGGATACTATCTTATGATTATAAACAAGTTTGTCCAAGTTTGGTTGAAATGCAGAATAGTTTAAGAAAGTTATTGAAATTTGAAATACTTTAACCACAGAGTGAATATTTGTGGACGCTGCCGACAGAATGTAGGATCGCTATGTCTCGCTTTTGCGACAAAAGTCACAGGCTCGACAAAAATCTTAAAATGTAAAAAACCTACTGTGAATTCATTTTAATTTGTTGGAATCAATTTTGTGGGATATGTAAATTTGTGTATCACTGCTTCAAAAATATTTAAAAAAATGTTTGAAATTCTGTCAATATTTTTTTAAATCAGAGAAAATAGCATTTTGTAATTCTGAGAATAAGTCTGGATATAAGTCAATAATGGCTTGTTTGTTTCACTCCTTACCATTTTTCTTTATTTTATAATGGCTGTTCCGGGAATGAATGTAGTGTGGGGTTAGAAGGCACTTTTGATTTAACTCTACCATGCATAATATTTAAATTAATTATTACTTATAGTTCTTCAGGTTATCATTCTAAAACAATAGCCACCCATCAAATTTAAATAGAAGTGCCTGTGTCTCACCTGTAATTGCTGCTGTCCGTGTAAAAGTGTTATGGGCTGCCAAAAAATAAGTCCATTTACCAGTGAAATACAATTTTTTATTGAATTGAATTTTAACACCAGATGCATTTTCTTGATCTTCAAGAAGCTTTTGTCCAAAGTTTCATAATATTCCATGAAGGTTTTATCTACTTGTATCAAACCAATCAAAGGATTCGGGAGGCTCCCTTGTTTAACTTTTTAATGTGGACATTTTTTTCCTTTTTTGAATAACTGAACATGCTAAATACATTTTTATCCCATCTCCAGCTAAGGGTAAAATTGAGGGTCACATGCATACAGATTCAAATGAGGTTAAATTATTGACTTGTAAGCCAATAATGCATGAATAATGCATGAATGATGTTTATGAGCTTATTTTTACACTTTAAAATTTGATGGCTGGTGGTTATCTTAGACAGATAGCCTTAACAATTATATCAAATCATCAATTCAAAACTTATGCATGGCTGGGTTAAATAAAAAGTGCTTTCCTTTTATGAGTAAAATACAGAAAAATAAAATAAAAGCATTTTACAAATTTTGCTCTGGATACTGTCTTTCAGTCATAAAATATATTTTTACCAAGTTTCATAAAATTCCAAAAATGTTTGACAAACTTAATGTTTATAAAACTTTAACCTCAGATTGAAACTAAATGTTGCAGCTTCAGACTACACTTGTGTGTTGGATAGCTATGCCTCGCATCTGCAACAAAATGATGCAGACTCGGAAAAAGGGCCCCATTTTATTTTTTTTGTTCTTTTTTGTTTAATCTCATGTACAATAAGCATTTATAGCTGACAATTCAATTATATTACCCCAACTCTGTGAAACATCATGTGTATGATCAGCCATATCTTCTCCCATGATTGACTCAGTAGCAGTTCCCTGTGAAGCACTAAACACAGATCTACAATAATGAAAAAATGACACTAATAAATACAATTCCAAAAAGGAGTGAAATCTGACCAAATGCTCTTTTTTGCATTTTTCAAAAACTTCATTTGAAAATTGAAATAACATGGCTTTGCCTGCTGCTGATAAAGATTTTGCAACTAAAAGAAGTTGATATGGTTATTCATTATTATTTATATAATGCAGACTCAGTATGATTACATGTAATGAAATATGAATATTAATTGCTTTGTAGAAGACTGCAGCACTGAGCTGGATTCTTCAAATGAAGGTAACAATATGCAGAAAGATATGGATTGAACTTTGCCGTTCTTATCTTCGTACAGTTAAATAAGTGGATTGCTGAGAGCCATGAAAATCACAAAAATTCGTAAGGGTTCTGCGGAACTCAGTGTCTCGCCTACTTTTGCTTCTAGTCACAGGCTCGACAAAAATGGGGAAAAATTATTAAAAAATTTCCTATTGATACTATCTTTTGATTGTAAGAAGCTTCTGTCCAAGTTTGGTAAAAATCCAGAATGGTTTATGAATCTAATAAATGTTTTAAAAACTTTAACTACAGACTGTATGTAATGTTAACTGGAAGAAAAACTAAGTCCATTTATAAGTTATATACAGAAAAACAGGAAATATTTTTGTGAAAAACAGGAAATATTTCTGTGAAAAACAAACATAGGACCTAGGGATGCACTGGAAGCTAAATAGTAAAAAACTGGTTCTTTAAAAAAATATAACTATTAAGAAAAAGTTTAACAAATGGGAAGGCATGGAAAATATAAAAAGCTTGTTCAATTCACTTATTTGTTACATGCTCTACATGCTCTGCGTTGATTGTTTATCAATGTAACGATCGGGGAAACTTCGACAACAAACTCGAAAGTAAATAAGCTTGCGATCAACAATCACTGAATGAAATACTATTTGTCAATAATACGTTATAGATTCTAAAATATAAATATAAAAAAATGTGCAAACAGGACTTAGTTTATTAAATATGCATGCATTAGTTTGATAATTTTCATAACATTAAAATTATGATAAACTTGTTTCATATGACTTAAAAGTAAATAGAGAAAAAACTAGAGGCTCTAAAGAGCCTGTGTCGCTCACCTTGGTCTATGTGCATATTAAACAAAGGGCACAGATGGATTCATGACAAAATTGTGTTTTGGTGATGGTGATGTGTTTGTAGATCTTACTTTACTGAACATTCTTGCTCCTTACTATTATCTCTATCTATAATGAACTTGGCCCAGTAGATACAGTGGAAAATACTTTGTAAAAATTTACAAAAATTTACAAAATTTATGAAAATTGTAAAAAATTGACTATAAAGGGCAATAACTCCTTAAGGGGTCAATTGACAATTTTGGTCATGGTGCCTTATTTGTAGATCTAACTTTGCTGTACATTATTGCTGTTTACAGTTTATCTGTATCTATAATAATATTCAAGATAATAACCAAAAGCTGCAAAATTTTCTTAAAATTACCAATTCAGGGGCAGCAACCCAACAATGTGTTGCCTGATTGGTCTGAAAATTTCAGGGCAGATAGATCTTGACCTAATGAACAATTTTACCCCCATGTCAGATTTGCTCTAAATGCTTTGGTTTCAGAGATATGAGCCAAAAACTGCATTTTACCCTATGTACTATTTTTTAGCCATGTCGGCCATCTTGGTTCGCGGGCGGGGTCATCGGACACATTTTTAAACTAGATACCCTAATGATGATTGTGGACAAGTTTGGTTAAATTTGTCTTAGTAGTTTCAGAGGAGAAGATTTTTGTAAAAAATTACAAAAATTTACGAAAAATGGTTAAAAATTGACTATAAAGGGCAATAACTCCTTAAGGGGTCAACTGACAATTTTGGTCAAGTTGACTTATTTGTTGATCTTACTTTGCTGAACATTATTGCTGTTTACAGTTGATCTCTATCTATAATAATATTCAAGATAATAACCAAAAAACGGCAAAATTTCCTTAAAATTACCAATTCAGGGGCAGCAACCCAACAACGGGTTGCCTGATTGGTAAGAAAATTTCAGGGCAGATAGATCTTGACCTAATGAACAATTTTATACTCATCAGATTTGCTCTAAATGCTTTGGTTTCAGAGATATGAGCCAAAAACTGCATTTTACCCTATGTACTATTTTTTAGCCATGTCGGCCATCTTGGTTCACGGGCGGGGTCATCGGACACATTTTTTAAACAAGATACCCTAATGATGATTGTGGACAAGTTTGGTTAAATTTGTCTCAGTAGTTTCAGAGGAGAAGATTTTTGTAAAAGATTACAAAAATTTACGAAAAATGGTTAAAAATTGACTATAAAGGGCAATAACTCCTTAAGGGGTCAACTGACCATTTTGGTCATGTTGACTTATTTGTAGATCTTACTTTGCTGAACATTATTGCTGTTTACAGTTGATCTCTATCTATAATAATATTCAAGATGATAACCAAAAACGGCAAAATTTCCTTAAAATTACCAATTCAGGGGCAGCAACCCAACAACAGGTTGTCCGATTCATCTGAAAATTTCAGGGCAGATAGATCTTGACCTAATGAACAATTTTACCCCCATGTCAGATTTGCTCTAAATGCTTTGGTTTCAGAGATATAAGCCAAAATCTACATTTTACCCCTATGTTCTATTTTTAGCCATGGCGGCCATCTTGGTTGGTTGGCCGGGTCACTGGACACATTTTTTAAACTAGATACCCCAATGATGATTGTGGCCAAGTTTGGTCAAATTTGGCCCAGTAGTTTCAGAGGAGAAGATTTTTGTAAAAGTTTACGGACGACGGACGACGGACGCAAAGTGATGAGAAAAGCTCACTTGACCTTTCAGGTCAGGTGAGCTAAAAATAAGTTCATATAATATAACTTTTATATTTATTGTTGAGCCTGCGACTTTTGTTGCAAAAGCAGGACATGGCGATCCTACATTTCGTTGGCAGCGGCGTCCACAAATATTCACTCTGTGGTTAAAGTTTTTCAAATTTTAATAACTTTCTTAAACTATCCCTGATTTCTACCAAACTTGAACAGAAGCTTGTTTATGATCATAAGATAGTATCGAGAAGTAAATTTTGTAATAAAAAATCCTGTTTTTCCATATTTTACTTATAAATGGACTAAGTTTTTCTGCCAGTTAACATTACATTTACTCTGTGGTTAAAGTTTTTAATATTTTAATAACTTTCTTAAAATATCCAGGATTTCTACCTAACTTAGACAGAAGCTTGTTTATGATCAAAAGCTAGTATCTAGAAGGAAATTTTGTAAAAATATATTTCCTGTTTTTCCGTATATTACTTATAAATGGACTTAGTTTTTCTTCCAGTTAACATTACATTCACTCTGTGGATTAGGTTTTAAAAATTTTAATAACTTTCTCAAACTATCCTGGATTTGTACCAAACTTAGACAGAAGCTTGTTTATGACATTGAAAATTGAAATAACATGGCTTTGCCTGCTGCTGATAAAGATTTTGCAACTAAAAGAAGTTGATATGGTTATTCATTAATATTTATATAATGCAGACTCAGTATGATTACATGTAATGAAATATGAATATTAATTGCTTTGTAGAAGACTGCAGCACTGAGCTGGATTCTTCAAATGAAGGTAACAATATGCAGAAAGATATGGATTGAACTTTGCCGTTCTTATCTTCGTACAGTTAAATAAGTGGATTGCTGAGAGCCATGAAAATCACAAAAATTCGTAAGGGTTCTGCGGAACTCAGTGTCTCGCCTACTTTTGCTTCTAGTCACAGGCTCGACAAAAATGGGGAAAAATTATTAAAAAATTTCCTATTGATACTATCTTTTGATTGTAAGAAGCTTCTGTCCAAGTTTGGTAAAAATCCAGAATGGTTTATGAATCTAATAAATGTTTTAAAAACTTTAACTACAGACTGTATGTAATGTTAACTGGAAGAAAAACTAAGTCCATTTATAAGTTATATACAGAAAAACAGGAAATATTTTTTTACAAAATTTCCTTCTAGATACTAGCTTTTGATCATAAACAAGCTTCTGTCTAAGTTTGGTTGAAATCCAGGATAGTTTAAGAAAGTTATTAAAATATTAAAAACTTTAACCACAGAGTAAATGTAATGTTAACTGGCAGAAAAACTTAGTCCATTTATAAGTAAAATATGGAAAAACAGGATTTTTTATTACAAAATTTACTTCTCGATACTATCTTATGATCATAAACAAGCTTCTGTTCAAGTTTGGTAGAAATCAGGGATAGTTTAAGAAAGTTATTAAAATTTGAAAAACTTTAACCACAGAGTGAATATTTGTGGACGCTGCCGCCAACAAAATGTAGGATCGCCATGTCCTGCTTTTGCAACAAAAGTCGCAGGCTCAACAATAAATATAAAAGTTATATTATATGAACTTTTTTTTTTTCTCTATTTACTTTTAAGTCATATGAAACAAGTTTATCATAATTTTAATGTTATGAAAATTATCAAACTAATGCATGCATATTTAATAAACTAAGTCCTGTTTGCACATTTTTTTATATTTATATTTTAGAATCTATAACGTATTATTGACAAATACTATTTCATTCAGTGATTGTTGATCGCAAGCTTATTTACTTTCGAGTTTGTTGTCGAAGTTTCCCCGATCGTTACATTGATAAACAATCAACGCAGAGCATGAAGAGCATGTAACAAATAAGTGAATTGAACAAGCTTTTTATATTTTCCATGCCTTCCCATTTGTTAAACTTTTTCGTAGTAGTTATATTTTTTTAAAGAACCAGTTTTTTACTATTTAGCTTCCAGTGCATCCCTAGGTCCTATGTATGTTTTTCACAGAACAGCCCTTAATAAACCATTACTATTTGTTACATAATTAGACAAACCTTGAGAATGGCCCTCCTCCAAATGTACTGGCTGTAGCATTGGCTGTCTGGTATATTGAAGCTTGGGACATTAAATCTGTTGGCTGTAAACATACAAATCATGTAATCAATCTATTTGTCTAGACAACTGTTTTTTAATTGATTTGTTTTTATTTATCAAATTAACAGAAATCATGGTCATGTGATCTAAACTTACAAACAATACACTTTGTCTTTTTACTGAATTAAATAATAAGTTTCAGAAAATCTGTTTGATGATTTATTTAGCCATGGCATTGTCAGTTTACTTTTCTACTTATAAGTTTGAATGTCTCTTTGGTATCCTTCACCTCTCTTTTTCTATTTTTTCAAAATGAGATGTTTTTATAGATTATACCATAACCAGTTCCATATTGACCCTAGTATCATCCTTAGACTCCTATATCAGCGGACCACACAGACAATGTCAAACCATTTTATTTTTTGTATTGCAGCAATATTTTCTAGATTTTGACCAAAACAAAATATGTATAAATCCAGACCTACTGACCCTATTATTTAAAACAAGAGTGCACACGCTGAAATGTCTCGCCTTCTTTACTAATCATTGATATTATGTTGATAGTCCTAAATATAATGCTTTATTACAACTGTCACATAAACTTAACATTAACCAAGAAAACTAAACATTGACCAATGAACCATGAAAATGAGGTCAAGGTCAGATGAACCATGCCAGGCAGACATGTACAGTTAACAATTCTTCCATATAACAAATATAGTTGACCTATTGCTTATAGTTTAAGAAAAACAGACCAAAACACAAAAACTTAACACTCAGCAATAAACCGTGAAAATGAGGTCAAGGTCATATAAAACCTGCGCGACTGACATATAGATCATAACATATTTCCATACATCAAATATAGTTGACCTATTACATATAGTATTAGAAAAAAGACCAAAACTCAAAAACTTAACTTTGACCACTGAACCATGAAAACGAGGTCAAGGTCAGATGACACCTGCCAGCTAGACATGTACACCTTACAATCATTCCATACACCAAATATAGTTGACCTATTGCATACAGTATAAGAAAAACAGACCAAAACACAAAAACTTAACTATAACCACTGAACCATGAAAATGAGGTCAAGGTCAGATGACACCTGCCAGTTGGACATGTACACCTTACAGTCCTTCCATACACCGAATATACTAGACCTATTGCTTATAGTATCTGAGATATGGACTTGACCACCAAAACTTAACCTTGTTCACTGATCCATGAAATGAGGTCGAGGTCAAGTGAAAACTGTCTGACGGGCATGAGGACCTTGTAAGGTACGCACATACCAAATATAGTTATCTTATTACTTATAATAAGAGAGAATTTAACATGTCAAAAAATGTTAACTTTTTTTTCAAGTAGTCACTGAACCATGAAAATGAGGTCAAGAACATTGGACATGTGACTGACGGAAACTTCGTAACATGAGGCATCCATATACAAAGTATGAAGCATCCAGGTCTTCTACCTTCGAAAATATAAAGCTTTTAAGAAGCTAACTAACGCCACCGCCGGATCACTTTCCCTATGTTGAGCTTTCAGCGACAAAAGTCGCAGGCTTGACAAAAACAAGAGTGCACACACTGAAATGTCTCGCCTTCTTTACTAACCATTGATTTTATGTTGATAGTCCTAAATATAAAGCTTTACTACAAGTAACACATAAACTTAACATGATCCAAGAAAATGAGGTCAAGGTCAGATAAACCAAACATAGTTGACCTATTGCTTATAGTTTCTAAGAAACAGTCTTAACCAAGAAAACTAAATATTGACCAATGAACCATGAAAATGAGGTCAAGGTCAGATGATACCTGCCAGACAGACATATACACCTTACAATCCTTCCATACAACAAATATAGTTGATCTATTGCTTATAGTACTAGAAAAAAAAGACCAAAACTCAAAAACTTAACTTTGACCACTGAACCATGAAAATGAGGTCAAGGTCAGATGACACCTACCAGTTGGACATGTACACCTTACAATCATTCCATATACCAAATATAGTAGACCTAATGCTTATAGTATCTGATATATGGACTTGACCACGAAAACTTAACCTTGTTCACTGATCCATGAAATGAGGTCAAGATCAAATGAAAATTGTCTGAAGGGCATGAGGACCTTGCAAGGTACGCACATACTAAATATAGTTGACCTATTGCCCATAGTATTAGAAAAAAAGACCAAAACTCAAAAACAACTTTGATCACTGAACCATGAAAATGAGGTCAAAGTCAGATGACAACTACCAGTTGGACATGTACACCTTACAATCATTCCATATACCAAATATAGTAGACCTACTGCTTATAGTATATGATATATGGACTTGACCACGAAAACTTAACCTTGTTCACTCAGTGTTCCAGCTAGCATGAAATGGAGGGGCGCCGCGCCCCGCCCCCGAAATTTTGCGCCCCTCTGCCTTTTTTAAGCGCCCCTGCGCCCCTCTGTGCCCTTTTGAAAAAAGTTTAAAAAAACGATCTTTTTTCCTCATATCGTCGCCATTTTGTTGAGTTCTTTATACACACACTTCATTAAGACAACAGATCAAAATTGTTGACACTTGTTACCTGTATATAATCACCTATTTGATTAGAGTCAATTACTTAATCAGGTGAAATTTACGACCCTGTCTAATCCCTTTGCCCGGAAGTACCAAACACCCAAGTTAAATGAATTGTTTTTTAACACCTGACGATGCAAAATAGAATTTATAAAATAAATGAGAAAGATGTCCATTTCTATTGTATTTGTTATTTATAAAATAACGTTCGTTAAAAAAGAATCATTCCAATAGAATATTGTAAATCGTCAACACGCAAAATGCTGACGAAAAAAAGAAAAATTGACCAACTCGAAAATGACAAGAAGAAAATATCAAAGACTTGCCAGTCTATTACATCTTTTTTCAAGAATAATGACCATCAAAGGTAAAAAAATAATTTAATTCTTTACTTTTATGAAAAATCGAGAAGAAGAAAGGTTTCTATCAGATATCGCAATTGTTCTTCTATTGTAAATTCCGCCGATTACGGAGCACTCGAAAGTCCGATTTTTATATCATTTTTCTTAAATTGAAATCCGTTTTGACTAACTTTAATATTGATATTATTTGATACGCTCAACATGAAATATACGGAGATGCTTGTTGAATTGATAATAAACTTTCAAAGTTGAATTAATTTATTATCGTGCCGATTACGGAGCTCTCGAAAGTCCGATTTTTGTATCAATTTTCTTATTGAAATCCATTTTGACAAACTTATTGATATTATTAGATACGCTCAACATGAAATATACGGAGATGCTTGTTAAATTGATAATTAACTTTCAAAGTTGAATTAACAAACTTATTTGTTGAATTAATCTATTTCTCAAGATCGAAATAAAGACAATTGTCTCATTGACATTCTTATTTAAATTCACAACCAAACCTACACAATTTTCAATGTATGTAATAGTATAGAGTATTTAACTTAGCTACATGCTTGCTAAAAATATGTCATTATGTGGTAATATTAAGTATTTGATTTTTTTCAGTGAGAACGCGTTAAAGTGCCCTTTTTTAAAAACACGCCCCTCTATTTTCAAATCCTAGCTGGAACACTGTCACTGATCCATGAAATGAGGTCCAGGTCAAATGAAAATTGTCTGACGGACATGAAGACCTTGCAAGGTACGCACATACTAAATATAGTTATCCTATTAGTCATAATAAGAAAGAAATTAACATTACAAAAAATGTTGACTTTTTTTCAAGTAGTCACTGAACCATCAAAATGAGGTCAAGGACAATGGACATATGACAGACGAAAACTTCATAACATTGGGCATCTATATACAAAGTATGAAGCTTCCAGGTCTTCTAGCTTCTAAAATATAAAGCTTTTAAGAAGCTAGCTAACGCTGTCGCCACCGTAGCCGCCACCGGATCACTATCCCTATGTCGAGCTTTCTGCGACAAAAGTCGCAGGCTCGACAAAAATGGAACAAAGACTCAAATGGTTGGGTTTTGCAGATTGTTTCTTGAATAATGGATATTAATAGTCTATAACTAAACATTTAAATATATGGAAATATAAAATGTTAAAACGGGAAAAAATCTTTAAAAAACTTCATAATGGAAGGTGCACAACCTAAATAGGTTTGCAAACTCTCAGTGAATTTTAAAAGATCTGGGTTCAAAACAAAAATGTTACCATCTTCTGAATTTTTTGCTGAAATATCACTTAGTTCCCAGTCTTGAAAAGTGGGAACAAATTCCAAAAACAATTCCAAAATAGCAGCAACATATGTGCAAACAAGGTACCCACTTTTCTCTGCACACCATACTATATACTGGTTTTGAACTTTATTTCTGTTTCATTTTCTGATTTTTTAAATATAGCATCTCATTACTATTTCAAAAATGTAGGACCACCCAATTTGGTTGAAGGACCACCAAAAATTTGCAGTTTGTGAGTCCTATGTATGACAGAAAATGATTTGATTTTGATTTTTGTGTTTTAATGCCACTTTTAAGCAACCGCTTTTGGGCTATTTCGTGGCTCCAGTTTTTATTGGTGGAAGAAGCCTGAGTGCCCGGAGAAAACCACCGACCATTGATAGGAAAACTGACAATCCTAGTCAATTAAGATTGGAGTCAAGAGCACCGGCACAAGCGGGGTTCGAACTCACAACCTCAGTGTTGACTGGCTAGTGATTACAGTAGTAACTACTTCAGACCACTCGGCCACCGAGGCCCTCTGACAGAAAATGAAGTTTTGCCAACCGTTGTGAATGTTAAGTTATGAGTGGAGATCTCTGTGAACATAATGTCGTTCCTGGCAAATTTGACGGTTGCCAATATAGTGTTAAGAAATTCTGCCAACTTGTGGCATACGCAAAATGTCTTGTTTTTCATACTTGTATTTAATCCTACATTTCATTAGTAACTGCTTTTTACCCGTTTTATATTGCTTATTCAGTGTAAAGACAGATGAAATCATGCTTGTTTTCTATATAATCCTATATTTAGGCAAAAAAAAATATATGTCTGTTTAAGGTTACATAAAAAAAAAAAATAGGGTGGGTAGGTCTGTATTTCCATTTTATTTTTTGCAACATGACTTTGAGTCGCGCCATCCTTCTTGTCGTGGTTTGATATGTCCATGGGCCGATATTACCCGTATTTTGAATGATTGGAATATTTCCACGGATCGGGAAATTTTTTCACACAATTTCGGTCATTTTGAGATGACTTAAAAGTTGATGCACTTTTTTCAAATTGTTGAAATCACACTAGATTCATAGCATCAACGAACTTGTACTGACTGTTTCATTGCATTTACTTCATGAATTTTCTTACTATTTTTCTAAAAGCGTTCAAGAAAAGTTTAGGGAACTAAATAAAGCACATGTGTAACTCAGGAAAAATTACTTTTTTCTACGTAAATTAAATTAAGTTTGAATATTTGAATCAGAATTGACAATTGTCTTTGCTGAAAAGTAATTAAATAATGAAGGCAGTTGTCATGGAATTTTAATTTCTTTATGATATTATTTCTGAGCTTGTGGTCAATGTCAGATGTGAATTTAAAACACAGGTAAAAAGTGATTACCAATCATTAGCCAATATGTCCCAGAGGCATTAATATAGTTATTAGGAGGGCCCTCATTATTATCATACTATACTGGAGTGGCAGTTTTATTACAGGAAAGGGATTACAAAACAAAAACAAGTGCAAAATGGAGATTAAGAAACCCGATCTCAATGAAATGACCGAAATTATTACTGTTAATAAAAGTTGTCCTAAATCCAAATCTGCCGTTTAGGACAAATAGCTTCCAGATTAGGTCATGACTGGCAAATATGACCGTTTCTGGACCCTTGATTATAGATTGGAAAAAAAGGTGGCAAAGTGTTTATTTCATCACACAAGTCGCAAGTTTCTTAAAACAGCTGTCATATTCACAATTGTGAACATTTAGATGTATCAGGCAATTGATTTATTTTATTGGCAACTCCAACTTCGCTTTTGACACGAGTTCAGTAAATTTTTCACTTTAAGATGGGAATAAAATGACTTGGGGTCGGCGCTCAAAAGTAGGGTCGGTCAGGTAACCGTTAACATACATATTTTTTTTTGGCCTTATGTATGTATATTTACAGTGATTCATATGATTAACCTCAAACATTAGCAGCCTATTTTCTTAAACGCAAGGATAAGTATGCTTGGTCATATAAAAAGGGGATTTCGAACTGTCAAAAGGAATTCGAAGTTAGCATCATGGATACCTATAGGTAAATACTTTGACATACAAACACATATACCAAAAAACTGTTGAAACATATTTATTGTACTTCTTTTTATTGTATTGATTCAAAGATAATATAATTTCTATTTCCTGAAGATAGTTTAGTTATTATTTTGTTAGATAATACCAACAAAGGTATTTTGCATAGATTGAATATCTAAAAACTATAGTTGTAATAAAGATCAAGAAAAATCTTTATACCAACTATGCAAGCAGAAATTATCTTTAAAAATATAACCCATTTATTGAATGATTGTAAATCTTCTCTGACTTACTGTTCCAACTGAGCTGTCCGCCAAAACATTACTCTGTTTTTTACCAAGAAAAGCTGGGTCAGTCTGTATGAGTGGTACAGGTGTAACATCATTTCCAGCTTCATCAAGAACCTACAAAAAGATTAAAAAATAACTTCTTCAAGGGCAAACATATTCTTAACTTCTACTTTTCCTATATTTATTTATTACTTGTTACTTTTCAAAAATGTGAAAGCTCATCAGTTGCTATTGAAAACTTCAAATGATATTTTGAACTGATTATTATCTTTTTTCAAATTCACTCTTAAACATTTTATTATATTTTTCCAATCAGCACTTACTGTAACAGGAGGTTTACTGCTTGTTAATTTATCTCCTGCACCGCCCAGCCCCTTCCTACTTGCTGATCCTATTAAATTAGATCTGGATTTTGTACTAGCATAAACAGTGCTTCCTCCATATTTACTTTTGATAACTGATGCTCCAACATTTCCTTTCCTGGATCCAGCTTGACTGTTTCTTAAATGAAAAGAAAAAAGTTAACACAGAGATATGTTTTACCTCTTAGCAGAAAAATTAAAAACACTTTGTTAGTTGTAATGTTTAATCCTGTAATGATATAGCATGAAAAAAAAGTGTTGAAATTCACAATTTTGAAGGTATTATGATATGACATATACATGTACTGGGACATCTATAACTGTCCTTTAGTCTTTGGTGGATAGTTGTCTTTTTCTCATTGGCAAACAAACCAAATCTCTTTAAGGTGGTACATAACACTACAGGGAGATAACTCTGTAAAAATCAGGTGAACGTTTTAATCACGTCCTATTGTTAAGGAAATATGAAGCGTCTCAATGATCAAAATTAGTGTTTGTCAAACTGCTATATATCTAAAAAAAGTGTGTGGTTCAAGTTTTTTGAAATTTCTATATTTTGTGTCAAAGGGTCAAAGTATGTTTGTCAAAATTTTTATGAAAATTAAACGAGCCAATTTAATTTGTGTCAAGGTGTTTGGTACCACCTTAAGTGTTATATTGGCTGGTTTGGTGCAAAATACAATGAATACTATAATTATGATAATTTAAATAGACCGAAAAAAATTATAATATTTCAGATGGATTATCATGGTAATAATAATGATGAAATTGATGGAAATGAAAGAAAAGTATTATTATTAAACAGCTAAAAAACTAATTTTCTTTTTTTGTTTTAAAACTGTACATTCAATGTTTTTACTAATTAGAAGCTCAATAGTTTACTTTACAAATTTTTATCTTTCCATAGTGAATCAAAAAGCTAGTCAGACCAACTAATAAGACAACTTAAATCGTCAATAATATAAACTCAGACAAAGTATAAAAAGAGAGTTTTGACTATATCAACATGATTAATGATCAATGTTATTTTCTCAAATTTCCTTTAAATACTTCTGCATTTGCAATTGAAATGTCATTTAAAAATAATTTGTTTAATGTGAATCCAAGTTTCTACTTCATCATGTTGATTTTATATTCCAAATTAAAGTCTCTATAAATTTTAAATGCTTTTATTAATTTGTTGAATTTGTCATTTATCATACTAGTTTTTTATGGAAATTTCTTTGTTCTTATTAAATGATCTTTGCAAAGAAATTGCTGGTCATCACAAAATGATCTTATTTGATCAATTTATGAAACAAGTGGTAATTTACAGAAAATACATTTCTATTTAATCCAATTACATAAGCTTTATTACTTTGAAAAAAACGAGGATATATTTTTTATCAACCAAGATGCAATCTAGTCAAAAATCATTAACAAGTGCACATGTATGAATGACAGCATTCAAACAACTGAAATAAAACAGTCTTCAAAAAAAGACAGAAAAATTGAGAATGGAAACAGAGAATGCATCAAAGAGACAACAACCCGACCAAAGAGCAGAAAACAGCCCAATGGCCACCAATGGGTCTTCAACACAGTGAGATGCATGTCTTCACAAAAGTCAAACTCAAATTTGTCCAGACTTTAAAAGTTGTGAATAATTCAACTGAAACTAAATTTACTTTCATGAATTAGGACCAGCACATGAAACGTGACAAGGTTAAGCCAGATTTTGAGATCTCAACCATCCACTTTTTTAATCTTGATAAAACAAGTTGATTAGTAATGTAACAAAAAAAAATAAAAATCTGAATTGACATCATAGACGGTCTGAGTTGTCGTTGTACACGCTCCTTTTTAAGGAATCCTAGTCACTTCTGCACCTGGTCAAATCGGCACCTGGTAAGTCATTTTGACACCTAGTTAAATTAGGATTTGGTTATTTCGGCACCTGAGGTAATTATTTTGGCATTCAATATTAACATTATGTTTTGCAAGTAAACTATTGACTACTGCTTTTTTTCCATATTTTTTTAATATTTACACTCCTGAAAGGTGTCAACAAATATTTGTTCCGCATACAAGAAGTTCTCATGGAAACTTTATTATAAACAAAGCCATAATATCTGTTCCTATAACATGAATAATAAAGGAACTTCTATTTTATGACAACTTTATTCATTTCATATACATATAAGTAGACAGGAAATGCAGAAAAAAAAAATTAAAATTCAATAACAATGATTAAATATGTTTTCATCCTTATCTGTGGATTAAACAACAGCATGGGTAAATTTTTATTGCTTCTTTGTTTAATTCAAGTTTTTTTAACATTGTTTAATAATAAATATTAAAAAAACTACCTGAAAATGGTTTAAAGGAACAAAATGATTACGTTGATATAAGTTGTAAGTTTTCAAAGTGATAACAATCATAATTATTAATAGAAAATTGAGGAAACTTCAAACAGCAAGCCAACTGATTATTTTTTATTGTGTATTCTAACTCTTATTATTACATGTGCTGATTTTTTTTCAAGATTCGGAGAATAGTTTTTTGTTTTTTTTTTGTTATTTTTGGCAAAACTTTATAGCTTAAGGAACTGAATTATTTATATCATTAGATATTTTCGTAATAAAGGATTTTTCTTTAAAATTTGACATGCAGTGATGATAAGTACAGTTCCTATGAATAAAATAGCAGACGAAATATTCACGGAAGTGACAATTACGGAAGAAATGGGAGTGGGCGGGTTTACCGGACACTACCTTATATTTAGCCTTATTTAACATGTTTAAAGATTAGATTGGTATATTATTAGAATAAATTTGAAAGATTGTTGTTTGATATATATATACATGCCAATTAGTTATTATTATTATGTGTTTGTTTGCCATGATTGTTTTGATGTGTACAATATAACTTTGGCCACAGACGACTTGGATTGTGTACAGAACAACAAATGGGGTATACATCATATCGGCACCAATAGAAAAAGTCAAATCTGCATCTAGTCAAATAGGCACCCATTTAATGTCATTTAGTTATTCAATTCGGCACTTTATATTATTTTACTTTCCTTTTTATTTGAGTTATGGGCAAAATTGTGTATTATAACTGCTTTATTACATGTGCTGATTTTTTTCCAAGATGTATGAAATGTATCTTTTTAATAAACTTCTAATGATATAAGTAATACAGTTCCTTAAGCTAACGATAATCATATTATTGCTAACAAAACTCATTTCTGTCTTGAAATTTTAATTGGGATTATCTGATATCTTTTTATAAGTGCCTGGTCTATTAATAAATAGATCACCTTTTCCTTTCATAAATTTGTGATTAACTGGTCCTCCATACATATTTACTGGGCATTGGCAGATTTACCAGACAAACACATTTCTGATAAAAACACGGATGACCCACTTGTTTTGTTGATTTTAAAATTTATTTCAGATATTTTTAGGGAAATGAGATAAACTACTCAAAGTTGATTTGTCAGTGAATCGATTTATATTAATTTGATACAATTTGTATATAATTAAGCAGAAATACATACGATCAAAGCCTTATGTGGGCTGATTTACCGAATCCGGTTCCGTTCGCCCAAAAACATGTTCGCGCCCACACCCTACACATTCGCACCCAAAGTCCGTTCGCACCCTACACTTTCACACCCTTTTTATTGGTTTTGTGTTTAATAATTTTGTTATCGAATTTAGGTAAGTGTATTGCTGTAGATATTTTTTTTTTCATTGTTTCAAAATAAAGTGAGATTCTGACAACATTTTTTTGTGTTGAATAAATCTTAATCATGTTTTGGTTAATGTATTGCTATAAAAAAAAAAATCATTGTTTCTAAATAAAGTGAGATTCTGACAACGTTTGTTTTTTGTGTTGAATAAATCTTAATCATCTTTTAGTTAGTGTATTGCTATAAAATTTTGTTTTCATTGTTTCAAAATAAAGTAAGATTCACACATTTTTTTATTATGGCTGAATAAATCTTAAATTATGTTTTGGTTAGTGTTGTGATATAAATTTTTTTTTTCATTGTTTCAAAATAAAGTGAGATCAAAGGGGCCCATGGCCCAAGCTGTTAAAATCAATTATCTTTCGTGTTTTTCTTTTTAAATCTTCAATATTTTACTCATACCAAGCTAAATACATGCAGTATTTACATCAAAGCAAGTTAAAACAACAATCATGATTTTCAAACACACAACAATAATACCAAATTTAGCTGTGTATAAATACCAATTAGCAGTAATCATACATTTGTACATAATTAACTTTTAATAATTAATCATCAAATTGATGAAAAAAAAAACATTCATATAATAATTCCCCAATTTTTATTCAGGAAAATAATTTTTTTTTGGTATATACATATAAAAAAATATTTAATAATTCAACTTGAATTTGAATAAAAATTGGGTGCGAACGGAACTAGGGGGCGAACATGTAGGGTGTGTGTATTGGACGAGAACTGACCTAATACCTGATTTATTGACTGCATCATACCGGTACCTCGAATGACCGAATAACACCGTTATTATCAGAATTACACTTGTAATGACGGAATAACACTTGAAATTTTAATATTAGCACATTTTGGTGACTTTTAAACATTGATTAATAAATAATAGTATGTTATTAATGTATTTTATAACTTAAAAATGATTTACAGAAAGCAGGTAAGTTCATAAAGATTAATTTAAATATAGTGTGTATGTACATCCAACATGGCGACCAAGGAAATCACAATGGTCGCCATGTTGGATGTACACACTAAATTTAAAAAGATCTTTATAAACTTACCTGCTTTCTGTTAATCATTTTTAAGTTATAAAATACACTTGTAATATAATACTATTTAATAATCAATGTTTAAAAGTCACCAATATGTACTAATATTAAAATTTCAAGTGTTATTCAGTCATTACAAGTGTTATTTGGATAATAACGGTGTTATTCGGTCATTCGTGTTACCCAGGAAAGCTTAGGACTAGTCAAATTCTGTCAATTAATTTCAAAGGTACACTATTTTGTTTTCGTCCCATTAAATATATTGAATTTACATAAACCAAATTCTTTTAATGATAAAGATGGATTTATAATGAACATGTGTGAGAATGGACGTTAAGCGAATGGACCTGTTACACATAATCATATAAAGGGCACGGGCAAATTGTACTTTGTATAATAAAGTGTCGTTTTTCATTTATCCTACAATTACATGCAACTGTATGTGTATAATGATCAAAATCTGTAGAAGACATTTACCCAGTTGATAAAAAGTTTGACTTTTTAGGTTTTGACGTTGACATGTTGCGTTGAAAAATATCACAGTGATGACAAAAAAATTCTTCAATATTCAAATGGTTGATGCCGCCATATTTAGAAAGAGTCACGTCGTCAACAGCGACCAGGTACGCTTTGTAAGCTCGACATTGATTGGTCGTTTTCATTTTCTATATTTAAAATAAAAATAGCGTTTTAAAAGTGACCATGTCAATTTTAATCTGCAACTTTGTGCAAGTTGTCTATAGATAATCATATGATTAATTCATTATATCATATGCATACAAAAAATATTTGTTACGATGAAAAATCATAATATTAAAGTTTAAGTATTTTTCTTTTATCCAATCAAAATGAGTGTTTCTTAAATGCCGTCCTATCTTTTGCCTCTTTTTCGAATGACGTTTCATATCCCATAATTTCCAGCAAAATGGCGGAGGTAAGTTTGGGCATTTTGATATTATCTGAAGGAATTTCCATTGAAACAGAAACATCAGACGTTTTCAATCTACGGGACCATGGAATTTCATAACCTCATTCATTTATCTTGATGATCATAGAGAATCGTGCGATTATGACGGCAATTGAATCAGTAAAGGGAGAAAAACTTGAAAGCGCGCAAGCAGTTGTCATCACGGCGGCTCATTTGGGTGGGGGTGTTTCCCAATCTTTTTATAGATCATATTTTAAAAAATCTCTAACAGTACATATTTTTATTTTTCAGGTCGGTGCTAGTGAGTCGAGCAGTCCAGGTAAATTTTAAACCACCATTTTTATCATTTATGATTTAATTGATATTTTACAAGTGAAGTATATATAGGAAACAGCTCAGAGTCTTATCTTTAAAAATGCTAAAGGATACATCATAATCCTGAAATCTGAATATTGCTTTTAGGTTTTTCAGCATTTGAACAACGCAACTGTTTGTCCTACCGAATTTGTATTCCCTAATGTATAAGAACTTAACAAAATGTTGATGGTAAATAGGATATTTTTCAAAATGTTTTAAAAAACATGACTCTTGATTTACCGAACTATTGCAGTATTGGCTAATGTTAAACTGAGAAATTAATCAATATGACCCGAGATAACTGTGTTTTGTTAAACTTCTATGCGTTTGACAATGTTTGAAATGAATGGTTCTTGTTTCAAATTATGATTTTTTTACCTTTAGAATTAAACTCTTTTCTAGAGACAGATCGAGACTTTGATCCGACTGCAGACATGCTAGTTCATGATTATGATGATGAACAAACTTTGGAAGAAGAGGAAAACATGAGTGGTGATAGTTGTTGCAATGAATTGGATGATTTACAGAAGGTATTATCTTTTAATCTTTTACAGTTCACTTCAAAACATAGTTTATTACTGATATTAACACAGTTGGTCTCATCTGAATATCAGTCTTCATATTTGACTGTGAGAGGGAGTTTTCAAGTAAAATTAAACAGACTGGGCTGTTTGGACTTCTTTCAGCCATGGAATACTGTATATAAAAACCACACAATAAACAATTTATTGAATTATGGCAATATCGAAACCTTGATAGAAAAAAAAAAGGATATGGAGTATCTATCCATGACACAAAATCACTTCATGCACAGCAAAAAACACACAGTAAGCAAAGGAACTGCACTTTGATTGCTGTTCTTCATCTGAAAGTCACAGTTAGGCCTTCAACACGGAGCAACAAATCTCTCACCTCATTGCAAGTTTAAGATGGTCCCTAGCACTGGTGTAGACTACCTAGTCAATCTGATAATTCAATAAAATGAAAAAAATGTGCAAAATATTTGATATTTATTATTGTCTTATTATTCACATTAGGTAATTTTATTAAAATTGCGTTTAACTACTCAATATTACACAAACCTTTTCACAGGGTATGCATTGTCAATTTTGCTGATGCTTATTTCCTGATTGTTCTAAGATAACTTGGTAAATGCAATTCAAACCAAACCTTATTATTTATATCATTTATATGCGAAACAACAATTTTGAAAATGCAATTCTAATATTTTCATTTGTCAAACAAAGTTTAGATATAAATAATCTTTTGTCAATCTCTTAGTAAAATTGGTTTTGCACTGAATCACCCATTTTTATCTGAACCAGTCTTAAAAGGCTGGAAAATGAGTAAGTAAATGATGTTCAGTCTGTCAACTTTTATTTTTCAGATGTATAAACCACTGGCCTTTATCATTTCTCTAAACAACATGTAATGTTGGTCACCTTTCACAAAGCATTTAGATGTTTTTAAACGCTTTGTAAATGTGGCTGGTCTGCCATGTAATTTAGAAACTATAGAAGGCCAGTGGTCAAAATATCTGAAATAGATTATTGTAATTCAACAATTTTAAGTATGTTCCCGTTTAGAATTTCTACACGAGTTAACTTTCAGAAAAACAAATTCAGTACGGTTCAGACACTTATCTGCAGTCAGGAACAAACCTGTACATATAAAAGTAAGAAGATGTTGTATGATTGTCAATGAGACAACTCTCCACAAGACACCAAATGACACAGAAATTAACAACTATAGGTCACCACACAGCCTTCAAAAATGAGTAAAACCCATACTGCATAGTCAGCTATAAAAGGCCCTGAAATGACAAATGTAAAACAATCCAAACAAGAAAACTAATGGCCTGATTTATGTACAAAATAATGAACGAAAAACAAATATGATATACGGCAACAAATGACAACCACTGGATAACAGGCTCCTGGCTTGGGACAGTCACATACATAATGTGGCGGGATTAAACTACTTGAAGGCGTGCCAACCCTCTCTCTTTCCGTCTAAATTTAGACAGTTTAGTAGCTGTTATTTACAGACATAAAATTCTTTTGAAACTCAAAAAAGCTTTACAGTATTACCTACCCACCCCCTTCTCCTGAAAAGTAAACAAGAGTTACAAGACAGAGGGGATACAACCATATATAAATGTTGCCTAAATTATAAAGAAAAGAACTTGTATTTTTCAGGAAGGAGATATGCCACTGTCAGATTTAATGAGCATGTATGGATACCATTCACATGATGGAAATGAACAACAAGATACCAGGTCTAGTAGTGAAGAAGAAATTCTCAGCAATCAAGATCTTACCTTAGATAAAGATGAGATCGCCAGAGATCTCCTGAAAAATAGTGATGACGATGATGACAAGGAAACTGATGTTCATGATTTAATCAACAGTGTTTCACAGACTGCAAGATTGCTTCGATGTAAATAATTCTAGAGCTTTCATCCTTTTTTGTTGGGCAGACTTGTATTAGCCACCATAATGTTCTTAGTCAAATAAACAAAAACGTCTGATCCCATATTCAGGAGACGATTTCAAATGAAAAAAAAAATCAGTTAAAATTTACTATTCATTCTGTAAAATAAACAATTTTTTTATTGAAACATTAAGATTTTGTGATGAGTACTTGCTGAATACATGATATAAAGGAATACACGTTATTTTTCTCAAATTTTGGCTCAACTGGTTTGGTTGGTCAGATGAATCGGGCCACAATTAAAAAATAATTCAGTTTGCCCAAACCCGACCCATGATGACTGGGTGTGGGTAGGTAGGTAGGCAAATTCTTTTTTTCTTTATCAGAATTTGCATGAAAATATTAAAACAGTATATCTTTTTTTTCCGTCAAACCTTTGTAGAGACAATCAAAAGCCATGAAAAACTGTCTGCCATTTTCACATGTTTTACTTCTTTACAGGGATGTCACTAGGTTTTGAAGTAGCAGGATTAATAATTAAAGTAGCAGGCAAGGATAGCGGACGTCATAGACGTCCTGTGTGACGAGCTTGCTCGTCGCCCATCATGGCGAGGGTTTTTTTTTCTAAAATGGTGCAAAAATCCTGCATTCTGGGGGCTCCTGAACTCTAATTTAGTCCTAATCAAACACCATTTTTTTAATGATGATAAGGTAAATGAGCAACAAGATGGTCACATATTTTCTATAAAGTTGATCACATAAATATTATTATCACTATAACAAGACTTTCAGCTAACAAGTAGTTGAAGTTGTTTGAGGAAAATGATGAAGGATGACTCTGTAAGACATGGTGATCATTCAGGAAAAGATTCAAATTTGATCTTATTAGTTGAAAATATTTTTAGTTTAACTGTAGACATGCAATTATTCAAATAATTCGAACCCATAGACATTTTTTTTATTTCTCAGTATTAATAATTTCACATACTTATTACAATAAATCAAATGATGAATTGGACTGTTGCAGGCAAAAAGGTGAACTTTTTAAGGATGTACTTTGGTGAAATTAGAAAAATGTAGAATTTAATATTGATACTATAAGTCAGAAGACTTCAAGAGCATTTAAGTTAAGAAGCAAACTAATGGAAAAAGAAGAAATCTACAATCTGCTTAAATTTTGGTATATGACCTTTTATGAGTTATTAATTGAAGTATTATATATGGAAAAAAAATGGGGGTCATGGGGCAAAATATTTTACCCTGTATCGTAGGAAAAAACACCAAAACCTGACCTAAGTACATCCTTAAATGCATAATCATGCAGGGCTCACACTACTTCAGAATCATAGGGAGAAGTGACTTCTCTTTTTGAAACTGATAGGGAGAAGTGCTCCTTTGCACACTGTGCTACAATGTTTGGTTTTTACTACCTATAGTACAAAGCTTAAGGGTCATATGTAAATAATGTTCTTTTTATATTGTTCAATTCATATCTGAGTATACAATTAAAGTAAAAGTTCAAATTCAAAGTTGTTTAAGTTTAGGTTCTTGTGAGAAACTACCAACTAAATATCTAGCACTAATGACAAAAAGATAAAGAAATTATAATATATAAATCACAATTCAATTAAAAAACTATCTTGTTTATCATGTTTATGAAATTCAGTGTTTCTCATCAAAAGATATACAAAGTTAAGCTGGCCCATATATATTGATATTAGTATTATAGTCCCAGAGTTAATTAAGCAAGTTTAATCAATATTTTGAAACAATCCATATATATGGAATTATATACATTAATCAAGTAAATCTAACAAATAGTCTGTTTAATAATGCGTGTGGAATGCGCAATTTTTCCATTTGGGACCAATTTCCTTGTCAGCTGTTTCATTCATGCGTCCGTAGTTATTATTGTAAAAATACGGATTTCGGTCTTAGCTGGTCCGTTTCCGATCCGTAGTTAGAAAACAGTTAATGGCAGACTAAGAAAATTTACAAAAATAAACGATGTTTGACAAGCTATATGGAAAGGAATATAACGTTTTTAATGCAATAAATGGATTAAACATTTACTGGAGGCAATTTTTATCACGTTCAAATGAAGTAACAAACTTATTTTGTTGCCGAAAGTTAGATTGATGTACGATCTCGTGTAACAAGTACCGGAAGTGAATGAAGTGATAAAAAGTTGTCTTTTTATTAAATAATCTGCTTCACACTGTAAAGTCAATGCTTAAATCTCTGTTTTCAGAAAATGAATCGTTTATGTCTGAATTTCTTTAATTATCAATGTTTCATCGACTTGGTAAAAAATGAAAACTTTGTGAAAATATTATTTTTGACAATTTTGAAGTAGCCGGCACCAAAGCAGAAGTAACCGTTCGTTAAATCAGAAGATAAAAACCGAGAACATCGAATATCGATTAACTGCGTCTCTTACATGCTTTCTTTTAATCTTATTCACAGTTACTTTCAAACGCAAAGACGACGAACATTAAGTTTTATACGATGACGGAGCGGACACGAAAAAGATCTGAAAAAAAAAATTCTTCAAAAAAACGGCAAAAAAAGAATTTGAGTCGGCGGGGTTTTTTTTGGGTCGGTCGCGTTTGGGCAAACATACACTATTTTTATTTTGGCCTCATTGACCTAATTCTAACTTTCCAACTATTAAAATGATATTTAATGACATGGCTAAACATGGACCTTGAACTATACCATGAAGCAAACTGTGACGTAAACAGTATTTAAATGCATGTTTCATTTTAAACAAAAGTATGATACCAAGAGATAATATATGCATACTATACATTTACCCCATCTGTTTATCTGTACACCTGTATTTTAGAAGTAAAATGATTGATTGCAGAATAAAATACATTACATAAGAAATTTTGTCAAAACTATTGTACTGTATGAATGATAATAAAATCCTTCTATTCTTGGTCATCTATATAGCCCTTGACTTGACTGTATTTGTTCTCCAACATGAAGTTAATCAAGGTTTGTTTTTGTTTCACAGCAGCCAGCCAACCTGGAAGTGATGATGATGATGATGAGTCAGATGAAGAAGACTATGAACCAACTGAAATTCCTGAGGATGACTGGAAAAAGGTGGGTTAAATTACTGTCATATGTGGACTAATTCATCTTGTCTTTTAAAAGATGCAATTTATAGCAAATAAATCTTTCTGTTGCACTAATAATGCAGTTTTTTAAGGCCTAAAGCTCTAGTTTATCAATGAGCAGTAAAAACTATTTGAAACCTAGAATGTAAATCTTACGACTTCTTAATAGAAAATGGTATTATAGGGTTTTGGTTTAAAAAAAAAACAGTGTTTTTTGTTCTTGCATGCAACCCAAAATACAAAAAAAAATATGTACTCTTAAAGAGCTGTATAAAAGTAGCTTTCTGCATTTAAATAAAAAAAAACTTTATTTTTACAGACTATTCAAGTTGGACATGACTTTCAAGCTTCTGTACCAGAAGGCCTTTGTAAATATGGTGATGCTCCAGGTAAGATATAAATAAGTAGTGTTTATCAAACACTTGTTATAATATAATTTTATGAAACATTTTTTAATTTTGAATGACTCACATTTATTGTACCTTGCACGACATTTTGCCGTGAATATCTAAATTCAGTATATGTATTTATAAGGAAGTATGTGTTTTCTTATCATTGCCCTGAAATGTTGTGAACCAATTTCTCTATTTCTTAGCTGATTTAACCTTTTTCCCGACCTGTTGATACATTTTATTTAATCAAAGTGTGGTTTGTTTGATCTCAGTTCTTCATTGGTATAAATTCAACACTGACGTCACATTTCCTTGTGTCATATGAATTTTCGATTGTGTTGTTGTGAGAAAAAAATGCCTGATGACGTCACATATAAAACATGCATCTTTTTGCAGATCATTGGCAAAAAATGATTAAGATTGTCTACATTTCTTCTTAAAATCTTTAGAGAAACAGATTTCATCACCAAATCTAGTGCAATACAATATTTCTCCTCTCAACAGTAAAATTTAATATTTAAAATGCTTGGCTAGCCTCACGTTTTAAATTTGAAAATTTAACTGTCTGGCATGGAGAAATATTGTATTACACTCAATGCAGTGGTGGAATCTATATATAACTAACCTGCAAGTGTATTCTTTAAAAATTATTATGGGTCATTGAAATTCAAATATTTTTTTTCAGACCTGACCATTTTTATACCCTTCCTCTTTACATTCTTATAGTCTTTTTCTTAAGTTAGATAAAATAAAAGTGTAAGACAAAGTTTTGTTTTCTTCAGCTTATGAAAATGAAGACCGGTTGCTATGGGATCCAGATAAATTAGAAGATTCTGTTGGTGAGTAAAAAATAGCATACAAGTTTGTGGCAGTAACTGCCTAGCATAAAATGTGTGTAATGAAGGTGTGGTTAAATTTTGTGTGTTAACACATTACGAAGTTCTTTATCAGCTAATTGCTAACTTAAGAATTTAACTTGAAAATGTCATCTATATGCATCTTCTTAATGGCCATGAATCAGGTGTGTATCCTTTCCTGCAACCCCTGTGGTAATGATATGGGAGCTCTCTATTCATTTAATAGAATGTATGAATTTTCAGATCAATCTTAAAACACTTCTGTGGAAAAGAGGAATTTTACTAATTGTTTCCAGTAAGAACCCTGTAAAAGGGATAAAATCAAGAACAAGAAAAATGAAAAACTTAAAAAGAATGTGATTAAATTTTCTTCCTAATTCTTGTCTCTGGTTAAATAAAAAAAATATTGTCACTTGGAATAGTGATTTCTTGTAATCATTTTCCAATTGAAAACAGCATTTAGCTTAAGAAAATTAAAATTAAATTGTGCTCTTTCACATGAAATTCAGAAATTCTAAAACACTATTTTATTTTTTTTCAGTTGAAAATTATTTGAATGAAATCCACAGCCAGGCATTACAAGCTGCAACAGGTGTTAATGCAATTCCTACAGGTGCTCATATTCGTGATGATGAACAGGTAAGTTGTTATTGTTTGAATCCCTAATTGTGTTAAAATCACTTAAGTTATGTATTAGATCTACTAGGAAATTATCTGAAAATGTCTGGCTCAATAGATTTTCAATAGTATTGAAGAACTACTTACTTAAGCTAACAACTGCCACCATGGATCAGGATAATCTTTGCCAAAAATTTAATAAGCTCATTTCAAGAAAATATTCTATGTCTAACCAATATTTTTAAATTTTTCTCTAGCTCGAACCAATTTTTACTATTCAGAGGTTTAGACTATTAGTTTTTTTGGCACAGACTGTTTGGTGAATTACTTTCAGGGCAATACAGTTTAAGCTCTATTTACTTGTTGACCTGATACTTTTTGGACTTGGTGATTGTCCTTGTTGTGTGAATTTGAACCAGTGGTGTAACATTATAACTGACATTTGAAGGAAAAATTAGTCTAACATCATACACGTTATATTTTAGGCCTTATATATGCTGCTGCAATGTGGTCATAATGTTGAGGAAGCTTTAAGGAGAAGGAAGATGCAGGCTATACCTCCAACAGGTTTGTTGATATTGTTAAACCTGTTATCTGAATCCAGCTTAGCAATATCAAATTCTTTCAACACATGAAAATTTTCTAATAGCTGTTAGCAATTTAAGAATAAACTCACCACTTGCATGAAATTTGTTTAGACCTGAATGGCATCTTCTGTGAATTTTTATGCCCCCGCTGTAGCGGAGGGGGCATTAAGTTTTTTCCTTGTCTGTCTGTACGTACGTCCCATAGTTGGTTTCCGTTCTCTAACTTTAGTTTGCGTCAACCATATGTTATGAAACTTATACACAATGCTTATTACCACTAAACACAGATCAAGTTTGAATTTTTGTGGCATTACTTTAACCATTCTAGAGTTATGCCCCTTTACAAATGGGAAAATTGCAGAATTTTTCCTTTCCATTCTCTTAAGTTTGCCTCAACCACATGTTATGAAACTTATACATGATGCTTATTACTACAATAAAAATAAAAATACAGATCAAGTTTGAATTTTGGTGGTGTCATTCTAACCGTTCTAGAGTTATGCCCCTTTTCAAACGAAAAAATTGCTGAATTTTTCGTTTCCATTCTCTAACAAGTTTGCCTCAACCAAATTTTATGAAACTTATACACAATACTAATTACTACAAAACTCAGATCAAGTACAAATTTTGGTAGTGTCACTTTTACTGTCCTTTAGTTATGTCCCTTTTTAACTTAATATGACATGCAAGCAGGGGCATCATCTGTGTCCACATGTGTCCACTATCCACATTTATTTTGAATATAATTTTAGGTGCACAATGTCTGGTTATTTCCCACAGGTTTCATACATATACTTCAGTTTTGGATTACTAAATATCCATTATATAAGCATTTAATTTGTACAGATTTTTTTCTAAAATGAGTTTTTATTTTTTCAGATACCATGAGTTTATGGTCTGAAGAAGAATGTAGGAATTTTGAAAATGGTATCAGAGTATACGGCAAAGATTTCTATTTAATACAACAGAATAGGGTTGGTAGATTTAATTTTTAGCGTAGAGAAATACACTCTTAACATGATTTTCAGAAAGATTGCATCTCATTCCTTTTTGAAGTTGTAGTTTGTAAGATACATAAATAGTTGTCAGAATGGATTTTTGTAATTTTGATCTATGGATTTAGCCATTGCAGTTTCTGGCTTTTAAAATTAGAAAAAAACTTTTAGTGTAAATGGTTTTTCCACCTGTAGAATTACTTGGTTGTTTCTTGATGGCAGTGCTAATTTGCTGGATAAGTGGATATTTTGTCAAGTTATTTAATAGAAAACTGTACAGCGGTTTATATTTTGTTAATATCTTTGAAAGGAGACATTATTTCAGAAGAATAAGGTAAAGTTGTACTATTAAAGTAAAATGATCTATGATTATCATGAAAGGCATCTTGTGTTGAAACTTGCTTTTTATGTACAAGTACTTACATTGATGATATAATACTGTTTTATTCTGTTTTAGGTGAAAACAAGGTCTGTTGGAGAACTTGTACAGTTTTATTATTTGTGGAAGAAAACTGAGAGACATGATGTTTTTGCAAACAAAAATAGACTTGAAAAGAGAAAGTATGTCCTCCATCCAGGAATAACGTATGTTTATTATCACTTAGTTCTTTTAAATTATTTAAATGATTCCTACACCTTCATTTTAAGCAGTGGGAAAACAATGCTTGTTGCTGTTAAAACTTTAGTTGTTTTTTAAATGCACTCATAGAACAGGAAAGATTCAATATTTTATGGCATTCCATATTTTTTTTTCCAACATGTAAATACTTTATTATAACATTGCCTGAATCTCATAAATAAAGTTGAAATGGATGTAAAAATACATGAAGATTTCATAGAGCTTTGATTTTATTGAAACTTATATGTCTACATAGAATATATCCTCAATTTAATAGTTCCTGGTGTCAAAATTTACAAAAATTGAAACTCCTGAAAATGAATTGCTTTGTTTTCATCAGTATTAATTATTTGTAATGTACAAGTGTTTGCTTGGCAAAAAAGTCAATATCAGAATGTTGACAAAATGGATGGAATAATTTCAATGTGGCTCATATCATTGTGATTCATAATAAAATGAATATAGTTCTGTAAGTAGGGTTGAATATTGTACATAAGAAAACAGATAGATGCTTGAAAAATGTCAAGGTGACACAATGACATTGTCAGTCAAGGATGCAGGGATCTAGTTTACCAATAAATATCTAATTGAAGTCAGAAATCAGTGTATGATCAAAATGTTTTCTGATAATGGAAATGATGTGAATCGAACACTTTTAAGAAAAATTAATAATCCCATATCTTGACAATTTTTATTATATTTTCAGAGATTATATGGACAGATTTGATGACCAGGAGAGTCCTGCTCCACCTCAAAATAGAGAAAGATCTGCTAGTCCTGTCACTTGTTTACTCTATGGTGATCCTAAACGCAACTCATTAAAACCTTCACACGAGACTGACAATTCTAATGCAAATAGTGAATCTAAAGAATTTGATCTCAGTTCAGCTTCACCTACAGTGACAAGTCTAAGTCCTGATCTAAAAAGGAGAAGTTCCTCGCCCAAAAGTGTACACAATAGCAGTATTAATGGTTTACATGATGAAGTGTCACTTGAACCTCCTGTTAATAAAAAATTAAAGACTGAAACTGATGTTTCACATTATGGACTTGAAGAAAGTTACTCGGACACGAGTCAACTGGAAGATAAAAACTCTTCTTTTAATCTAGGACATCATTTAGCAGAGAGTATTAAGACTTCAACATCATTAACTTGTACAGTGTCAGAATCATTAGTATCATAATATCATGTTAAAATGCATCATACATATTTAAAATGCCTTGTTTCAGGTCAATCATTTCATATATTCTGTATGCAAATAGCATTGGGAATACTCAAATCTGATATACATTTCCTTATCAATTTTAAAATTAAGATGTTAGTAGTAAAGAATAGTCTCACAAAAATTAAGAAGAGTTGTATGCTGAAGTTATCATAGTTATAAATCACTTCATACATGTTTTTCACATTTAATTTACTGTCAGACTAGAAACAGTTCAATATTCATTTGTTGTGATGGTAGATATTAATTTTCCTTAGACATATTTTCAATTAAATAAAGTTATTGAAATTAAATAACAAGAGTTCCTTAGATGGAATAAATTTGATGTATAAAAAAATGTAATCTTAGGTAAAATAATGTTCATACTGTCATCACTTAAATATTATTGATTGGAAAACTAATTTCATGTCAAAATATCTTAACACCTGAAGATCAGTATTTTGAAATTTAGAATGTATGCAAAAAAATACTTAGCACTGTAAATTATAGATAGATATATTTTGGCCAGTATTTTAGTGATGATTTTTATACAGATCTTGAGCGGATGGATATTGTGAAAAATTTGTATATATGGAAAGTGCAATACCTTCTCCTTTAACAGCCATAAATTACCATTCCTTTTCTTTTCTTTAGTTGTTTATATTTATTTCATCCTGCATTGAGAAATACTTCTATCCCCAAGCTGACAAAACAGTGGCTTGATAGTTGACAGACCGAACACTACTTTTGAGAGAAAAAACACAGTCCATTGAGTACAACATTCTTTACATCTTTTCTATATAATTTTTTTTTAATTCTCAATGTAACATATACTCAGATATTAAAGTTGATAATTAATGTGAAGATATATACCCATACTTGCCAAGATCATTGCATAAATTGTGCATGGTGCATGAATATATACATCTTATAAAATATCAATGATGTTCCAGTAAAAGTAATATTTAAAATTGAAGTTATCTTACTTGCTCCATAATTGTAGTTTAACCAACTGCAATTATGGACAAAGGAAGATATATCCCCTATTCACAGTGTTGCAATCTAATGCTTAATGCAATGATTTTTTTATGCCCCACCTACAATAGTAGTAGGGGCATTATGTTTTCTGGTCTGTGCATCTGTTCGTTCGTTTGTCCGTCTGTCCCGCTTCAGGTTAAAGTTTTTGGTCAAGGTAGTTTTTGATGAAGTTGAAGTCCAATCAACTTGAAACTTAGTACACATGTTTCCTATGATATGATCTTTCTAATTTTAATGCCAAATTAGAGTTTTGACCCTAATTTCATGCTCCACTGAACATAGAAAATGATAGTGCGAATGGGGCATCCGTGTACTATGGACACATTCTTGTTTAATTTTTCATTCCCACTGCAAAATGAATGCCATCTTTACCCTTCAGTGCTCACAAGCACTTTGATTAATGATTTGTTTTTAAAATTGTTGCAAGCGAAATAGTACATGTTCCCCTAAAAGTTAATAATTTTTTCAGTGAAAATTTTATCTTCATAATAAGAAATTAGTGTGAAGTTATCAAATTCAGAAGTTCTTAAAGGATAGTTTCAAGATATTTTAAATTTTTGGTGAACACACTTAAAATTTGAAAAAAAATGGTATTTTAAAGTCAAATTATGTCCTACAACTGCACCTAATCAGCTTAAAGTGCCTATTAAGGGAAAACAAGAAGACATGGCCTGTTTTAAAGCTAATAAAAGTAACATCATAGTTTACATAGTTGTTGATAGGTTGGGAGATCTATTAATTTTATTGATTTTTACAGGTGCAAATTTAACACAAATGGAAATTCCTATAGTGCTTCCTCATTGTAAATGTCATTGTATATATCTTTTATAGATTAGAAATGCTTTATACTCTTAGGAAGTTATAATTTAAGTGTGTTATTCATTTACAGTCTGATTCAGAATTTTTGTTGTTGTAAATACCATGTTCTCAAAAACAGAGCTGTAAAACATGACATTACAGTAAAAACAGGAAATGCTTCCTTGTATTGATCCTAAACGAATACTAACATTAAAGAGATATTGAAATTAAGACTATGCCAAGAAATCAACTTGAATTTGTGTAACAATATATAGCAAACAAATCTAATTTAACATCTTATGTAATATTTAAGTGCAATTAAACTGATTAATTTTAGGGAACATTTCAAATATATAAAAGAAGATGTGGTATGATTGCCAATGAGACAACTCTCCACAAGAGACCAAATGACACATAAATTAACAACTATAGGTCACCGTACGGCCTTCAACAATGAACAAAGCCCATACCGCACAGTCAGCTATAAAAGGCCCCGAAATGACAATGTAAAACAATTCAAACGAGAAAACTAACGGCCTAATTTATGTACAAAAAATGAACGAAAAACAAATTAACACATAAACAAACGACAACCACTGAATTACAGGCTCCTGACTTGGGACACTTCGTCAAATAATTCCTGTGAAAAGTCACTTGTCTCCCTTAGATCTCGAGGGGTAAAGGGGGGTAATGATCATCTGTGATAAAACTTTGATGAGAATGGTAGATCAACGATTGAATTTCTATATGTCAGAAATATGCTTGTGAATTTTCTAAGATATGATGACTCAGGTGTCACCATCTAGATAGTGATACTGGTCTAATTTTCAGTAACCATGGTATTGAAAACAATTTTTTCTCTTTTCACTTCATTTGATGAATATGCATTAACATAAAGAATGTCTCATGTATTGTGTATATATTCATTATTTTTTGTATAACATTCCGATATTTTACATCATAAAATGTTTGAAATATGTCTGATGTTTTTGTATATGAATTAAAAGACAATTTATAAGTACAAGAGTCCTTTACATTTGGCTTTAATTTTAATAGAGACTTATGGTACATGTGTAAAATCAACATTGTAAAAATTGTTTTCTTTATACAGGAGGTGATGAAGTGTTTAAATCTACATTAATAGATTGACATAATTGAACAACATTAGAAAAAGGAAATGAAAAAGCTTACCAATTTATAACAAAATACAACTTGAAACATGTTTAAAACAATTATTTAATGTTACTTGGCATTATCTTATAAGATTATGCATTTGCATCATTACACACTTAATCTGTCATGATTCTGTTGTTTATGATTTAATTGGAAACACTTTGCATAATTTTTGGACTTTTACTTTACAGAAAAATTTAACAGCAACAATTTATGCACCAATTTCAAAACATAGATACAATTTATACAACAATTAAATGATTCTTTTATGAAAATAATTTGATTACTCAGGATATAATGTAAAACGGTGCTATTTTTATACCCTCCCATGATCAGTAATCAGTCAAATGTTTTTGCCTTTGCATGTCCCTCTGGTTCAAATAAGTTTTGCATTTAAGTTAATTTTTCAGAACTATAAGATAGTATATCAATGATGTTTCACCGGTGTAATTTTGAATATGATACAATAGAATTCTGTTAATGATTGATGTAGTTTTTTTTGCAGTACCTCCGTAGTATAACTGTTGACTATTGTTTATTCTAAGTTAGGTGTGCCAACATGATACAAAACACTGAATTCTAATTATACAAATTATAGCTTTTAATCACTGTCTTCATTTTGAATAAACAGTAAACAGATTATGCTCTCATGAATTCCAACTACATGGTACATCAATTAAAGAATAAAAAATTCCCTTATAGATAATGCATGGTTAAAATTTATTAAGATTGAACAGTAATTTGAAATTGTTGAAAATCAGTACCATAACCATTTCTTATTTTTAAAAATTAAACCAGAAAAGAGTTATATATTGCTATTTTGATTTGTATTACATTCTCAAGATACTCTATCAAAAGACAAATGATGTATGGCAATCATAGGTTTGAGTCTCATTCTTTTAAGAGTGAAAAATATTTTCATAGCAATGTCATAGTTCAGAAAGGTATAAAAGAAAAAAAATCCCAAGAAATAATATTTACAAAAATTTAAAAATAATTACTAAAATGATTACTACTTGAAAAAAGTTGAATCCATAATAATGGAAAAAGATTTCACGAATAGAATTTGACTACAGTAACTATGCTATTAATTCTTTTTTAGATGTTTATGTTTTTATGTTGAATATATTCTTGCACTTAAAACACAGTAAATCATTGAAATTTTTATTTGTTTGTGAGACGAAATATTGTTGTATTCATTCATTATTCATTTTATTTTCATTGGAAATCTTTTCAATATTTGAAATCAAAGCTGTTAAGAACGTGCAATTGTTTCACAATATGATGTACATAATTACTAACTTTATGGTTTTAGCCAAAGTCTTCAGTTTATTGAGAGATGATTTTATGAGTTGTATATACAAACTATATATGATATAAATATACTGTACATTCTTTCACACCATTTGATTGTTGTCTCAGTACAAATCACATGCATTTATGTCCGTCCATATATTCACAATGCATGGTCATATCAGGTAAGAATAAAATGTGCACGTTCTTATAATTTGTCAAATTATAAGGAGGTTGGGTTAAGGAAATGATAGTTAAAAGAATGGGCTTGAACATTCTAATCAGTATGGGTCCTTAATTTAACTATTTACCATATTTAAAACAGCTGTTGCTGTCAGTGCTACAATCAAATTAGCCTGGATTGGATTGATATGTCCAGAAGTTTAATTAATTGAAAACCCACTTCAAATAATTAGAATGACAAAAATTTACTTGCTTGTACAGTGAGGTATTTTCCCTCAATCCCAATGTAAATATTGTTTTCAATGTGCATTGTTTGAAAGAATGTATAGTATATCTACTGCAAGTCATGAATGAATGTATTATTGTATATTTGATTATCACGCCAATGTTGATATGATTAATAATTATTTATTATGTATATAGTCATAGATGGATTCTATGCGACAAATAAATTTTTACAGAGATAAATAAAACTTTTGTTATTGTTATCCCTTAAATATTGGAGAAACTACCACTACTGAGATTCCATGTAATACCCCCTTGATTAACCTTTGTTGTGAAAGACTAGATGGGTTGGCTAGTCTTTATATTTAAAATCATTAATTTCAAGACATAAATGCAACTTACACAACAATTAAAAAAACCCAGAATTACACAAGTTCCGTATGATCTAAAAAAAGTAATGCGCAAATAACCATCAACATGACCCCCTAAAATGCTAATCAGTATTAAGTAAACTCATAATAGATAACATGATTAAAATTTTGAACACTAGACGCGCGTTTTGTCGAAAGACTCACCAGTAATGCTCAGTGAAAAGGGCTAAATAAAGTATGAAGATGAAGAGCATTGACTCAATATTCCGAAGGGGGCCTCGGTGGCCAAACGGTTTAAGTAGTTACTACTGTAATCACTGGCCAGTCAACACTGAGGTTGTGAGTTCGAACCCCGCTCGTGCGGGTGCACTCGACTCCAATCTTAATTGAATAGGATTGTCAGTTTTCCTATCGAAGGTCAGTGGTTTTGTCAGGGCACTCCGGCTTCCTCCACCAATAAAAACTGGCCGCCACGAAATAGCCCAAAAGCGGTGCTTAAAAGTGGCGTTAAAACACCAAAAAATCATATCAAATCAATATTCCGAAAGGTTTTGCCAATTACAGCTATTAACTTATTAAAATGATCAATAACACTAAATATAGTATTAAGTGACAATAAATACTTTTCTAAATTGTACACACACAACCCGCCTGTCCCGTAACAATATCAAGAACATGCTTGACTTTTGATCGACAACATTTTTGTTGAGTTTCATGTATTCACATATGAACAAGCAGTTTGTTATCCTATGGGTACAAACAGTGCACCTCTACTAGCCCCACTTGTTATTGTACTCATACGAAGCAGAATTCATACCGAACCTCCCCGAAGTATCTTTCAAAGTTCTTTTATTTGATATATTGATGATGTCCTGTCACTTAATAACCCACATTTCAGTGAGTGCTTGCATCTTATATATCCTAGTGAACTAGACATTAAGTGTCCTACATAGACATGTCTCAAAATTTTATGGGGTTGAATGCTTTTCTCACATTTTATTAATATTCATAGGTTAACAGCCAACATACATTTAGTTAATAATTTAATATAATTCAGTCAAAATACAACAATCTGAACAGTGTACAGGATTTAAAAACTAGTATACCATTTAAACATCGTAGGAAGATCTTATCGGTACTAACATTGATTTTGTTTTTAATAAATTAAAAGATAACTGAATATGTATTGCTTTACATTGAGGAAAAAATTTGGTCTTACATCCTGTAGAAGTTATGGAGTGAGGAACTCAAAACTAGTGCATTAGCAGAAAATCTCTGCATTTATATTGGACATGTTTCAATTTTCGGGGTGTGCTAAATTACGGAGAAATGAATGTCACTTCGTACCCCGAAAATTTACCTATATACGTGAAAATGTCTCAGCTTCGAAACGAGCCATATCCAAGTTTACGATATGGACAGAGGAACTGAGGAAAAGGCTGCTATTACCGCCTACCTGAAATGAATTGCGCATCTTTACCCAGATCGATGCCTAGTGTCTGTTGTCTTTATATAAGCTACCTTTTGTGCGCCGTGGCAAATTGTTAGATCCATAAAGAGATTTATCGAACAATAAACCAACCGGTAAATGAATTTCTAATTCGATAGGATAGTTCTGCTCGGCTGATCGATAGGCCATCACTAGAACAGGCATAAACATGTCCGTCCTTTTTATGAGCCGAGACAAAAGAAGACAGCATATTTTCACGTGTTCTAATAAACCTCTTAGCTTTCTTTCTGACAGAGTTCTCATTACCGCCGTTTCTGTCTTGTCAACGTATAGTGATTTGGAAGGATCTTTGAAAAAATGGGACTCAAAATTAGTACCCTGTACAGTATGTATTTGTGAGGGTACATCCAACAATATCCTTTTAACTTTACTTAGTTTTTCTAGATGACCACCAGTGACACTGTTATGTAACTGCTGGACCACACTATTGATAGAGTTTTCAGGTGCTACTTTTTGCCTGTTTACCTTGGCTCCTCTTTCACTTTCCTATAGTTTGCACGAAAACCCCAAAAGAGACAAATCTGTTCTAAGTTTTAATGAATTCTTGACTGTATTTTAATACCTCCGACCAACTGTTTTTTAAAATTAACTAGCTGTAGTACCAGGTCATTTTGTTGTTCATATTCTAAGCCAAAATATATCTCAACGAAAGGCTAATCGGGCATTCGAGACCATAAACTTTTGTAATTTTCAAGAATTCATACTTCGTATGGGGATCAACTTTTAAGGTTGAAATAGCGGTCTCATCCAGTCTCTAAACGATGAATGCCGTCTACTTTAACGGGGCCTGTTAAAGTATCAGACTTATCACCAACAAGTGACGACTTAACCACTCCTCCAGTTGAAATCTCGTGTTTTATTTTAACATCAACTAAGAATACGTTCGAAATTTTTTCTCAACTCAAGGAGCAAGAAAACAGCCCTCTAGACAAGGTCTACGATGCCAGGAAATCGCATGTGAAAGAATTGGATCCGGGCGATGTATTTTTTGAAAATCATATTCATGAAATGTTTCAAACTATCGGACAAGCAGGCCCTCAGGATTTTGGAAATTTTCAACTAACAGAATCGAAGAGACCCGCGAACTGAAAATGTTTTGCTAAATTAAGGCAATAGTAGTTTACCTATGTTCAAACTTCGTAACTCGATAAATAAGTCCCTTTAACCCTCAAAGGAGCACGACTGGGTACGTCGACAGGGTAAGCGTCTCCGGCTATGCATTCATCACCCGCCATGCTAATTCACAATCAGTCAAAATGTCACAATCGGGAATACGACACAAGCGATAATATTACAGATTAGACTTTCTATTCTGTTATTTTAAGATTTAGTCTGCGAAGACATGTCGATAGTAACAATAACACGTTAAACAACGTTTTGAGATAGAACAGCACACATTCCTCTCAATAACTAGCATCAGTATCCAGAAAAAATCCGACGCTATTCAAGGGATATTATAAAAAAAACCACTACACGTGAAAAAACAGTAGTCACGTCACGTTTTGACCTGCTTCAGACATACATATGCATTTAAAACCTAAATTAAATGGCCACTTTTCTTTGCATTCATTGGAAAATACTCTACAAAACGCCGATAATATGAACAAAAAAGCTATTGTTAACAAAACGATGTTCGTTACGAAAAAAATATAATTCTTTGAAATATAATTAGAATTCCTGAAAAGCTTGTTTTATTGTAAAATGAATATAACCGATCTTATGCCGAAGTCGACAGTCAACACATAAGGATCATTCTTGATTTAGATGGTCATCAAAAGTTTTTGAGAAAGTAATTATATCATCGAGGTGCACTAAGCCTATTTTCAAGGTTGAACCAGAAGTTAGTTTCTCTACCAACTAATCAAAAGTTCATGGTATGCCACAAAGTCCGAAACATAAAACTTGAAATTGACACAGACCAATAGCAGGATATCGCAATGCGGTTGTATCACGATATTGTTTTTTGTCTAAGCCACACTGCCAGTACCCATTACGCATGTCCAAGGTGAAAACTACTTACTACTTCTCAGAGAGTCGAGAGTGTCCTTAGTTCGTCGTGTAATTGATCGACAATCTTTCTTAATAGTTTATTTTTATTTTCATAAAATATAAAAGTAAGTATAGGAATCACCTTTCTTAAGTGAAACACAGTATTGTCACATCTCTCTGTTCTTTACCAGCTTCAGAAATACATATGCATTTTGAACCTAAAATAAATTTTGTTCTCTAGTCCCGAGGGAACACCAATCACTATTTGATGGTTATATGATTTCCTTAAGGCACTGTTCTGTATTTAATTTTCAGCCGTCTCCCTTTAAACTAAGAGAAGTCTGTACGACTGTTCTTTTGCATTGCGGGTGATTTATTGATTTTATACTAGGTATGCTTTATATCGGATGGGACTTCAAACCTGATAAGAGCACAGAAATTCGTTTAACTGATACGCATGGGTGTTATTCATCTCATATACGTTGTATTAGTGACGAGGATTATCTAATTCAGACGTTACCTCTGCGCAATCGACTCGAACCACAGAGTTTATTCAAATGCTTCTATTCAATAGGGTTCAAAGTAACAACTTTTGTATTGCGGTAAACGTAAGGGACTCTTTGTTAAAATCTCAAAGGAATCATATTTGAGTTTGGCTGAACAGGACGTCGAACAACATGAAATATCACCCTTTTTTGTGAAGAAACGAATAAAAGAGCCCCAAACTCTTAATCAGCCTTTACTTAAAAATACTACAATGATTGATTACTCATCAGAAAATCCGTACCAAATGTGACCCAACTTTTATTTCAGACAACACAAATTCGTGTTTGAACACATGTTTACCTTATTTTATTTTTAATAGGCTTCTCCAGTAGCCGTTGATAAGTTCTTACTAAGAAGCATAATTTTAGTAGCTTTTCAGATGCAATAATTTCAAACAAATCAAAATGAAGGCACTAGTCCCTGAGTAAACAAGTATATCATCTGATATCGCACGTTCGACGTTTGGTAGTTTTCCGCTCTGTCATGGTTTTAGTTAGAATTTCTTTTACAAAAAGTATTTGGTCATATCTGGTTTAAATATTCATTTCTAGAGTAATGGGACCTTTTCGTTAAAACGCTGCCTATTTTTCTGTTGTTCTTTTGAATGGCCCCAAGTTTGTTCTGTTAATCTTTAAAAGACAAGGTCAGCTCGTTTATCTCAATGACCATTTAAGTGTCATTCGTATAAAAAGTATGAACTACCCTAACAGATCATACTTTTTGTCATCCGCTACTCTGAAAGCTTGGCGAAAAGCAATATTTCCGGCTTCATTCACGGATTTTTGGTTCGACCTCTCTCAGCCGCACTGTTGTCGGTTATAGCGTCAATAAAATAGTAGTAATCAGGGGCGAGAGTGTCCTTAACTGTCGGAGATGCACCCTGCTATGCTCGACTAGTAGTGGCTATGGGCCAATCCAGACAAAGTTTCATCCATTAAAGGACCTTAATCTGAAATTGGACCCTACTGTCTTTACGCATCGTGACGAAACATTCTCGCCGTTGTATTGTTGTTACTTTTGGTGACAAGGGATATATTATCGTCTTCATCATCTCTAATTTCAGTATTAGGAGCAATCGTAACAATTTACCATTCATTTGATGTGTTTCAGCTTTTGATTCTGCCATTTGATAAAGGACTTTCCGTTTTGAATTTTCCTTGGAGTTCGATATTTTTGTTATTTTACCTTTTGAAGTTTGAATCCTATATATTGCACCGACCATTAATGCAACACTACCCCATTAGTGTTGAATTCGAATTATAAAATGTTGTCAAAGTTGCCTAATCAGCAACCACCGATCTTAACCTGTTATGAGAAATAGGCAAAGGTACCAGGCTTTAAATTTGGTACGCTAGATAAGACTCATCAGTTGCGCTCGAATCAAAACAGTGAGAATGCTACATCTTATTAATGAAATGGATACAACCGATCTAATATTAAGCTTCATATTTAGCGCATAAGGATCAATGTAGCAAATAAACATAACTCAAGAAGGTATCACTGTAACTAATGACAAACTTTTAAAGAAGCCGTTGGAAGTTTTTTTTATGTCACCAAATACTCTACACGACTGGTAATCACGCACAAAAGTTAATTAAACGGGAACAAATATAACGTAATAAAATATAACAACGTTAGTCACAAAATTACCCATGTGTCTACACCCGTGAAGAAAATCATGGACTACTTTCACTTTCCCAAAGTAAGAAGGTTAACATTACATGTCCGATGGACAGTATCCCATATGATAAATAGTCATCAAAGATGCTATTCATGAGAAATTTCAGTTTTATAATTTAGTACATGAATATCTTCCTGCATATACGACTTAGTGTACCAAGCACTTTTGACAACCCATTTTCTGTAGTAGATAACGAAAAAAAATTTCAAATCACAGCATTTAAAATAAAAATGGGAGGCTGTCATAACAGCATAGTTTATAATTTCAAGAGATAAAAACGAACTTAAGTGAATTAAAACCTTTCCATGAAAATCGCAAGACATTTTATTTACATAATACTTTATTTTCCACCATTTTGATTGTTGATTGACCTGAAAGAGAGATGATAGACCTAATTTTGAAATTGGCTGTAATCAATAAGTGAAGGTTGTTATACAATCCGTTTTATTGCTTTCGGCTGACATCTACTACCAGCTATTTCAAGCGCCAATCCATTCTGCACTTAAAATACATGTTTCGTCACAGTTTATTTATATATACTTTTTTTTCCATACCAACATCCCTTTGTCCCTCAATAAAATAGGGATATTTATACTTGTAAAATGACATACTCTATGAAAAATTTAATCGGCATTTATATAGATGTCAGTTGGATTTGTGTGTCAGATACAGGTACATATAAATGAATTGTTGCCGTGGGATTCAGGCTCGATAGCCATTTACGTGTTATAGAATATATTTTCTCCCAGAAAAATCTTGAAAAGTGGGGGGGGGGGGGGGGGGGGGGTGCTAATTCTTTTACGATGTTTATCTGCTCTCCATCTCGGAAATGACGAGTAGTTTCATTTTGTTTTATTCTTTCATTAAGAATACTATTAAATTAAACGACTAAAATTCCAGTGACAATTTTTTTGGAATATTTATATTGTCACGATAAAAACAAGTATCCACCTATTATGGATGTAGATAAGATTTTGAAGTGAAATGATGTGTTTCTGTGAGCTCCTGATTGATAATTACCATGGCTTTACTAAACAGTTTTACTGTTGTTAAATCACTGTTTAATTCTTTTAATGCAACTGTACTTTTTAATGAAAGTAGTGAAAGTAGTGAATTAACTAATCAAGTTTTAGAAAATGAAAGTATTTCATTGAATTTATCAGCTGAAAATGTACCAGCATTTTTGCAAATATCTCCAAAGAAACATAGTGTAATTATTCATGTCTCATCACATATGATACAGGATGTTCAAAGAATTTTGGATAACGATTTAAATTTTATAAGGAGTCACTTTCAGTATGGAAATATATACAAAACTGTGAACAATTCAGTGACAGTAACTCTATACGTAAGTACTGGTACAACTAATGTGCAAGGTCGCAATGTTTTTACTTGGATTTATACTTTTGTTGTTAAATGTGAATCACTTGAAAAGGAAATTATTTCATCCCAACCAAGGTTATCAACACCAGTTGATTTTATTCAAGACATTTTCAATAGCTCAATAGATTCAAATGTAGAAAACTCACAAATATCTGAAAATGAAAATCTCCAAAATGATCCAATAACTGAACTGAAATCAAATTATATCATTACCAACTCTGTATACGAAGGAAAAAGTAGGGAGAACTTAATTAATATCATTAAACATCTTGAATCTGAACTAGTAGTGAAAAAATGCAATGAGCAATCAACACAAACTGAGTTTTCAGCTGTTTCTGTTGAGTGCCAAACATCACAAATTCAATATGTCAACACTACCTATTCCAGCTCCAAGACTTTCCAAGTTGAAACGCACAGAAGATCAATGCCCACCTGTCCTCGAACCAAAAATCCCAACATAAAATCTCAAACCCAAATCCAAAAACTATCAACAACCATAGTTCAGAGAAGGTTAAAAAATCAGGTGACAAAAATTTAATCATTGGATCGTCAATACTTAAAGGGATTAGAACTTCTGGCCTATCAAAGACCCACATAAGAGCATTCAGAGGGGCACACATTGATAGGATATCAAAGGAAATCGTGAATTTGGACCTGAAATCATATAAGAATATTATTCTTCAAGTTGGTGGAAATGACATAAGTGGTGGAAAATCATTGAAAGATTTTGAAATGGAATATGAAAGTTTGCTCCTAGCAGCTCGTTCTTGTAGTAACTCTGACTGTAACATCATAGTCTCAGGACTCCCTCCCAGGATTGGTGTAGATGTTTACAGGGCAAATGTAGTTTTAGAGAGATTATGTCAACACCTTGGACTGGTTTTTATAAGACAGTATGAAATGTATATGAGTGACAGCTTCAATCAAAACAAACATTTGTATGTTCATGATGGTATTCATTTCAATTAAAGAGGAACATCAAGATACATCCGAACAATAGATAACATAATAGGAATAACTAATTCACACTATGACTGTGGGAACTGTGGTGAACTTAACATGTTAACCATAAAACATCCTTCTGTAGATTTAATATGAAAATTAAATGCTTCAAGTGTAATAGGTATGGCCACAAACTTAAATGTTGTACTGCAATTTATTTCCATGCATGTGTAAATTATTTTCTTTGTCACAAGGGCTTCAGATTTCTGAAATAAAGAAAAGTAGAAATATTAGAGAAACAATTAAAGAAAAGAATGAGAGTCATTGTTCACTTGACACAACCCAGGAAATGTCTACTGTCAAACTTTATAGTTCTAATGATGGGTTGATTAGTTCTGATAATTTTAACACTGAATCTCAGACATCTGGACAGGATACATTACTTGGTATTAAACGGCATGATACAAACTCAGTGTTATGTTTGATGATGAGTCTAATGTAGATAATTTATTGTTACCTCTCCCTCAGGTCAACATAATGATTGAGGTGAAATTATCCTATGTCTGTATTTACTTTAGCAATTTTATTGTGTGCATGTATTATCTAATCAATTTAGAAAACCATGCATTGATAGGGAAACAAATAGACTCTAATGATAAGATTTTTAATTCTTATGGTTTTAGTAAATACAAAGGTATAAGGATTTATTCTCATAATGTTAAAGGGATTGAAAGTAAATATGAAGAAATTAAACATAACCTTATGTTTTCTGATAACCAACTTGATGTATTAGGATTGTGTGAAACATTTTTAACAAGTACCTGGTTATGTATTTGAAAGAAAGGACAGAACATCACAAGGTGGGGGTGGTCTGATTGTTTATTTTTCTGAAACAATTAATTTTTTAAGAAAAAACAACATCGAAATAGGGGGTATTGAAACAATGTGGATTGAAATTAAACCAGATTACAAAAAAATCCTTTTTATTATGTTTTGTGTATAGGCCACCAAAGTCACTGATAGATTGGGTTGATGATTTTGAAAAAGAAATAAGAGTGGCAATGACCATGAATTCAGATATAACAATTATGGGTGATTTTAATTTTAATTTTAAAGCACCAAACAAACCTCCTCAAAAATGGCTGAATGTTTTAGAATCATACAATTTTCAACAACTGATTGTAGATGCCACAAGGGTAACAAAAGATTCTGGTACATTGATTGATCATATTTATGTCAATAATCCAAATATGGTACATGAATCAATCACATGTGTGTAGATATGCAATTAGTGACCATTGCCCTATCTGTTTAACAAGGAAAGAAGCAAATATAGGAAAAAAAGAATACACACAGTACAATTACTTATAGAAATTTCAAAAATTTCAACCAAAATGAATTTTTATTAGATCTGCAATCTACACCTTTTCATAAAATTGAATTTGAAGAAACCCCCTCTGACCCCCTCTGACTGTCTACAATTGTTTTATGATATGTTGAACAAAGCTTTAGATAAACATGCTCCTGTTGTTAAATCGTATTAAAAGGGACAGACAGCCTGAATGGTATAACAGTGAAATCATTTACGCTAAGAATATGAGAGATAAATATAATGCACTTGGTTTATGAAGTGAGTATAGATTCTGGAGAAATAAAACTAAACATATCGTAGATAGCTCAAAAAAGAATTATTATAAAAATATGGTAAAAGACTCCAATGACCCTAAAACTTTATGGAAATGTCTTCACAGTCTGAACCCAAAAGTTAAAAATACACCATATGAGTTAGCCACAGAAGATAACAATACAACTAAAAGTAAAAAATCAATAGCAGAAACTTTTAATAACTTTTTCACTTCCTGTGCTGAAAAATTAAGAGAACAAGGAAGTTATACACCTGTAAACAAAGCAGATTTCAGTAATCTTGGTAAATTTGTTTAAACCTAGCAATTTTATTAGATTTTAGAAAAGCTTTTGATTTGGTAGATCATGACATTCTTTGCTTAAAGCTTGAATTTTATGGATTTAGTGAGGCTACTGTTAGTTTTTTCTAGTCATACCTGAATAACAGAAAACAGCAGGTAAACATTTGTAATGTTTACTCTGAACAAAAACATGTAAAATTTGGTGTCCCCAAAGGTTCTATACTTGGTCCTCTATTGTTTGTGCTATTTATAAACACGACCTTCCCTTATGCATTGAAAATTGTGAAACAGACCTATATGCTGATGACACCACTCTTCATAAATCAGGGAAAAACATAGAAAATATACATGATGATGTTCAAGAAGATTTATACAGGGTTGAAAAGTGGTGCAAAATGAGTAACATGTTCATTTATTCAAATAAAACAAAATGTTTGGTTACTGGAACAAAGCAGAAACTATCAATTCAGACTTATCAACCAAACTTGATAATAAATTCAAAAGTATTACAAAATTCTTCATGTGAAAAATTATTAGGTGTTAAAATTAACAGCACACTTAACTGGAGAAATCAAATTGACCAAGTTTGTGCTAATATATCATTCAGAATATACCTTCTTTCTAAAATAAAGAAATTTTTAGATGTAAATGCAAGGAAAACAAATTACAATGGGTATATTCTGCCCCTGATTGACTACTGCTGTATTATTTGGGGTGAATGTGAAAGGGATAACAAAAATTTTAAAACTCAAAAAAAGGGCAGCAAGATTAATTCTAGATGCAGATCCTTTAACCCCCTCAGCCCCCTTATTTAAAGAACTTGGGTGGATGACAGTTGACAATAGAATCAAATACCACAAATATTTACTTCTATATAAATGTATGCGTATGGAAGCACCAATGTACCTAGTTCAAAAGTTTAAACTCAAATCAGATAATAATCTTTACTCCTTTTTGTATTGTAATTTGTATGTGAGGGCCTCAGGGAAGATTTGTTTATTGTAACTAACTGAGTTTACCCTCTTTAAATAAAGAATACTTATTATTATTATTATAGTTGATGAATGAATTCTTAGATTTGCTATCAGTAATCCATAAATAGAAGCACACAACGACCAATCAGGATTGTTATATCAAAACATCCGGATTGTTGTATAATATTGATCTAGAAAGCTCAATAGCTCCGCCTGTATGAAAAAAACCTAACCAGACTGTAGATCTTTGACGTGAGGTTGATTAGAGATAAACACTTGATCCACTGAACCTGTATGACATTATATGTGAGTATTATTACGTCTATAGATTTGAATTTGTTACTGGAAAGACTGGAAATGTACACTTTTTATTCTATTGACAAAGGCATATGTTTTTTTGAACTACTACCAAAGGAAAGGACTAACATATTTATGTGAGTGAATTTGGTCAGTATTAAAATTTCAAAAAGTATAAACAATTTCAAAGTTTGATTAGATAACAGCAAATAACTAAAATTCTAACTGTTTGTGATTTAAGTAAACAATTATCATTGACAATGCACACGTTTTTTATTCATGCAATTCGAAAGAGGAAGAAAATAATTTAATGACGGGAAGTAGTTTACAATTTATGTAAAACCAGGAATGTCGTTATTTATAACTTCTTCATAAAACCAAAATTTTATTGAATGTTCTCCAACAGATGTTTTGAATTTTACTAACCGATTCATACTGCCCCTAGAGTAGGTAGTTCCATTGTAACTCTGAAGTCCGGTTTGTTTAACTGAAATCAAAGATGGTAGTATTTCGGAAAGTTTTCGTTAATCTTAAGACAGAACCAGCAATATAGCATTGTTTGTAAAAACTCTTATGTAATTTGAATATCAAGCAAAGAAAAATTTAAAATTAAAAAGATTCTAATCTTTGGAAACCCTTTCCAATGAATTTGACATTTGAATAAAATATGTATTGAAAAAGGTAGCCCCACACTACTGTACATGTTAATATCTAACTGTGGGGATGCAATACATGTTCCTAAAAAAAAACATTATTTTGATCCTGCATTTGCATGTTAAATAGTTTTTGAGGTGTGCAAACTTGTTTATATACTAAATCATAAATAAAGAGAAATTTTACGGATTAAAAATGTGTCGAGTTTAGTGATTAGATAACCACACAAAGATCAGTATATATCAATGGAACAACAGTGTTATATAACTTATTTTACCAAAGCATTGTCCATTATAACATCATTATTATGGGAAGTGATTTACATAACAGTAAAAAATTGTCGGAGTCCCTTTCGTATCTTTCGCCTCTCTTAAGTCAAATATAAAAAAAAAACCAATGGTATACAAAATGAAATAACACTATAAAAAGTTAATACGTCCAAATCGTAACTGTGGAACAACCCACTTCAAAACGGCCAAAGCCCCGAGCTCAATAGTAGATTTTTGATTTAAAATGCCGCTATTTACACACCAAATACTGAATCTATAATTATAAAGTATTGCATAATCGAGAAAACAATTTTCACTGCAAATTACTAAATGTTTCATTTAAATTCGGAAATATAAAAGGTAAGGTTTATCACTATTATTGGAGGTAAAACAACATTAAAATCACATGAACATCAACAGTGCATATCAATGGTAGATACGTTATTGAAAAAATATTGCTAACTTAGAATAAATCTCTATTGATCATTATGGAAAAAATAAATCACTTTAGTGCAGTGCACGAACTATACAGAAACATGTACTGAATATCTATACTGCATGAAAATTTTTTGTAGAAAATACTTTAAAAAATGTAATTGGAAATAAACATGTAATTCAGGTTTCAGTCAGGGTATACACTGTGACATTCCCTCTTTTGGGATTATATTCCTTGAACCGAAGAACATAATTAGTTAGAGGTCGTACGATATTATTAGATTCTGCAATTGTTGCTTTAAAATTCATTACCCTTTAAAGTAAAGTGAACGATTTGTGTGTTTAGACTAGATAAAACCTGAAAATGATTGTCCTTTCTTTTAACATGATTATTAAGGACATAATTTTGCATACAAAATACTATTGAATACTTAGACCATGTGTCCAATGGAATCCTGCTGTTTTATAAGAATTTTGTTTTTCCAGAAGTCATGGCTTGTGGACGTTTTTTGAATTTCCAGCCTATCGACGAACCCTCATGGCGAAAGCGTGATAAAAGATATGAATGTGTACCAACGGTCAATGAAATGATTAAAGATATTGTAAAGTATCATGAAATGTGGGAAACGAAAAAGAAAAATCAGGCAAAAACAGCTTTGCAGAAGTAAAACGTTCAATGGTATTGGAGTTCCTTTTCCGTGTTCAGCAAGGTGAAGGTATTGGACTAAATGACCAAGGAACATTTGAAGAAGTTTTCAATGCCGAAATGAAAACCTTTGAAAAACGTGGACGTAAACGAGATCGTTCGGAGTCTGAAGAAGATTCAACAGGTAAAAAAATCCGTAAAGAGTTATTGAGCAAAGAACTAGTAAACGAACAAGCCAGTAATGAACAAGTAAAGGAATAAGAAAGTTTACCAAACTGCTTGGAAACTGAAGATTATATTTTAGAAAATTCGGTAAACAAAGTCAATAGTGAAGACAATAAAAAAACTGAAACCATAAATTTACTGCGTGGTTACTGGCATTTAAAAAATGAATGGAAAAAATTATCAGATAAAGAACAATCTGTTTATGATGGTGCAATTGATGTCGAGACATGCATACAGGAATGTCATGAAATTTTGATGCATGATTTGCTCGATGAAAACAAAACTCCACCTGGGAAATTTAGCGTTCTTCCCCGATCAACGAGTTTTGCTGGACAGGAATTTCATTATCCGTCTTATGCAACGGAAGGAATTGCGTTTCAAGCAGTTGATACACTTGTTATGGAGTATAACAAGATGTTGGTGGAAATATCAAGAAATGAAAATAAACGTGAGAAATTGGAATGTTTTCTTAAATGTGCTACTGTAATGCTTTTTGGGTTTTTAACACTTCATCCATTCTCTGATGGGAACGGGCGACTTGCTCGATTATTATGCAGTAATTGCTTAAAATTATTCTGTCCTTTCCCAACTGCGATTTATGACGTGTTTTCTCCGTCAAACAGAGATGATTATTTAACGGCACTTATTAACGCTGCTCATGGTTTAGAAATAGGCAGTGATCAAATAAAATATGAAGAAGATGCCACGAAAGAAGCTGAGTTAATTTTAGAACAGAAACCAAAAGAACTTAGTTCTCTTATTATAGAAAGTAACTGGTTTACATGGCGACAGTTTCTACATAGAATAGGGGTGGACGTTAAACTTTTTGAATTTGAAAAGAAGACCCAGGAAATAAGTGCATCGTAACATACTTTTTATCTAAACTGTATCGATCACATCAATGGAGATGTTCCTTGTTAAATTTATCTTTTACTATCACTTTTATGCGCAACATCCGTTTTCGAAATCAGGATATTAAATTGCATCATAAGGAAAAGATTGATTGAATTTCTCTATAAATGTCTTTTTATTGAATTTTTATGAAAAAATGATACGAACTACTTATATGTAATAAAATAGTTTACACAGGAGTATACGTTATTGATAAAGTACATTTTGAAGACATCTATAATAAAACATTATCTTGATAAACGGTAAACAATTCAAACATATCATTGAAATAATAATAGCGTTAAACCAAATGTAATTCATTATTTGTATCATTGAGATAATAAAACCGTAAAACCACATGAAATTTGTTATTTGTGTGTTAAACACTGCATTTCTACAATTCTGTGATAGTTTATTCCGATGTATATTGTTCACATCGACGGTAGCTTGTTGCAAAGCTTATTGATATATTGGCGAGTGTTTGAATTAGTAAGCGGGATGCTTTTACATTTTATTAGAAAAGTTAACAAAAACAAACCTCCATTTTTTTGGAGATTCTAAATTAGAGACAACAGTTCGTTACCGCTGTTCAAATCCCATAAATCCCTAAAGAAGATGTGAATTAAGGAAAAAACAATAGCTAAGGAAATCGTATGATCTTCAAGTGGAGCGAACCGGTAGCGTCGATAGGGAAAAGTCTCCTGCTATGCATGCATCAACCGTCATGCGATTCTGCACTCAGTCAAAATGTCACAATCTGGAATTTGACAAACGAGGTAGATGTACAGATTATTATAAATTGTTGATGGTGACCTTTAACGGAATAAAGTGTCGATTTCACTGGGTTTCCTTCATAACTCTGTTTGAGCAGTTTTGTTTAAAGAGGCAGAGAGTAATGCTGTGTAAAACATTCAAGTAGTACATTTACTTAGTACATTAACTTATTTGCTAGATTTATAAATATTATTATAGGTAATTGTAATCTCTCTCAAAGAACGATTAAATTATTCAGTTAAATAAAAAAGATATTGGGGCGATGAAATCTTACAAATCAGAGGGGTTGGAAATCATTGGAAAAAGTAAAATTCTTTTTTGGAGAAATTTTTTTCCTTAGTTTTCCAAAATAGATGCCAGATATGATGGAAAATGAAAATGATGCCATAAACATCTTGGGTTAACCCAAGTTTAGATACTATATTAAGAAAGTACAAATGGTTCGCGGATTTAGTGTTAAAATTGATTTAACACGTGATAGTTTATTGTACGCTGATTCCAAAAATACATGATTTCTATACATTTTTTTCAAAATAAGGGAGATAAGTTGTTACTTCCGGTTTGAAAGATGTCACTTCCGGTTTTATTTGATAGTTTACTTGATACTGATTCCAAAAATATATGGTTTAATATACTTTTACATTACATAAGTACAAAAAATAGCTACTTCCGGTTTACACAAGGTCACTTCCGGTTGGCTTTTCCATGGTCAAGTGGCTTGCAACGTAATGCAAAAAGTCCTATGGCTTTATCACGTATACATTGTACTAACGAGGAAAAAGCAAAGGTCAAAATCTAGAACGTCAAATTTACTTATGACCTTTAGCTCAATTTCAAGGTCATAAACCGAGGGCTTCAAATCAAAAGACCATAGGTCTTAATTATATATGGTTAATGAGTTATATCACTTTACGCCTAATTTTTAACATAAGAGGGGAGAAAACTCCAATTTAATGTTAGCGTACCATTTCAACCAAAATTTATGTGTTACGACATGTCGCAACTTACAATTTAGTAAAAATATCTTGTCGATATCTTATACGGTTTTTGAAAAGAAGTGAAAATAAGCCAAAATCAAAATCAAGTCTATGTCAGAAATATGCTTGTGAATTTTCCCAGGTATAATGACTCAGGTGTCACCATCTAAAAAGTGATACTGGTCTAATTTTCAGTTACCATGGTATTGAAAACAATTTTTTCTCTTTTCACTTCATTTGATGAATATGCATTAACATAAAGAATGTCTCATGTATTGTGTATATATACATTATTTTTTGTATAACATTCCGATATTTCCATTATAAAATGTTTGAAATATGTCTGATGTTTTTGTATATGAATTAAAAGACAATTTATAAGTACAAGAGTCCTTTACATTTGGCTTTAATTTTAATAGAGACTTATGGTACATGTGTAAAATCAACATTGTAAAAATTGTTTTCTTTATACAGGAGGTGATGAAATGTTTAAATATATATTCATAGATTGACATAATTGAACAACATTAGAAAAAGGAAATGAAAAAGCTTACCAATTTATAACAAAATACAACTTGAAACATGTTTAGAACAATTATTTAATGTTACTAGGCATTATCTTATAAGATTATGCATTTGCATCATTACACACTTAATCTGTCATGATTCTGTTGTTTATGATTTAATTGGAAACACTTTGCACAAATTTGGACTTTTATCTTACAGAAAAATTTAACAGCAACAATTTATGCACCAATTTCAAAACATAGATACAATGTATACAACAATAAAATGATTCTTTTATGAAAATAATTTGGTTACTCAGGATATAATGTAAAACGGTGCTATTTTTATACCCCCCCATGATCAGTGATCAGTCAAATGTTTTTGCCTTTGCATGTCCATCTGGTTCAAATAAGTTTTGCATTTAAGTTAATTTTTCAGAACTATAAGATAGTATATCAATGATGTTTCAGTGATGTAATTTTGAATATGATACAATAGAATTCTGTTAGTGAATGATGTAGTTTTTTTTGCAGTACCTCTGTAGTATAACTGTTGACTAGTGTTTATTCTAAGTTTGATGTGCCAACATGATACAAAACACTGAATTCTAATTATACAAATTATAGCTTTTAATCACTGTCTTCATTTTGAATAAACAGTAAACAGTTTATGCTCTCATGAATTCCAATTACATGATACATCAATTAAAGAATAAAAAATTCCCTTATGGATAATGCATGGTTAAAATTTATTAAGATTGACCAGTAATTTGAAATTATTGAAAATCAGTACCATAACCATTTCTTATTTTTAAAAATTTAACCAGAAAAGAGTTTTATGTTGCTATTTTGATTTGTATTACATTCTCAAGATACTCTATCAAAAGACAAATGATGTAAAAGTTGTAGCAATCATAGGTTTGAGTCTCATTCTTTTAAGAGTGAAAAATATTTTTCATAGCAATGTCATAGTTCAGAAAGGTATAAAAGAAAAAAAATCCCAAGAAATGATATTTACAAAAATTTATAAATAATTACTAAAATGATTACTACTTGAAGAAAGTTGAATCCATAATGGAAAAAGATTTCATGAATATAATTTGACTACAGTAACTATGCTATTAATTCTTTTTTAGATGTTAATTTTTTTATGTTGAATATATTCTTGCACTTAAAACACAGTAAATCATTGAAATTTTTATTTGTTTGTGAGACGAAATATTGTTGTATTCATTCATTATTCATTTTATTTTCATTTCATTGGAAATCATTTCAATAATTGAAATCAAAGCTGTTAAGAACGTGCAATTGTTTTACAATATGATGTACATAGTTACTAACTTTATGGTTTTAGCCAAAGTCATCAGTTTATTGAGAGATGATTTTATGAGTTGTATATACAAACTATATATGATATAAATATACTGTACATTCTTTCACACCATTTGATTGTTGTCTCAGTACAAATCACATGCATTTATGTCCGTCCATATATTCACAATGCATGGTCATATCGGGTAAGAATAAAATGCGCACTTTTTTATAATTTTTCAAATTATAAGGAGGTTGGGTTAAGGAAATGATAGTTAAAAGAATGACCTTGAACATTCTAATCAGTATGGGTCCTTAATTTAACTATTAACCATCTTAAAGCAGATGTTGCTGTCAGTGCTACAATCAAATTAGCCTGGATTGGATTGATATGTCCAGAAGTGTAATTAGTTGAAAACTCACTTCAAATATTTAGAATGACAAAAATTTACTTGCTTGTACAGTGAGGTATTTTTCCTCAATCCCAATGTAAATATTGTTTTCAATGTGCATTGTTTGAAAGAATGTATAGTATATCTACTGCAAGTTATGAATGAATGCATTATTGTATATTTGATTATCACGCCAATGTTGATATGATTAATAATTATTTATTATGTATATAGTCATAGATGGATTCTATGCGACAAATAAATTTTTACAGACATAAATGAAACTTTTGTTATTGTTATCTTCTTGAAAATTGGAGAAACTACCACTACTGAGATTCCATGTAATACCCCCTTGATTAACCTTTGTTGTGAAGGACTACATGGGTTGGCTAGTCTTTATATTTAAAATCATTAATTTCAAGCCATAGATGCAACTTACACAACAATTAAAAAAAAACAGAATTACACAAGTTCCGTATGATCTAAAAAAAAAGTATTGCGCAAATAACCATCAACATGACCCCCTAAAATGCTAATCAGTATTAATTAAACTCATCATAGATAACATGATTAAAATTTTGAACACTAGACTAGTGTTTCGTCGAAAGACTCACCAGTAACGCTTACATCAAAACAGTGAAAAGGGCTAAATAAAGTATGAAGACAAAGAGCATTGACTCAACATTCCGAAAGGTTTTGCAAATTACAGCTATTAACCTATTTTGTAACCTGATACCAAGATATTAAAATGATCAATAACCTAAAATATAGTATTAAGTGACAATTAATATATTTATAAGTGGTACACACACAACCCACCTGTCCCGTAACAATATCAAGAATATGCTTGACTTTTGATCGACAACATTTTTGTTGACTCCATGTATTCAAATTTGAACAAAACAGATTGTTATTCTATGGGTACGAACAATGCACCTCTACTAGCCCCACTTGTTACTCATACGAAGCAGAATTTATACCGAACCTCCCCGAAGTATCTTTCAAAGTTCTTTTATTTGATATATTGATGATGTCCTGTCACTTAATAACCCACATTTCAGTGAGTGCTTGCATCTTATATATCCTAGTGAACTAGACATTAAGTGTCCTACATAGACATGTCTCAAAATTTTATGGGGTTGAATGCTTTTCTCACATTTTATTAATATTCATAGGTTAACAACCAACATACATTTATTTAATAATTTAATATAATTCAGTCAAAATACAACAATCTGAACAGTGTACAAGATTTAAAAACTAGTATACCATTTAATCACCGTAGGAAGATCTTATCGGTACTAACATTGATTTTGTTTTTTATAAATTAAAACATACCTGAATATGCATTGCTTTACATTGAGGAAAAAATATGGTCTTACATCCTGTAGAAGTTATGTACTTATATTTTGGCATTGCACAAGGTCATACTTTTCTCACACTGTTGATGACGTCTTTACGATAAATCCATTGGATGTGTACTGATTGACACTTAAATCTGGAAGAACATAATTTCATATTAGTTGTTCTTGACTTTGAACTAGCGTTCTAGAGTACTCTTAGATGGATCAATATCCCTAAAGCGCCTCAAAGTGAGGAACTCAAAACTAGTGCATTAACAAAAAATCTCTGTGCATTTATATTGGACATGTTTCAATTTTCGGGGTGTGCTAAATTACTAAGAAATGAATCTCATTTCGTACCCCGTGAATTTAACTATATACGTGAAAATGTCTCAGCTTCGAAACGAGCCATATCCAAGTTTACGATATGGACAGAGGAACTGAGGAAAAGGCTGCCGTTACCGCCTACCTGAAATGAATTGCGCATCTTTACCCAGATCAAGCCTAGTGTCTGTTGTCTTTATATAAACTACCTTTTGTGCGCCGTGGAAAATTGTTAGATCAATAAAGAGATTTATAGAACAATAAATCAACCGGTAAATGAATTTCTAATTCGATAGGATAGTACTGCTCGGCTGATCGATAGGCCATCACTAGAACAGGCATAAACATGTCCGTCCTTTTTATGAGCCGAGACAAACAAAGACAGCATATTTTCACGTGTTCTAATAAACCTTTCAGCTTTCTTTCTGACAGAGTTCTCATTACCGCCGTTTCTGTCTTGTCAACGTATAATGATAGAAAAAATGGGACTCAAAATTAGTCCCCTGTACAGTATGTATATGTGAGGGTACATCAAACAATATCCTTTTAACTTTACTTAGTTTTTCTAGATGACCACCAGTGACACTGTTATGTAACTGCTGGACCACACTATTGATTAAGTTTTCAGGTACTCCTTTTTGCCTGGTTACCTTAGCTCCTCTTTCACTTTCCTATAGTTTACACGAAAACCTCAAAAGAGACAATTCTGTTCTAAGTTTTAATGAATTCTTGACTGTATTTTAATACCTCCGACCAACTGGTTTTAAAATTAACTAGCGGTAGTACCAGGTCATTTTGTTGTTCATATTCTAAGCAAAATATATCTCAACGAAAGGCTAATTGGGCATTCGAGACCATAAACTTTTGTAATTTTCAAGAATTCATACTTCGTATGGGGATCAACTTTTAAGGTTGAAATAGCGTTCTCATCCAGTCTCTAAACGATGACTGCCGTCTACTTTAACGGGGCCTGTTAAAGTATCAGACTTATCACCAACAAGTGACGACTTAACCACTCCTCCAGTTGAAATCTCGTGTTTTATTTTAACATCAATAAAGAATACGTTCGAAATTTTTTCTCAATTCAAGGAGCATGAAAACAGCCCTCTAGACAAGGTCTACGATGCCAGGAAATCGCATGTGAAAGAATTCGATCCGGGCGATGTATTTTTTGAAAATCATATTCATGAAATGTTTCCAACTATCGGACAAGCAGGCCCTCAGGATTTTGAAATTTTCAACTAACAGAATCGAATAGACTCGCGAACTGAAAATGTTTTGCTAAATTAAGGCAACAGTAGTTTACCGATGTTCAAAGTTCGTGACTCGATAAATAAGTCCCTTTAACCCTCAAAGGAGCACGACCGGGTACGTCGACAGGGTAAGCGTCTCCGGCTATGCATTCATCACCCGCCATGCTAATTCACAATCAATCAAAATGTCACAATCGGGAATACGACACAAGCGATAAAATTACAGATTAGACTTTCTATTCTGTTATCTTAAGATTTAGTCTGCGAAGACATGTCGATAGTAACGATAACACGTTTTTGAGATAGAACAGCACACGTTCCCCTCAATGACTAGCATCAGTATCCAGAAAAAATCCGACGCTATTCAAGGGATATTATAAAAAAAAACAACACAGGAATTAAAATAAATTTCATGCGGGTTTGTCACAATATTTTGTTTTTGTCTTAGCCACATTAACAGTACAAATTACGCATGTCCAAGGTTGAAATAACTTACTTTTGCTCAGGGTGTCGAGAGTGTCCCTTATTTATGGAATCGATTGGAAATATTTCTAAATAAATTTTCTTTTATTTTCCTAAATACAATAAAAAGTTAATAAAGTCAACAGTAGTATACCGCTGTTCGAAACTCATAAATCGATAGAGTAAAAACAAATTCGAGTTACAAACTAAACTGAGGGAAACGCATCAAATATAAGAGAACAACGACACAACAAAAACACAACATTAAAATGTAACACACACAGAAACGAACTATAATATAACAATGGCCATTTTCCTGACTTGCTACAGGACATTTTAAGAAAAAAAATGGTGGGTTGAACCTGGTTTTGTGGCATGCCAAACCTCCCGCTTTTATGGCAACGTCAAACACAACACCAAAACGACAACATCACATGACAGGACCACAATACAAATAAATGGGAGAACATATAGGACAAAGAAACACACGAATAATAGCTAACAAAAGGTACTAGGCTTAAAATTCAATACGCCAGACGTACGTCTGGTCCACACAAGACCAACCAGTGACGCTCAGATGAAAAAAGTTTGAAAGCCAAAACAAGTACAAAGCTGAAGAGCACCGAGGACCAAAACTTCCAAAACGTTGCGCCTAAAACGGCCAGGGTTTTCTTCCTGGGACAAGAACATTCTTATTATTTAGAATAATTTATAATTTTGCAAACAGTAATTTTATAAAATGACTATATAATAGATATACATGATAAAACCGAAGTGGGGACTAACTACAGAATACTACATTACATAAAACAACTTAATCCAACACATAAAAATACACAGCCGAGTTAGCCAAAGCCTCAACGCACAAAGTGACGTCACATTTGAAATTCTAAAAAAACACACAAAGTGACGTCACATTTGAATTTGTAAAAATATTTCCCAAAAATAAGATAGGACTAGGATTGATTCAAGATTAGATTTGTAATACTGACATTACATTTATTAATATCAATGAAAATTACAATACTTATTAATATCAAATTGTGGTAGTAATTAGATAATTAATTGTATTATCTAGCTATGTCGGTGTTTCTTCTGAATCAAACTGTAAACCAAATATATCGTATAAATTTCGTTGAACCAAACTAAAATCTAATAAATGAAGGGGGTGATTAATTATCTTTACCATAACACACGAGTATAACAGAAAAGACGTTAAGACATTTGACAAAATCCGACGAGAATAACAAATATAACATCAAAATTAAATACATGAATTTGGGATAGAAAAGTACTGTGACACGTCTTATAGCAATGCGGTTTCACACTCAGCAAAACAGTCACAATCGGGAATAAGTCACGTTCGGTAATTAAAAGATCAGACGACGTAATGACAAACCACAATCTAACACGTGGTAAGAATGTCCTTAGTTAGTTTGGACAAAGGCACATCGCATGGATCAACCAATTCATGATGGTGTCCGTAAAATTTACGGAGTGTCATTTTTAATCTGTCCTCCTCATAACTTTGTTGGAGCAGTTTATGCGTAAGGAGCACACTCCTGTATATGAAGTCCGTATAGTGTGAACAAGCACGAGAATAACGTATCAATTGAGATATGTAAACACCATACGAAGGGGCAGAGGGTATGTTACTGCTGAGAAATGGGAAATTGATAATTGGGAAGTTGAAATCGTCCCGTTTATCATAGATTTTCGTGTGAAGTCGTCCATCTGTGTCAATATTGAGGAAAAGATCAAGGTATGAAGCAGTCCTTCTAGTATCAGTAGTATCCCTAATTTCAAGTTCACTGGGATATATGAGATGTAAGTATTGGCTGAAATATGGGTTATTCAATGATAGAGAACACCATCAATATATCGGAAAGTAAAATTAAAGAA